CGCTGGCTGTCCAGTTCATGACAATGTCAGGGTAAATGGGAGTCCAGTTCACAAACATGACTGAATGGGCTGCAGGAGTGAACGACTTCACGCACGAACCCCTCACAAAGGAAGAGGTTAAGAACTCCATATTTGACCAGAGAGCTGACAAAGCACCAGGATTGTCCCAGAACCCATTCCGGGTGATTCGATGGGCATGGGAAGTTGCAGACCCTACCATTACCACGCTAATGCATCACTGTCTGAAGACAGAATACCACCCAAAAGCCTGGCAAAAGGCGATTGCGGTGGTGCTCCCAAAGCCCCGGAAACCAGATTATTCTAACCCCCGGGCGTACAGACCGATTCAATTTTTAGAATGCCTAGGGAAGGCCCTCGAGAGGATAGTTTCGACATGCCTAGCCTACATGGTTACAACACACAACCTCGTGCCCACAAACCAGTTTGGAGCCTGACCAAGTAGCTCAATGGACGATGCAATACTAACTTTTGTCAACAATGTAGAGGCAGCCCATAATCATGGGCTGGTAACATCAGCGCTAACATTCGACATCAAGGGATTCTTTGATTTTGTTAATCACGACAGACTACTCACCGTCATGCGCCAGAAGGGCTTCCCACTCCAATTGGTAAGATGGACAGCATCTTTTCTATCTGACCAAGAAGCCGCGATATGCCTGGATGGAATCCAGGGGGAGATGAAGGCGGTGGAGAACGGCATCCCGCAAGGGTCACCGGTATCACCCATTCTTTCTATCATATACGCAGCAGAGATACTCGAGATTTTCCAACAGAGAGCAGAGAATGACATTAGAACGAAAGCTGCAGGACTCAAGCTACCAGACAAACCGACCGCTGTCCACTTACTAATGTTTGTCGACGACGGAAAGCTGTACGTCTCATCAGAATCCCTAGACACTAACATTCGGATTCTCAGAATAGCATACCATGAAGTCGAATGATGGCTTGCAAGCATCGGACTAGCACCAGACATGGTAAAAAGAGAACTAATGCACTACTCAAAGAGACGCAGACAACAAGGAGACTCCCCGACAATATCCCTACCCGGGGACAATGGTACACAGGTAATCATAAGGGCAGAAGAAGCCATCAAATGGCTAGGAGTATATATGGACCGCCGACTAACATTTGACCACCATGTGAAACAGATGGCTGGACGAGCAGAGAAGACGGTAAATGGCCTTAGCATGTTGGCTAACACTGTCAAGGGACTCTTGCAGAAACACCTCAGGACACTGTACATCGCATGTGTTCGCCCAACCATGACGTATGCCAGTGCTGTGTGGTGGAAAGGGAAGAAGATACATATGAACTGGCTCAAACGAGTCCAACATCGAGCGCTACGCCTCATCTGCGCAGCCTTCCGAATGACCCCCATTGCCGCACTAGAACTAGAAGCTGCAATTATGCCGATCAAAGACCACCTAGACTTAACGAGCACGAGAGCAGCAGTGCGATTCAACAAGCTAAGTCCATTCAGCCCTATTCTACAACGGCTACCTACAGAATGGAGACAGATACAGACCACAACCCCGAAACCACCGCTCCCGACCCACAAGAAGACAACAGCAGCACGGAGGAAACCACCGAAGTCTACTAAACTCACGCGACTTGCACTTCGATCACACCCACTAGATGAGAGAATTCTGCCGCTCTGCCTCCCCCCATGGAAGCGGACCGTTGAGGACTTCCATGGACGACTTGTAATCACACCAGCGAAGAAGGGAGGGATGAAAGACGAGGTGGTGAAAGCACGTAATGAACACGTACGTGCATTTCAACACCTACCAGAACACTTACTGCTGTACTCCGACGGCTCAATGCTGGAAACAGCAGGAAGATGACGAGTAGGAGCCGCACATGCCGCAATGAACCAGGAAGCCATAGTATTTACCAGGAAGATCGGGATGGGCAAGCAAAGTGAAGTATACGATGCCGAGATGGCAGGCCTATCATGGGCAGTGAGAGATGCGACATCCTATATACACAACATGAATGCCGACATCACGCACATCCACTTCTATGCCGACAACACTTCCGCGATCAGCACGATCTTCGACCCGCCCAGCGGACCGGGCCAGGAACATGCACGAATATTCCGGGAGCTCATGTTAGAGTTCCTCAAAGCGGACCCACAACATAGGGTGGAGATCGCATGGACACCTGTCCACAAAGGGATCCCAGGTAATAAGACAGCTGACCGACTAGCAAAGGAAGCAACAAGAATCACAGGAGGGCTGACGACAGCATCCAGAGCCCATGCACTACGGAGAGCAAAGGAGAGAGCGCTCGGGAACTGGACCGAAGCTTGGAAGAAGACAACACCAACAGGAAGATTTGCGTCAGCTAATAGAATCCCCCTGCAGACACACCCATGTAAGACATTCTTGCACTTCCCTCGGGAGGTGTTCAGGCGCATCATGCAATGCCGAACAGGACATGCCTTTACAGGCGAGTACTACTCACAATTTGTTCCATCTGGACACATTGACTGCACATGCGGAACTTTATTCCAGACCAGATGACACATACTACAAGACTGCAAACGATACAAGGACTACCGACACCTACTACAAAAAGTGAGTGACACCATCGACCTCCCAACAGTCCTCGGAACGGTGGAAGGAATCGAAGCACTGGGAGAGTTCCTGCAGGCGAGCGGAGCATTCACGAAGATGGGGGAAAAGAGAGCGGGGAGGAGAACAGCGAGGTGGGAAGATGAACCAGAACCAGAGCCAGAAGGAGAGGAGACCGATGACAAGACGTCAAACGGACATGATGCAGATGACAACGAGGAGGAGGAGGAGGACACGAACAACAAGCTCCCACGTGGCGGAGCAGAGGACCATAGCGACACACGGTACTAGGTGCACGCTGACATACCGTCCCCCTCCCCTCATCACCAGACGACTCGCATGCAACAAAGCGGCAATCCCGACTTGCTACTTTGCTAGAAGACCTGATACGGTTCCCAGGCCCCTTTTATTATGTGAACGAAGACATGCAGCCCTAGCAGCATGCGACCAATTATTTTGCAGACACCTTACAACTGACTCCATTTATCTACTCCAGACGCCGCAAAACCCCCCCTGATACTTTTCAGATTCTCAATATGGTTGCCCAGTCGTACTTAGGTGGAGTGGCGCATTTTAATGCCCACTTACTGTATGGACCGGCGATCACCGCATCTTAGCACAGCTGTTTGCTTGTTGCAGTATATAAATACGGAATTCTTCATCATCATCATCATCACCATACCCCTGCTCTGCACTAGCATCCGTAGGTAACAATGCCGCTGATGCTCTAGCCGGCTAGGCAGCACGAAAACCATCAACCGACGAAATCAATGTCCACATTCCTGACCACTTTAATCTCACCGGTGCTCACATGGCCTCCCTGACACAACGTCTAGCCTATCGTGGTATCCAAACATACCAGGCCTATACTCCAAGATGATCCACAACAGCCCAGCTCGACGTCACACGCCATGCCGTTCAAGCTGTATGCAATCATCTCCCGACAGACACCACAATATGGCGGGCAATCCGTGTGCCAGAAATCTCCCGCTCCATCCAAGATTTCCTCTGGAAATGTCTACACGGAGCTTTCCGGTGTGGAAAATTCTGGGACAGCATCAGGAAAACCCAACTTTTACTTAAAGGTGTCCTTATGTGACTTAAACGCACTTATGGGCCTTAAATAAGGTAAAAAAGGACAAAAAGTCTATAAGTCATATTTCCTTAGAGCCTTAAAAGTCGACTTTTGGAAACTTATGGGCCTTAAATAAGGCAAAAAGTCGGAATAAGTCCCATAAGTAAAAGTTGGGTTTTCCTGATTTGGCAACATCCCCGGATATGAAGAACGGGCAACCTGCTCTACCTGCGGGTCCCTCGAATCCATAGAACACATCCTCACAGAATGCTCAGCACCAGGCCAAACCCTTATATGGGATTTATGCTCACAATTCTGGACCCACAAACACCTCCCATGGCCCCCGGTGAATATCGGCACCATCATGGGCTGTGGCGCCATCCGTTTCTCAACCCCGGAATCATGCCACCCCGGAGCCGACCGCCTTTACCGTATCATATCAGAAGCCGCATATCTGATCTGGAAAATACGCTGCGAACGGGCTTTCGGACGAGACGACCTCCCGGCATCTGGCCATACCGACCGCGAAATATATACGAGATGGTACAAAACAATCTCCACTCGCCTTACCCTTGACCGTACAATGACACGTAAGCGCTTTGGCAGACGAGCCGTGCCCACGGCACTAGTCCGCAATACCTGGGCCGGATGCCTATATGACGAAAAGGGATTACCAGACGATTGGTTAACACAACCCGAGGTTTTAGTAGGTATGGCCCCCCCGGAGCACTGGCGCAAACCAGTAGGTGAGGCGAGCCCCACACTACCTGTACCCCAGGTGTGCATAAATAGCATTTCTCCTCTTGGTAGAGCTCCATGGGTGTAACGTCCCGCATCCAGCTGACCGGCGAGGGCTAACCTTGTTAGTTGCTCCCTGGTCGAAAAAGCTCCTCCAAAAAAAAAAAAAAAAAAACATCTAGTTATTAGTACCACAAACAAGCAGACCTTACTCACCCGGAAAGAACAGCTGAGCAGCATGGGCACATATGACATATATGACATTCGACGCCGCAGTGTGAGGTGCGTAACACGTCTTCCACAAGCGTCTAGTCTCTCCGGGCAGAGCAGACACTCCGGGTCTGCTTCAACCTTCAACCTTCAACGTCAACCTTCGTGCTCTACCGGGATATCCGTGTCTGACGCAAGTGTTACGATAGTCACGAAAGGCTGTCACTGAGAGCTACAGGCACAAATTCCAACGCTGAAAGGATAGATCATGAAAACGTGACTACAATACAAAAGAGCGTGAATAGGCATCACTAAAGTACATACAATCCAGAGGCAGAAGAGCGAGCTGCAACTCGCATGTCATGACTATTCGTACGCTTTCAAACCTTCTCCGACATCGAGTGTTCTGAGCTTGTTTCGTTGGCTTCGCGTTCAAAGACTGGTAGCGATCGTGAATGTTAGTACGTATCTGGTAGTTGAACACAAGCGCGGTGACGCACCTCGTTCTTGTTTTTTGATGTCGGACTTGCGCTGGTCCGCAGTGACGGTGCCGAATATAACGTCCATCTCCTCCAAACTGCGACCTTTGGTCTCAGGAATCACACTGACGATCAATCCTGTCAGTGCAAGCACCATGCTGTAGAGAGCGGAGGTGCTTACAGTGAGAACACGGCCATGCCACCAATGTTGATGGTCGCGAACATCAGGAAGATCTTGTAGCCGAGGTTGGTCACAAGGGTTGGGGTGATCTTTGCAAGGACAAAATCTGCATGCAGTAAATGTCAACGAGTTCAAGGAAAACTGGAAATGCTCGGACGTACTGAACAGCCATTGCGAAGCACTAGCAACCGCGAGACCATAGTGTCGTGTCCTTGTTGGGAAGATATCAGAGACATACACCCACTATTGAGCGCAGTGAGTATGCCACCTCTAAGGATCACTGGTGAACTTACGGGTAGAGGTCCCCAACCGAGGGAGTAGAAGCAAACATAGATGTAAAGCATTGCCGCCATTGCCTTGCTTGCCGGCGCCGGACTCGCTGCCGATGACGCCGGGGGATACACCTTCAGGAGAGCACCAATTATGAAGAAGAAGATGCCCATGCCCATACTCGAGATAAAGAGCGACATCTTTCGACCGAGTGTGTCCGCGAGGAAGAACACGAATAATGCAGTCGCGACGGTCTTGACGATACCGTAAATTCCGGATGCAAGCAGCGAATTGGACGTGCCAGTGTATCCAATCTGCAACCACCATCAGTCCACACGGCCACAAACGTAAACGTGAACAGACATGGCATACGCACTGACGCAAAAATTTGGGGTGCATAATAACCGACCGAGTTCTGGCCGCTGAATTGCTGCAGCAGGAAAATAACAAACGCAATAACGAAGCGGATGAAGTTGCCCTTGCCAAGGAAAGCCTCCTTAAAACCTAGACCTTTGCGAGCCTGGCGCTCCTCGACGATGGCAGCCTCTATCTCAGCCATCTCAAGGCGAACCCTCTCGTCGTCCACGTCAAGCCTCCGCAGATAGGCGAGGTTCCGGAGAGCATGCTCGTTGCGGCCTTTCGATGCGAGCCAACGCGGAGACTCCGCCACTGTAAGTAGGCCGAAGGCCATGATACCAGCAGGGACGAGCTGGAAGCCGAAGGGGATGCGCCATATCCGTGGGCCCGATGGAATGTGAAGACTGATGCCCACTGAGGGAAGCGCCGCCAGGTTAGCGCACCATTGCACGGTCAACTGTACGAACTACGAACTCACGGTTAATGAAATATGAGAGCATGACACCGATAGCGACCATGATCTGGAAGAGCCCAGTAATCCGACCCCGGACATCCTTGGGTGAGCATTCTGATACGTACGCCGGTGAAACGGCCGAAATGGCGCCAACACCGAGACCGGCGACGACTCTTCCCCCGTAGATGTAACCAATTCCGCGCGAGCCTCCTGCTACGGTTTGCAAAATCTACGCCGACCAGTCAGAAGGAAAAAGAAAATTCTCGGGATGTTGGCACTCACAGCACCAACTGCGAAGAGGACCGTGAAAAATAAGAGGGCCCATCTGCGTCCGATAGCCGCTAGAAAGGGACCCATCAGCTGATGTGATGATCAACCAGAATCTGGAGAAGCTTGTGCCCAGCCACGGTATAACCAAGAAGATGGAATGGACAGAACACGAACCGGATAAAGGAGCACTTCCCAATGCACCAAAGAAGGCACCTGCCTGAAGCACCGAGACAACATTTGAGGAGACTGCATTTGACTTCGGTGTATTGGTCGAGCCGTCTGGATTGAGTAGACCGAAGTGCTCCTTGAAATACTTCTCCGACACAACTCCACCTGCGATACCGCTAAATCAAACGGGGTCACAATTCTCGCAATATTTCAACATGAGAGATACCACGTACGTGTCATAACCGAACAGAAGGATACCCCAGTACACAACGAATGCGAGCCCTGGTATTAGATGTAAGTGGGATATCGCACAATGTTGCGACAAGGGAGCACGTACAGTACACCCGAATGTTCTGGAAGTTGTTAGTACGAACGTTACCCATCTCACACGAACGGTTGCAGCAGGAGGAAGAGGAACAGGAGGGGAGCACCACCTTTGGTGAGAGACATCAGGTCGGAATTTATAAAGTGTGAAACCGTGCGCGCCAAACCCCACGGGCCGCTAGATCTAGATTGCGGGGAAGGTCATAAACTATCGTGCCTGGCCCTCTCCGGCCCGGAACGGTCCGCCCTCCCGTTTCCCTTCTTCATCTCTCAAACTCCTAAGATTGGCGTCGCCCCGCAGCTTCAGATGAACACACACTGTCAAGAATCACAGCGATCTCTTCGTCTGGATAATTCTTTTTTTGCCGTGATCAATGTTACCCCACACCATTATCCCCGACTCACAGGATCATGTCTCAGGCTATTTCCGGAAGATCATTACTTATTTATCGTGAAGAAGGTCTGTCTTCACTGAACTCATGATTCACCTCAAAAAAATAAAAAAAAGGGATTCTTACGTACAGAGGAGCCTGACTTCACACGAAATCACCCGCCGGGACTTCGTCGGACGACTGTCGAAGCTTCAGCGCAACGCTTGTTTTGGTAAGGGGCCAAGAAGACACAATCTACTTTACAAAAATTTCACCGACGGATGTCAGAAGGCGTCGCAGATCAAGCCTTATCCACTCTGTCCACTAGATGGATCCAGAAGTGGCCCTGCAAACTACCACTTTGAACAACGAGGAGACTTACGATATCCAGCAACCCACTATGATCGAACAGCTGTGATTACTCAACCACCCCACCATCTCTTTGGCGGGGCCGCTGGGGCGGAGTAACCCTGGCCTGAAGGTATCTGACGCTGATCGGGTCGCCAATTGCCTACAAGAACGGTTCCGCTCGGGCCCGCACACCAATTAGAGAGCGCGCAAATATCACAGTGGTCGCAGTAACTTGAAATTATGTAGTTAACCGGCAGACAAAGAGCGGCTCACATTCATTGGAGACCACGTGCATATTTATCAGACGCCGTAAACCGGGCCAATGGAACAGGAACAACTCCGAAACAAATCTGTACAACTTCCTGCTTTGGACTGCTGGCGTTTCGCTCCACGTAGGGTGCTAGAGGGTTCTCCCAACAAGCTTGATCGAGAGCATCACCGGCCCGAAGTCTTGTGGCATATACACGGACGGCTAAGGACGGTATGCCTGGTGTGTGGCGCTATTGGAGCGCCTCTATTCGATGAATCATGACATCAGAATTATAATCGCCCAAGGATGGCGAGCAACAGCCACTTCTAGCAGTTGGAAGTGGCACAGGGTGGCTACAGGAGGGCCGCTGAAGCGTCGCTGCCGCTCGCGTGACGATGTCATTATAAGACCAAGGAAGGTAAATGTCAGGTAGGTGCGAAATTGAACTAGCAGCGGAATAAGTCACAGACAGTCAACTGATCTAGGAGTTTGACATTGACAGGCATCTGGTTGGATGAGCCGGGCGCGGAGGAGGAAAAATCAGTGTCTCTGAATCGGGTGGAGGGATGAGAAAATCAGTGCATGAGCCAGAAACTAGCCTTGAAGCTTGAAGAGGTTTGCCTGCGTTGTCTCGCGCTCGCCTCGGGGAATATTATGAAAATGACCTGCTGCGGAGGAATAGGGAGGAATCTGCAAAGTGCGACGAACTCGCTGTGCGCAGGCGAGTGACCAAGATAGATTAGCGTCAGGAACCAACCATTCACTGAGAGGGGGCATGGAGACGAACGTAGCGAGCAACTTTGTGGCCACTTTGACATGGAGCAGGATCGACTGGCGGGCCGTCCGGACCGAAATATCGCTAAGAATGGGCGCACACTGACTGAACAGTGAACAAATTTGTACACTACAGTATACTCACTCACGGGCTGCTGGCGCTGGGCTACTGTATTATTTGTTGACGTCGTCGTGTGAGCGCAGCCGAATGTACTTACAGTGCATGTGCTCGACACGTTAAATCCCTTCCTGAATTCCTGAATCTCTGCCTACATCACCACTTCAACTTAGCACACAGGCAGTTGCCTTCGAAACAGGTTCATCAAGCTGAAGCTAGGAAGGACTATGCTTTCAGTGGAATCTGAAGGTGAGATCTCCAAAAGTCACTCACACGAGCACTCAGCGCTGCACTCAGTTTCGGCGCAGAAACCAAGCATCATGCGCTCAATACGACCTCTCGAAACAATCGGGGAGCGGAGCATCTCGATTATTTAAACAGGAAGCCTGCAGTGACGGTGAGAGTGAATGGTCGAGGTAGCGAAGCATCGCAGTTATGATAAGATAATTCTTGCACCATGTGAGTTATCTTATCACGATTGCATCTCTGACTCCGAGTCGGAGGAACTCAGGCTAAAATTCTGCACTGGCACGTCCCTCTCCAGAGGCCAGCAACATCTGCAAAGAGACATTAATGGCTCCTCTTACGCATCGTTCCATCAAGGGTGAGTCCTAAGGTGGAGCTGTCGCACAAACGCTCATTCCTGCAGATGGCTGGTTTCGCGAGATCTCTTCGCAATGGCCGGGCCAGGCGATGACCCTCAAGGTCAAGAAAATCCTGCACGTTGAGAAGTCGTTGTATCAAGATGTGCTTGTCTTCGAGTCTGAGACGTACGGCAACGTGCTCGTGCTGGACGGCGTCATCCAGTGTACCGAGCGCGATGAGTTCTCGTATGTTTCCTGACCTCACCTGCAACCGAGATGCCGACTTTTGCCCAGGTACCAGGAGATGATTGCGCATCTCCCCCTCGCGAGTCATCCCAACCCGAAGAAGGTTCTCGTGATCGGTGGGGGCGATGGAGGTGTTGTGCGCGAGGTTCTCAAGCATGACACCGTGCAGCAGGTCGTACTGTGCGACATCGACGAGGTATGCCAGCCGATCCGCCGATCTTGACAGTGCTAACCCTCTCCAGGCTGTTATCAGGGTGTCTAAGCAGTACCTACCGCACATGTCCGCTCTGCTTTCCGATCAACGTGTGGTGGTACACGTCGGGGACGGATTCAAATTCCTAGAACAAAACACCTCCACGTACGACGTGATTATCACCGACTCGTCGGACCCGGTCGGCCCTGCTGAATCGCTCTTCAAAAGGCCATACTTCGAGCTCCTCCATGGCGCGCTCACGCCTGGAGGCCATATCTCGACCCAGGCGGAATGCCTATGGCTCCACTTGCCGCTCATCCACGAGCTGCAACAGACCACGCGCGGGCTGTTCCCTGTAGCGGAGTACGCGTTCACGACGATCCCCACGTACCCGTCGGGACAGATTGGCTTCGTGGTATGTTCCAAGGAGCCGGGGCATGACGTGAAGGTCCCCGTGAGAAAGGTCACGAACACGCGCTACTACAATGCTGAGGTGCACAAGGCTGCGTTTGTCCTCCCCGAGTTCGGTCGAGCGATGATCAAGGAAAACAAGAACATTCTGCCTCAACTCGGCAGATCCCTTGCGGCGAACAAGCCCGCGAAGAAGGTGCTGTTGCTCGGTAGTGGTTCCGTCGCGCGACCATGCGCCGAGTATGTTGTGCGCGAGCCGTCAAACTCGCTTACCATCGGTGCGTTCGGTATTTGCTCCGCAGGTGTTTGCGTACCGACGTCTTCTAGCTTGCCGCCATCTGGCAACATCTCAAGGCCTTGCCTCAGAGCTGCCCAATACCACCGCGATCTCTCTCGATGCTGCAGACGAAGAGGCTCTTGGAAAGGCCGTGGCTGAGCACGACCTCGTTATCTCGCTCATTCCCTATATCCACCATGCTGCGGTCATCAAAGCGGCTATCAAGGGCAAGACACATGTCGTCACCACAAGTTATATCAACCCTGCGATGAAGGCGCTCGAGGACGCGGCGAAGAAGGCGGGCATTGTGGTTATGAACGAGATCGGTCTCGACCCAGGTGTCGACCATCTATACGCGATCAAGACCGTCGACGAGGTACACGCCAAGGGCGGAAAGGTATTTGTCGCTCATTCATCGTGCTTCAACACTGCTTACATGCATTTCGTCAGATCAAGGAGTTCTTCTCCTACTGCGGTGGTCTGCCCGCCCCCGAATGCTCGGACAACCCGCTTGGCTACAAGTTTTCATGGTCACCGCGCGGCGGACTACTCGCGCTGCTCAACTCCGCGTCGTTCCTCAAGCAGGGCCAGCAGGTCGACGTTCCCGGGCCGGAGCTCATGGACACGGCCAGGCCATACTTCATCTCTCCCGGGTATGCCTTCGTTGCTTACCCCAACCGCAACTCCGTAACATTTCGCGAGGCATATCGAATTCCGGAGGCAGAGACGGTCGTCCGCGGCACGTTGCGCTACCAGGGCTTCCCCGAGTTTATTAAGGCGCTCGTTCAGCTCGGCTGGCTTAATTTCGAGAAGAAGGAGTGGTTGAAGGAGGGCTTGACGTGGGCTGAGGTTATGCAGAAGGCGATCGGTGCGAGCCATGCCAGCGAGAGGTATTCGATTTCACTGTGGACGCTGATGTCTAACTTGCTGATGACGCCACTGGTAGTGCGCTCATCGCACGCGTCAAGGAGCTCTGTGCGTTCCCCAATGAATCCGAGAGCCACCGCATCATCTCGGGCTTGAGGTGGATTGGTCTGTTCTCTTCGGAGAAGGTGACGTCTCGCGACGGCAACCTGCTGGACACGCTCTGCGCGCAGCTTGAGACGCTTATGAAGTACGATGAGGGCGAGAGGGACTTCATCATGCTGCAGCACAAGTTCACCGTCGAGTGGCCAAACGGCAAAGTGGTACGCAGCGTTTCTTCTACCATATCTGTATTGTTTATACTGATCGCCGCTTGCAGGATACGCTCACCTCCACTCTCGAGGCGTACGGCGACCCCAGTGGTCATTCCGCCATGGCGCTGTACGTCGGTGTGCCGTGCGGTATTGCCGTGCAGCTCGTTTTGGACGGTGTTTTCAAAACCCCGGGCATCCACGCGCCGTACTCGAAGGAGATTTGTGATCCCATCCGTGCGATTCTCGAAAGCGAAGGGCTCGGTCTGGTTGAGAGGGTGTTGTAAAGGCCCCTTCACCCCCAAGACAAAATATAAACAGGCATAATTGACGCGGTGTACTCATTGTTGTACAAGTGGTAACTGCTTAGCGCTCAGCCATTGTATGTTGAAGAAAACCAAATTCGGTCCCGATGAATTCCGCTGATTAACTACGTACCGAGTACTGATTGACTACTGAAGTACTGAAGTATGGAATCTTGGAGCCTAAAGCTGAATGGTGACGCGTTGACGGATCAATCTAAAGACTATCGAGCGCCTAGTTGGACAAAAATCGCCCAGCCACGTCAGTAACTCAGTTGCACCAGGTTATTCCGGTATTTGATCGTATTCTTCAGTATCCTCGCTAGCCTAGAGTATCTTTCGGAATACCTCAATATTAGCAAGTATCTGTCTCATGTATGTCCGTAGCAATATCAATTATTCAGTATACTTCCGGTCTTGTAATCTAGTTTTTGTGAGTATCCTGCCTTGTGTATGCCTCAGGTGAACGTCCTCCTCCCTTCTGCTGATCTAAGTATTCAATGCCACCTTTGTTCCTGGTGACTTCTCCCGCTGATGCACCATAGACTGCATGCACTGAACCTCAGGAACACTATGCCTTCATGCTTCCGGACAGGTGATCAACTCTCTTTCTTGTATCCCACCACCATCCGCTTTACATAGGTTCAAGTTCTTGCGCGCACGCGCAGCGCTATGTCCCAACAGCTATTGAACATGCGGGGGGCCTACCTTCCTGGAGTCTCGTGTGCAAGCCGCACTGCACACCTCTTGGAGATCAAGCCCCTTGGCGAGCAGCGGGCGCAGGCCCTGTCCCTTTTGCAAGCTGCAGAGCAGGTACATTTCTACGTAGACCGCAATACTTGTCAATACTTAGTAGGCGCGAAGTTTCCCGGGAAATCCCGAAGTAGTTCGGGGGAAACTAGCTAATCAGTGGAGATACTCACAGATCCCCAAAATAACAGACGTGCCAATTATTTTTGTCCAATGAAACCCTTCATAAAAGACAATTTGCTGTAAATGTCACAGGAAATCAAAATCTGTGTGCGAGCTAGGTATGATCAAGACATTACCATTGAAGGACAGATCAGTTGTTGGTGGACAACCACGATGGTATGGCATAAGTATGATGACTCATTAGGATCTGCAGCTGCGTCCCGATGTATCTATTTCAACCACGATATCATGTTCTGGTAAGAGCGCGTCAAGGTGAATTATCAGTACCGTTGGTAGCGCGTGTACTTAGTGAGCATTTTCGTTGTTGATGGATAAACAGTATCTTTCTGCGCTGTGGCCTTGAACCATTACATATAATGTGAGTCATGATGTACGACTAAAGTACTTGGTTTTCATGCCACTAATTTCTCTTCAGCATAAATCAACAAATCCCCCCTCACTCCACCTTTACTCCCAGGTACTCCCTCTTATTCCCAATCGGATAAGTTATGACAAAATTCGAACGAAAAGTGTGAATGACGCGGGCAACTTGCGTGAACGAAAGCTGCGGATGTGCCCAGAAAGTATGCGTCCGTTGATGAAAGGATGCATGCTGAAAATGCGCGTCATCAGTGACAGCGATGATACAGCGTTGGTGATCAAACATACCGCTACCGAAGGTACGCTCACGCGATGGAGCAGCCAGAGCTTGTGCCCGGGCCACCCCCTGTGTCGAAGTCGGCGGGGATGGCGACTGGGGTTTCGATCTCCTCGGGGATGGGAGCAGCAATGGTGAAGAAGGCGTCCATTGTAGAGGATGACGATGCAGTTATGGGAACGGGTGCGAGGTGCGTACGAAGTGCGAATACGACTGCGTTGCTGCCACAGACGAATGTCAAGCCCGTATTTATGCGCGCAGCTGCAGGCTGCAAAACAATAAGAATGCGATGAGATCTTGAGGTTGGTCTTGATTCGATATCTGAAATCTGATTTTCTTGGTTCGCTCACTTGGTACGTCTTATTGTGTAGAGGTCGGTGACCTCATCGGCCTTGTCGGTTTCTCTATGCGGCTATGATGATCTACGAATTGGGATCACCGTTGGAGTTCGAGGCACATGAATCTCTATCTGAGATCGTGGCCGCGTCTCATGAATGCCCACACTCTTTGATATCTGGCGTGCTTCACGATGGTGCTCGTAATACTGATAAATGAATTTGGTGCACCATTGCTAAGCAACTGTGCCAAGCACTACTTTGAAGATTCTCCAAGGCGCCATGGTGAGCGGAAGTAGCCTGGAACATCTATTTGATCTACAGTGAACTGCACGCAGCCAAAAGTCTGACCTCAAGTAACCACCTGCGCTCAAGTAGAAGTCCAACAAGACAAAAAGACTGATCAGGTGGGTCGACGTGAACGATCGACCAGGTACTTTTCTCCGTCGACTACGCCTTTCCGGTATTCTTCGATGCAGGTACGTACACTGATACAGCCTCCGGAGCATGTCTCAGGTGCTCACACAGTTGATCGAGGCTCTGAAAATCTGATTGGACTATCTCTCGACACACTTGGTCGACTTGTTATCTCAGAAGGTGGTTCATACGCATCGTGCACGCTGAACAAAACAAAGCGAGAAATCAGTCGGTGGTGGCAATCCTTTGCCAAGTCAAGAATCTCTGTTCTCATGTGGCCGTAATCGCCTTTATCATGCTATGATTCGTTGCGATCTTCAAGCTGAAGTTGGTGAAGGATCCTCCCTCGCTTGGCTCAAGATGGTGCCACACATGCGCATGGTTTAAGATACTGATGGCGCCAGCGCGCCCAGGGTCTCACAGCTCACTGGTCTATGATTCCCGTCCCGTATAGTCATTGTCCCTTCAGCCGGAAGCCAGAAGCTTCTCCAGCCATGTCTTGCATCTTTAAGGCCACCGCAGGATTCTGTTCGACGTGGAGTTATGCCCGCGAGGTAAATGCATCATATATTGTACATTCATTATTCGTGTCACTGAACAGCGTTCAGGATAAAGCGTCAAAACAGTCACCCTCTCTCTACAGCGCGCTATTGTTGTCTCTGTCTCTTCCCCTCGCCTCCCCCCTGCCCATTCGTACGAATTGAATAAATTATGAAAAAATACGGATAATAATGGCGAAGGCAAAGCGCAAGAACGAAAAGCTGCGAAATGCCACGGATCATGTCCAAGTCAACCGATGTGGTCTGGAGCGACTGTATCCTGGAGTGGCCGTCAGCACGATGGGAAATGGACAGTATCACTATTGTCAAACATACCACCAACGCAGGCGCATTCATGCGATGGAGCAGCCGGAGCTGGTCCCCGAACCGTCCCCACTACCGGATCCGCTGGTGTCGAAGTCGGCAGGGGTGGTAATCGGGGCCTCGACTTCCTCAGGGACGGGTGCAGCGATGGTGAAGAAGGCGTCCATGGTAGATGTATAAGATGAGGGTATCCGAGAGGTGAGTACGCGACAAGGTCTGAATCGACTTTGTTACTACGGATCGGTCTAGCAGGCCCCCGCGTTTTATGTGACATCGCGCGGAAGGAACGCAAACAATAAGGCTGTCATTCGATCTGGAGGTACGCCGCGAATCTGATTCCTGTGATGAACGTTCGGTGCATGCCCGGTCATGTCTGGGCTCGTGCCTTATTGTTTCGAAGGGGATGATCTCACGAGTTGCTAATCAGAGATAAGTTTGTCAGATCCATCGGAAGCGCACAACGCACAACGACATGAGAACATGCGTAGGACACCGAGCTTGACGGTGCGCTACATTGACTTGAAACAAGTTAGTTGAACGGCGATTACACCACGGCCGCCTCAACAGGTTGATACAATTTGGATCGCACGCGTGCTTGATTTGCACGCTATCTATCTGTTGGGGAACTCCGTTTGCTAGAACTTTGCGAAAACAAAAGGGAGGAACACGCACGATATGAAGTTTACGCAGGAGCGCTTCCTGGCGAGCTAACCTTTTCTGGGCGCCAAAGGTTAGCCAATGTCGACGGCACTTCACAAGCTCATGGGATCGACACAATAGCAGTGGCTTCCACTTGAATTCCGTTTTACAGACCAGCATGTGCAGGAATCGCGCTCACATACATGGTCATCATGGTGATCCGGTGCTAGGCACAACATTGACCCGCCGAGTCTAAGATTAGCAGATGTCGCTATCAGTCTCAACTCACTGGCAAGCATCTCGGCTTGAGCAGGCTCCACTGCAAAGGGCGTACTCTAGATGTCGCGCACGGGCATCAGTCGTGATGCCTTTGGGCCAATCGCAGGCCGTAGTTCGGTCGTAAGTGTACAGTACTCGACGCGTCAACCTTCACGCCACCGTCCACACGAGTCAAATGCTGGTGTTCTGTTTATGTTGGCTAGTACTGTACTGAAGTCACCTTAATATTGGTCCATAACTCGGTGGATGCCTACATGTAATGTACTGTCGAGCGGGAATTGTTGTCGTCGGCTCACATCCACTCAAAATTTGACTCAGATCGATCTTATTCGACCCGATTGACAGCACCAGCCGACCGTTCAGAATCACTGCAAGCCAACTGCGCCGCAGTAACCAAAAGTCCGGATCGCACACTACAAATATTTGTAATGAAATTGCTTACCCGCTTCCACTCCTGCACTTGAAGCAGTGCCGCCGAACTGGTAAGTAGCTCAAGCCTCAAGGCAGCTCATAGCTTGAGCTGGTGTAAATTTCAAAGTCCGACACCTCAAGCTCAGCTTAACTTAGCTTGCGGTAACACTTCCTATCTACAGAGGCTGGTTCACGAGCCTACGCTAGTAGGACGTGCTGTCAGGTCACATATAAGTTAGCAGTACGTGGCAAGAATATCCTCGATCGCGGTTCGCCGGTTCTCTCAAAACGAGACAGATAATCAGTCGCAAGGTCCCCACAGGCTCCAAAGATGCATGGTACTAGTACTGTAGATGGTGGGTATAAAGGACAGTGAAGAACAGGCTGAACTGGATTGCAGCGGACGGACGTGCACCAGTCCATAGCCACGCGAAGTCCGCTTGCATGTCAGCGTGTCGCGTAGGTAAATAAGATACATCTGACGAATAAGATATATCATCAACAACTAACTACAGGAAGTCATCCGCCCATTCACAGTGAGTTAAAGACTCAGAGCCCTAAACGGGTCTGACCCACCACCTTCCAGCCCGCCTAGTATTGCCTGCCGTAGCGCACCGAGATAGTCTCCCAGACGTCGCCCATCTTGGCCGACGAAGTCCTCATATAGTTTGTACCGAGAATCCGCAACGACGTTGGCAAGGGAAAGGGCATGCTTCAAGTTTCTGGAGCAGAGTTAGGGCGCGAGCATGAACGTCTCATGTAGACTCACTCAGGGAACTTTACCCGTGAGGCATATAGCATTGCATGCAAGCGAATTATCAGCTCGGGTATGAATATCTGACGTATGCGGATGAGCTCTTGCCGTCGGCGATCATCTGCGGGAAGTCGTGAGGAAAGCATCACAATAATACAGAAGAGACATGCGGACTTCCGTTCCTCTCGACGTCAGAGACAAGCCAGTCCGTCGTCAACAGATTGAGAACCTGTTCCCTAGCTTGCTCCAGAAGTACCTGATGAAGCCCATCCGTCAATGAAGGTCGTCTCACAACGGTCGAGTCGAAGGACGAAGGTGGTTAACCTTGTAGTGGCTCAGCCACGCCACCCGCGCGTCCTTGTTCAGTTGAGGCACTTCGAGCGCCTGACACTCCACTACGCGCTCGAGCGACTCCCACACAAGGAAGAACCGGCGATAGTGATAGTACTCGTTGGCGCGCGCTTCTGGCTCTCGGATAGCGCCAAGCTCCGGCGGAAGCTTGTCCAATAACTGCTTTGCAAGTCTTACGCGCCCACATCCTGTCCCCATTGTCAGTCAGGAAAGCAATGCTAGACGCGTCGAGCTATGTCAATGCTGCTATGCACACACCAAGAAAGTAACGCAAGATGATGTTCGCTTGTTCCAAGGCAGTATTGAAGGTCGCATGTACGAAGGTTGTCCACTCGATCGAGCGCACGAGCAGCAGTTCCGCATCGGTCGGAGGAGGTTGCATTCCGATGATAGACGGTAGGGGGCCTTTTGCAGCAGATAGCACCTGACAAAAGTAGTCAGATACTAAAGTACTGGAAATATTGGGCATAATGCTGCGTACTGAAAAGGCCGTCTCGATGGTCCGCTCTGCCGTGACAATCGCGACACGGTGCATGTCGAGGCCATGCTCTCGAGCACGATTGAGAGCGAGGCGGCGCTCTTCAAGATCGGCAGAGAGCTCTAGGGATGTCAGGAACATCGCATACCGCTCTATTGCGTTATCCCCGAGTGCGCCAGCGTACATTGCGATCAGCTCACGCTGACCAGCCGCCTGGGAAAATTGGTCAACCAAGTGAACGACATCTGTCATCCAATAACTTTCTGGCGCCCGTACCTCGAGAACCTGCAGGTATGCCTCAAGAATTACTTGCATAGCGAGTGGCGGCACGTTGATCTCGATCATCTGCAAGAATAGACATAAGTGGGCAAAGAAGCGAGTCATCGTTGGGTATCTACAGCGCGCGTAAACCATCCAGTCCTCAGTTTCAACAGAGATGGAAGAGCGTACTCTGGTAAAGTCGGATCATACAGGCCGCTCCGCAAGCCGGTTGCAAAGGCCTGCAGAAGCTGGTCCGTGCGATCTAAGATTATGAGCAGTTGTGTCACATGGTACGGATTTGTTGCGGGGGGCCTAGCTGATGTCAGTACTGGCGTCCTCAATGACGCAAAGTAAACTCACCCTTCCTCGACATTGACATCACTCAGCGATTCAAGTCCCTTAAACACCGCCCCTTCCCATTCCTCCTCTTCCTTCTCCTGAAAACTTCCCTCTGTAGGTTTTCTTGTGAGGTTTTCTGGCACCTCAACGACAGCTTGTCCGCCTTCCCAGAAGCATTCTGATTCAAGCCCTGCTAGTCCGGAACTTAGTCGGTCCTCGCAGGCAACAGAGACCATCGCCCAGAGGTGATCCGACCATGTGCGGCAGACGGCTCCGAGTGGTCCGGAAGTTTGTGCCGAAGGCGCGAGTGCCGCGTATAGAGCGCGCTCCACGACAGAAAGATTTTGCTAGAATCATTCAGATATATAGATCATAGAGAGGCACAATAGTCGTGAGAATTAGTGCGTGACAACTGAAGACAGAAAATGACACTTTACAGTTAGCGCGGCACGGGTACAGGTTGACTTCCACAACTTTCTGTGCAAGTTACCTCGCCATCCGCTGTAGTCGTCTACTCCATCTTCCTCCATCATATCATCCTCACGAGGCTCGTTCGCTGAGCGCAACTGCCTGAGTATCACATGAGTGCAGTACGAAGAAGGACCAGCTCACCAATTGCTCGCCATTGGAACAGAAGTGCACCACGAATACTTGCCGCGCGCCAAGGTTGGTGTGCCCTTCTGCAGAGCTCAACCGCCTCATCAAGTTGGCCTGCACGTACTTGTGCGAATAGTGTCTGTACAAGAGCTTTGTCGTAAGTCTATTGGGCAGCGATGTGAGCCGCAGATGCAGGTGGCAAGAAAGTAGCACAGACCGCATCATCAACAGCGAGCGTTTTCCTATCGTTTCCTGTGCGATTCACCGCGTCCGGATCCATCTCTCCGATAACACCACCGCCCGTTTGGCCCGTGCGTTTGTCCTGCGTGACGACATGCCGCGTGAACTTCCAGTATCCTGTTGCCGCTCCTGGAGAAAGAGCTGAGGGATTAGGAGCGGATTCATGCAGCCATTCGCGAACGACGACAAGAGCGGAGAGGAGGGGGGAAGCATGCATGATGGACTGCGCTAGGGAGGCGGGAGGCGTGTATGGATTTGTAGCGAGGAGCGCGCGGGGGTCCGGGTATTGTTGTGGTATCGTTTTTCGTAAGCTGTGGCAGCGTACTCAGTGAATCATGGCGAACGGCTACGCGTCAAGGTTATGCGACTAGAAGACACTATCACGTGACCGTAGAACGGCGCGGAAAGAATATGTGCAGGCAAAGATACTCCGCCCAGACACACAAACGCAACTCAACATCAAGGTCAGGGAGGAGAGGGGAGGATAGGAAGAGGCCATAAAAGGGTTCTCTGGAGGTGGTCGAACTGAGATTGTGGTTCTCCTGTGGTGCGGCGCACCCTCCCGGCCTCGAACCACCGATGCACCCTTCACACAAGCGACCGGGTGACCTGCATAAACGGAATTACCCAGGTCATTTGTATAAAGGATGCAGCCTTGCAACAAGGATACCAGCTAAAAAAATTAAAGGGAATCACTCACGGAATGAGAGCCTGTAGTAGTGCCCAAGTATCACTCTCCATCCTCAACGCCTGTTGCTCGTGTAACGAGACAGGCTCATCTATGGCATAATCTCTCTCGACATCCGCCAGTCTTCGGCGAAAAAGTCAACAGGTCAACCAGAGACTGCAGTTAACCACTTAAAGCAGGGCGCACCGGTCATGACATATCTGCCGCAAGCGAGGAGCAAATCCTGTCTCCGGGTGAAGCAGAGCGGCAAGGTCATCTTTAGTGGATTGACAAGCAGAGAGTGCTTCCGCACAAGAGGCATACAAGGCTTCGGACATGGAACCCAGGAGGGAGAAACAACCGGAGAAATTCGGTAGTAGGGAATGGCGTCAAATATGAACCCTGCAGAGGAAATCAGGTTTATAATCGTATCAATTCGTGCAGAGTCTGCACCAACAACGAGTACTAGTGGTGAGTTTCCAACGCAAGAATTTGGGGTGCGCCACAAATGTGACAGACGTGGACGTGATTTGATACAATGTGACACACTCGTGACGTCTGAAGTTCGGTCAAGAACTCGATATTTCCGGCCGATCCAGCAGGGACTCGAATATCTTCTCCTGTTCCTTGGAGCGCCACGGGGAGCCAAGAGGAAAAAGTTCTGCTACTTTTTTTGCGGCTCCTTCGGCCGTTGATTTTACTGGGTATTTATTACAAGAAAATTATTTAGAATTTTGGCTGACCCCGCCGGACACTTTGTTCTTAAGGCTGGCACTACACGCGCGTTTCTTGGAAAATGGAAGTGGCTATGACGGCCATCACCGGCTTGTCACCGGCCACAGCATTTGCTGATACTTGTAGAGCTCGATCACCATCGCGTTACTGCCAAGCAACCGAGATTACTTCCCAGCAACCACCATGTCGCGACTCCTCGACGAACTCGAACACATTGTCGATGAAATCCCCAAAGGCCTTTATCACGCGAAAGAAACCGCGATAGGTACGTCAATATGTGTCACTTATCTTCCAAGCCGGTAGAGAATCGCATACGAGATATGTAATCATGCACTCTATTGTTTATAACGCTCTAAGATGATTTTGGCACCGCGGTCTCGAGCATCAGGGGGTACATTTAGAACGAGGGTTTGTAACGTCGGTCGAAACATCACGGTGGTTTGACGGGAACTACTGAGCAACGATGGTCAATCTTTCGTTGTTTTGCTTTTGTATTCAGAGGTATACCTGGCATGCGTCGTTTCTCCTCTACTGGCTTCGAAATAGCTGCCATGAATGCTTGCCAGATTGCTTACCAGATGCCAATTCGCAGGCCTGCTTAACCCAAACAGTAAGTCGCACGATGATTGGTCTGTATCGAAGTAACGTCATATTCGAGCAGGACGGCATGACAACCCCCAGGAGAAACAGGAAGACATGATTAGAGCAGAAATTAACGGCAGTCATCGTTTCCACTCGTTCGCTGCCCAGCGTCATCAGAACTTTGTGAAATGGTGCTCCGCTTCTCGTCTTCTTGCAGCACGCAGATCAGCGCTGATCCGCTCTTCGATTAGGCACATTGACGGTATGGACTATATGTACGCCGTCTCCGAAATGTTGGAGACCGCACGCGAGGCGATTTTCATCTTGGTATTCTTATTGCCCATAGCGCGTGGTGACCTCTTAACGAATGTTCTCCTAGGATTGGTGGCTCACTCCTGAGCTCTATCTCCGTCGTCCCGCAGCGTACAACTACGATTGGCGTCTTGATCGTGTGCTGAAGCGCAAGGCCGAGCAGGGCGTCCGCATCTATGTGGTCGTCTACAAGGAGGTACTACAGACTTGGGGTCGTCAGTCTCATCTCTTGACGCCCTCTTCATCAGGTCACGCAGACGATGTCCATGAGTTCGTCCCACACCAAGGTTTGTCTAGAACGTGCGTTTTGAGCTGGTGGCCGGCTGACTTGGAGCAGCATGCGCTCGAGGACCTGCACCCGAATATTGCGTGCATGCGGCACCCGGATCATATCGGAAGCAAAGGTACGTCTTCTTTCGAGCGCCCGATGACGTCTAATGAACAACGCGCCAGACGACGTCGAGTTCTGGTCGCACCACGAGAAGGTATGCTCCAACACACACCATTACCTCAGCCGTATCTCACCGGTATATAATTCCTAGGTTGTTGTCGTCGACAACCATCGCGCGTGCATTGGCGGGCTCGACTTGTGTTTCGGTCGATGGGACACACACACGCATCCTCTTGCGGACGCGCACCCTACGAACTTCGAAGCTACGCTTTTCCCGGGTCAGGACTACAACAATGCGCGTATTGTCGACTTTCAGAACGTACAGAACTATGTCAGCAACGGCTTGAGTGTGCTTGAGAGTCCGAGGATGCCGTGGCACGATGTGAGGGCGTGTGCTGCATAGTTCTCCTACTTAACTGATGTCCGGCTAACTAGGTTCATATGACCATCGCCGGTTCTGCGGTGCTGGACATTGTGCAGCATTTTGTGGAGCGGTGGAACGAGATCAAGAAGCGCAAGGTACGTTGTCTCAGGAATATGACAGTTATGCGTGTTCATCCACCTCATAACAGTACAAGAATGACGAGTGCGTAGCTCCATACACTCCCCATCGCTTGATTCTGACAGTCACGTAGTCGGTACGACTGGCTCGCTCTCCCTCATGATGTCGAAGTTGCGCCCCAGGAGGCCGTTGCCAGTACGCCTGCCCTGTCTTGCTTACTCGCTAATCCACCGAGCTCTGATGAAGTGCATCCGCACCGTGAGCTCTGGCACCGGATTGGGCGCAGCTTCCGGCAGCGCTTCCACCGTCCCCACTGGGCACAGTATGACGATTACCTCGATGATCCTGCGCTCTACCCGCGCCCACCCAATGGGACGTGCCGCGTACAGGTCGTGCGCAGTGTCTCGGACTGGAGTAATGGCATCCTCACGGAGCGCAGCATTCAGAATGCTTGTATGTGCTTTACCTGCTTTGAGATTACAGTAATACGAATCCATTCCGTCGTATGCAGATATTCAACTGATTGGCGAGGCGGAACATTTTATTTACATCGGTAAGGAGGACATGATGCATCTGAAGAACATGCCTGATTGTCTTCGTGTCTTACAGAGAACCAATTTTTGTATGATCTACACTTGGCTTCACCTTGGTGCTACGTACCTATATACTACTTGTAGCATATCCAACACCAAGGATGAAGGTCCGGTCAAGAACCTCATCGCCAAGGCCTTGGTGGAGCGCATCCTCCGAGCAGCTCACGAGGGTGCAAAGTTCAAGGCAAGTCATCACACTCCGAAGTCACTACTCTGACAATCACGGGAAACATAGGTCGTCGTCGTCATACCTGAAGTACCGGGTTTTGCAGGTCCAGGTAGGAATACCCTTTCTTGACATTTGGTATTTCTGACCTTCAGTATGATCGTAGTCAAGGACGATAACTCGGTCAAGACTATCATGGCAGCTCAGTACCGCACGATCAACCGAGGCGGCAGCAGTATCTACGAGGAGATTCGCAAGGCAGGGTTTGAGCCGTGAGTCCTGCCATGATGTCGTCCAACGTTGTATATGAATGCCTGTGCAGCATGGACTATATCCGCTTCTATCATCTTCGCGCTTATGATCGCATCAATGCGCCTTATAGTAGGCCATCTTACTCGTGCATGCTCAATGCTCTTTCTCACCGCCGCTTGCAGAGTCCTTCATCGCTCAGATGGAACAGATCAGCGGCGTCAAATTTCACGAAGCCATGGTGGCTCAGGCGCGTCTGTGGATTGGGCCGCGCGAAGACAAGCTCGACCCGCAACAAGTGACCGTGGTCCTCCCCACGGGCAACTTCAACGCCGAGCCGACGCCCTCCGGCGCTAAGACTGAGTTAAAGACTGAGACGTACACTATCCCGCCATCATTCGAGGCGGCCCGCGATATTGTTCAGCGTTTCGTAGGCAGTGCTCGATCGCTGCGTAGCGACAAAGATGTGTCCGACAACGTCGTGCAGCACATGTTGATCGACAAGACCGGCCTGCTCCAGGAGCAATGGCTCGGGACCGAGGAGGAGGAGCGGACAGCCTACGTGTCAGAGCTGCTCTACATCCACAGCAAGGTGATGATCGTGGACGATCGGAGGGTTATTGTATGTCCTCCTTGCGTCCAGCTAAACATGATTGTTGTCTGACCCCTTGTCTAGCTTGGCTCTGCCAATCTGAACGATCGCAGTCAACGGGTAGGTAAGACATTCTGCCCTTGGGAAATTGATATTGAGATCTGCTTTCAGGGTGATGGTGACTCTGAGATTGCATTGGTTGTGGAAGATGATGATATGATAGATTCGGGGATGAATGGCCAACCCTATTTGGCATCCCGCTTTGCTTCTTCTCTGCGTCGCAAGTTGTACAGAGGTCAGCATTATCATCCTCATTTGTTACGGCTGTCCTGCCAACTAAGTCTTATTCGCCCGTCAGAGCACCTGGGACTTATTCCTCCCCAGGACTGCAAGCCCAATTCGCACCCGACCACGTTCATGCGTCCGGCACCTCACCCGAACGAGGACGAAACGAGAACGCGTGAAGACGCACTAGTGGCGGATCCAATCTCTGATGCGACCCTCAGCCTCTGGAATACCACAGCCAAACGCAACCGGGATATCTTCACTGAGATCTTCCGTCCGATTCCGACGAACCTTGTCAGGAACTGGGATGCCTATAAGGTAAATGCTCGGTGATTCATTCCCTTGCGTGATACTGAAGCACTCGCGTGGTCATAGAACTATGTGCCGAAGGTCATGACGGATCATGTCGTCCCTGATATATCCCTAGACCGCATCAAGGACCGCCTTTCCCACGTTAGGGGTGCCCTTGTTGAGGCTCCGTTGGTAAGAGCAGTTTCTTTATTCTGTATTATTACCAGGGTGCTTATGCACTCCGAATGCTCTGCAGGACTTCTTGATTGATCAGAAGGACTTCGCCGAGGGACCAGAGTGGGTTGGCTTGAACCCGACCTTACCCATTTACATCTGAATGTACCCAAGTACAAACAATGAAACGTTGTGAAATCTACTTATACTGTATGTGATGTTCGATATCTAGTGCTCAACACCCTGTATCTGTTGGCTGAAGCTGACAACTTGTGAATTTCCATGTGATTGAGATGTTAATTGCCACTCGAATTCGAACGTGGCGAGCTAGTTGCGTATGCTCCAGCTACACTTATGAATGAGTCCATTGTGTTCACACAGGCGATTCTTGGAACAATAGTTGCAATCCGTCATAAACTAATTGCGCACAATGAGGTATGGACAGTCATACGGATCCCTGTACGCTCGAGTCTCCAGAACTAGCCGTCAAGCGGTGCGCTCCGATGTCAGCGTAGAAGCAAACCTAGGAAACCATTCCCTTCCCTCAGTTCAGCTCTTCAAGGGATTCGCGCTGCTCGAGCTCTGCCTGACGCTCGAACAACTCCTCCCTCTCCAGCAGATCCCGGCGAACCCGCGACGGGCGCACGACGGTGCCGATCCTGAACCCGTATAAGGGTTCCCGCGACTCCAGCAAGTCCTCACGCTCCAACAGCTCCTCGCGCGGTTTTACTGGCCAGCCTCTCACTGGTCCAGCTGGTCCAGGGCGTTGATAGGGATCGCGCCGCTCGAGCAGGTCGTCACCGCGTTTCCCTCGAACGTTTCCACCGGCACTTCCACGTCCGCGTCTCTCGAGGACATCGTCATCACGTTTCCCTCGGACATCACCACCGGCACTTCCACGTCCGCGACTCTCGAGCATGTCCTCGCCTCGCTTTCCTCGGAACCTTCCACCGCCTATCGGCCCAGTCGGCCGAGGTCGATAGGGATCGCGTCGGTCGAGCACGTCCTCACGCGCGACAGATGGGTGCTCGACGACGCCGATGCGAGGGTGGAACCCGTCAATGAAGTGACTGCGAAAGGTGCGCATAAGCTAACGTAAAGCGTAGATGAGATGCCCTACTCACACTGGACCGGCGATGACGGGAGTTGCCGCGACGGTGGCGATAGCAAGAAGAGCGACAGTGGACGCACGCATCGTAAAAAGGGACGTTGAACGGAACTTGTCGTAAAAATGCGTAGTAGTGTGAAACGGAATGCAAAAAAGCCAAGCAAGCTGCAGGACGTCAGTAACAAAAAATATTAGAATATTAGAAGACTCACTATCCAGTACTCGACTTGGGTGTTAGACGAAAGGAAGGTGAGCTGAATCAAAAGCTGGGGAGACTCTTCCTGGCGTGCGGTATTTATATGCAGTGAGTGCTAGCCAGGCCTGCGGTTGCGATCTGTCAATGCGCACATCAAAGGTCTGCGAGATCATGTTTGAGGATCTTGCACAGCTTGCCGACTCATCCATCATAAAATCTTCGGTTTAATGACTGATGGACATGATGACTGACTCAGACGCTCCACTATGGGTGGATACACCGTAAATTCGTTGGTGTAATGACTGATGGACACTGATGACTGAGTCAGACGTTCCGCTATAGAGGAGTATATCGTATACCCCAGCTCTCAGGCGGCTCCCATCGCGCTGCGCATTCTCCGTATTTTCGCTATTGTGAACGGTGTGCATGCCATAGCAGTCCACTTTGAGGGATGCGGCGCGACAGGCGTTGAATCCGTTCTACTACACTTGCCTTACGTGGAGTGGAACAACGCTTACATCAGCATACCAGTGCTACTTAAAAGATCTGGGATCGGCGCTTATCGTTCAGCGTACGATATCAGTCCTTACACTTAAATCACTCACTTCAATCATTTACGGGGCCGGCTTTCTTTAGCCGTGCACATTTTCAGTGTACGGGAGTGAGTGATGACTTTGCCCTGTCACTTTTGTGCATAACAATTCTGCAGCTCAATCACTTCGAAGACACAACCACGATAACGATCTCTTTGTATATTGTACTGCTTCGGCCGGTCACCACCACTTTTAATCCGCCATGGCCGTTGCCAGATATCCGTTTAACAAACCCACTGCAGATCTCATTCTGCGATCATCCGATCGGGTCCTGTTCCGCACGCATAAGACGATCCTTGCCGAAGCATCGCCCTTCTTAGCGCGTATCATTCCGCACAGTGCAGCTGCACACGGTGCCTCTGTGAACGACCTCCCTGTTCTGGAGATTGAAGCACAGTCGCGCACGGTGGAGAATCTACTCACGATCTGCTATCCAGTCCCGAACCCTCTGTTGGCTTCGTCGAGGGAGATCAGCGACGTGTTGCATGCAGCAGCTAAATACGACGTGAGCTACGCCTTTGTGGTGTGCAAGCAAGCCCTACTGCATCCAGACCTGGTGCGGGATGACCCGTTGGGCGTTTATGCGGTCGCATGCATGCATAGACTGGAGGGTGTGGCACGTGCGGCTGCTCGACACACACTGCGATTCCCATACCTCCTTCGCCCATCGGAAGCTATGAACGCACTTCCTGCTCCGGAACGAAGCTGGCTTTTATGGTATCGGGATGGTTGCAGACAAGTCGCGATTCGAACGGTCCACTTCTGGTACTCTTCCAGGATAGAACGTGCCAAGAACCTTACTTTCGAATGCGAGGAGTGTCGAGATCTAGACATACCTCCGGAAGAGAATCTCATAGAATTCTCAGTTGACAAAGAGTATTTTCTCGCACATACTCTCGCACTCATGGACAAAACCCCGTGCGGCGAGGTTATCCTGAACGACGCGGAGCTCGGATCATGGAGCTTCGTGGACACGCAGGAGATTTCCTGCTGTGGTTGTCGAGAGGGTATTGCGCTTGCAATGCGACGCTTTCGCGCAGACCTTGCGAGAGAGGTCGACCGCGCAATCTTTCCGGTGAGTGTCTGCTATTTTGTTATTGGCTGTACTACCTGGTGCTGAGGTGGTCGCTCAGCAATCTCATTCGCTTGTCTTTCCGAGCTTGTATCCGAGAAGCTTGTCGGGACGCCGCCGCTATCGTTACTAATGTTACTCAGGATTAATGGCCGTTATGACACCACTTATTCTTTCACTCCGGATGGTAGCTCGCCGTTCTACGCTCCCTGACGACCCATATTACGAATCGCACATAATCGTACACGTTCGACCGCTCTTGTATCTGCCGTGTACTAAGTATCTACCGCGCATGTATCTACGATGTGTGTACTATGTACAGTAGCCTGTCGGAGAGTTACTGACGTCAATAGATGGAGGAGTTATTATCCCATTCATGACCTTGTTCTTGAGGCTTAGGATCGAAGATGAGGCACGGGATACGTCTCAACAGGATGGACACACAATGCCAAGAAATATGATTCTCATTATCATTTACCACCCTCTCTTCGCGCCTTGCTACGAGAATACTCTCAACGCGGGTGGCACATCGTTAAATTTGACAAATTCTAGTACTTCCAACGCAGTTGGTATATTTGAGTTCGTGATTGTTTGAATTCGGTCACACCCGGCATCACTAGCGGTGAGTGCCGCTTCGAGTCTGTGTAGCTGTGTGCATGTCGACGGCGAAACGATGTACACAATGGCTGCGCCTCTGGTGATCGTTGAACTGGTACTACATCATAGACGCCAGATAGGCATGCGCAGGCTTTGATGTCCGTCCGAGTACGTACACCAGATTTTCAAGGTCTGCGATTCTGCGACATGGGACATTGGCAAGAATCATTATCTGCCAAGACTGTTCGGGAACAGTAAGCAAATGAAAAATTCGGAGAGCCTCACAGATGGACTGTTCAATCTTGCCCCAGCTGACACCCTTGACGGCTCCTGATGGCCGTATCAGTGACGATGATATCACTGTTGAAATGATCTTCTGCAACTAATGCATGCGGCTATGGTGCTGCGGGGACAAGGGCGACCAAGTGAAACTTGATAGGCAGAATCTTGCTCACATCGTTCCGGGAGTCTGGAGACATTGCAGTGCATGCATGCATCACCGTGGTCGTGAAAAACGCGACGCGTCCAGGTCACGCGTATGTCACATGGTTTGACTAGGAAACCCTTTGACAGATTTCTCGATATGATCTTCAAATAGACAGCCACGATGGCTTTTGCGGGTCATACATTTGAAGAAATACCTGTCATGCAGCTGGCGGACACCCTTCTTGCACAATACCGAAGCAAGCCGCGTCTCTGAGGTTCAATTCGTCCTTGTGAAACCAGTAACTCTTGAACGGCTCGCTGATTAGGCAAGAATCAAATTGGACGGATGTGTCACAATTGCCAGACAGCACGAGGTCCACGAGGTTGGGTGTCCTTTCGAGTACGGACAGAATATTGGAAGAGAGGCCCGGGCACTCATAGTTCACGGGTTGCAGCTGTGTGAGAGAATGCATATCGTTTGCTGGCAGCCATGACAGACTTTGGAGGGATAACTGTCGAATGCGAAGGGCGTGCCCGTCATGTATAGAAACCATATCTGCACGCTTTCGAGAGACTCCCACACCCGAAAGCGTGAGCGACTCGATTCTGGGAGCAGAAGAATACAGATCTTCTGGTTGAAATGTGATAGTGTCACCCTCCCACCAAATTGACCGAATACGTCGGGCATCTTGAGAAGGCAAAAGTGCCGTTATGGATTTTCGGGGCAAGTGATTCAAGCAGACATCCAATGGAGCAGATCGAGAGCGCTGTAACAAGACATCCACAGGTACGGTGGCAGATGGGAATAGCACAATATTAGCCCAGAGGGTGGGCAGGTCCAGCGCAAGGCCGCGCCAGAGGTGGCACACATGGGTCAATTTGACGTAGCATGTGGAATCCACGTAGCGAGGCAACCAGGGAGAGTTCCCGAAGTCCTCGCAACAGAAGTAATCACCAATTGTGCATGGGCTGTCTGGTACAAGCTGGAAGATAATACCGAGAACGTCGGGAGGCAAGTTGTTGAAGGCGTGTTGTGAATTGCGGCAATCGCTCCCAAGGATGCTTTGAGGGTGGTGGCTAATTCTGTGACCTACGTAGTTATCCGTGGTGAGTAGCAGAATGTCGCGAATTTCTGTGATCTTGCTCACTAAGTTCAGGCTATAATCTCGCTGCCGAAATTGCGCAGGATTGTATTTCACCATCGACTGGATGGTATCGGCATTGCGCCGGTCCTGACAAACCTCGAAGTGCCAAACGACACAGCGCTGCGGTTACGTTATTTAATCCCTTATGAAGTAGATGATCCTATCAAGCTCTCCCGTTTACCTTTGATGAAGAGTATCACCAAAGTCTTCATAGCAAAGATTCTGAACATCTGCGAGCTCGTCGCCGTAGGGCCAGTCTCCGGAATTGAAGTTGTCACGGAGCAGTGTGGCGTGAACGACGACGACGATATCGCCGCCTTCGCACCGTTGTTCGCCTTGATCGACAGAGAATTCCCATCCAGGAGCTCTGCATTGCGGAGAGTACAGGCACCTTCCTACCATTTTCTGGTCAACACAACCGCTTCGTCCGATGCTGCAACAGATGCGGAACTTGGAGACATTGGTAGTCTCACAAAAGAGCCTGTACCACACTATCAATGCCCTCCTTGCACCCATGAGTATCTCCCGGTTACCTCTCCCTCGCAGGAACATGACAGTGCATATCATCATGCAGCTGTCCGACGTGAACATGGAGACACTCGGGAGCCTCATAGCACGCCTCACGGAAATCGGTGTCATGCGCCTTATCATAGGGTATCACCGCATGCACGCCGGCCCTCCGTTTGAGGGTACGTGCTTCAGTGGTTTATTCAAGTCGGTGGAACATAGATACCACGAAACCATGCCTGGCCGGCCGTGTGCACATCCTATGCACATCTCCATTGGACGTCGTGGTCGGAGTCGTGGTCCTACCTTGACCCTCCAGTGGAGAATTATTAGAGTTGAGTAGTGTGCGCGAAGCGATGGAGATAGCTTGTGTTGGGTAGGAATAGGAGATGCTGAGTACCCATAGCGAATTACCACCGGGCTCTATTAGGCCTGTACACTGTACATGTATTCCGTAAGTCCGTATACCTGACAGACACTCACATCAGGTTCCCCTTACACCTACCCATCCTGCAAGTAGTAATATCACGATGATGGAACCCCAAGCTCGTATTTGTCCGATGTTTATGTCTCTATCTCCAGGATCCATGCCACCTGCAACGGCTTCCCTGAATTTAACTGCAGCCGACTGGGCAATATAGGGAGCTGCAAGTAACGCGGGGACATCACTCGCGTTTTCGCTCTCAAGCGGAGCAGCACCCTCTGAGTAATGCGAGAACGCTTCCGCCGAAGGTGGGTAGTCCAGTAAGGCGGAGAGAACTTCTGCTTGAGAAACACCACCGAAGAAATCGGTGACAAGTGTGTCTTGAAGAGGCCTGTCAAAGAGGTCTGCTCGCACACCGGCGTGGGAATGAATTTTCTCGAAGTCATACGTGTCGAACTGGAAAACGCAACGTCAAAATTAGGATATATCGCAAAAGAGTAGAGACGCACGAGGTCCTGCATTGATTTTTGACTCGTCTTGTTGATGCCTTCCATGAATTGGAGAACGTGGTGAGTGTAACTATCGATGACTGCCACGCCAATGTCATTATCGTTCTCATGCTGGATATTTTATCGGTCAGTAGAGAGCATGATTTCTACGCCGGATCTACACGCACGGAGTAGGAATTCTCGTGAATCTCAGACGACCCCGTTGCGAGGATGTTTGGAGAATAGAACTTGGTGTACATGGTATTGGCTTGACATGTATCGATCATGAAGAAGATCTCGTTGTACCTGCATAAATAATGGGTCAAAGATCCCCGAGAGTAACCAAGGCATCCTACCGCTTCTTCTGGCACATTTGGGCGAACGCGTCGGCTATATCAAACGCACTGATTTCCTCGTTGTCTTGGAACTTGAGAAACTCGTTACCCCCATGACCAGTCATGTAGACGAAGATATTTGACCGGTCGTCCGTCAAGAGACGCTTCGAGCGGGGAACAGAAGGATCCATCCGTCCTGCAATACGACCACATAAGGCACCGCTGAGATAAGGATACTCCACAGTTCACCTGTGAGAACTCTGAGGAAGTTTTCGACGGTGACTTCATACCCTCTGTAGTCTACCTCGATGTTGTCGCCGTAGAGGTCAAGGTGACGGCCGCGGTTCGCGTACACACACCCGGGGAACTTGTTTCTCGCATTGCAGGCCACGTCATCCGCGAGCATCAAAATGATGTTCGAGTCTGGTATGCCCAGACGTTTGACGGTTCGATACCTGTGACATGAGGTCAAGTTCTGCAAAAACAGCCCATCCCGTCAGTCAACGCACATGCCAAGTGCATTTGCCATATGCTGGCTGTGTGTGAGTTTCGAATACATATCTGACGCACACGAGGAGACATACCCTGTAGTTGAACCAGTATCTGGATGCGCATACTAGCACCGCCCAGTTACTGGTGTGCGCAGACGCGCTTCCAGCATGTTTGGGGAACAATTTACCGACATCCTTTGCTACTGCTTCCTGCGCGGATGTAGACGTATCAAAGAAATTCAAAATAAATAACAGCACGAAGAAGATGTGGTAGTTGCGGCACAGCATTCGAGCCGCACCGTGGGGCTGTAACTTGGTTCGAAATGCGCTTCACGAATTTAGCGCCCACTCTTACGCGATGCGATGAATTCTCGACAGGACTTCTGCGCAGTTCGTGCTAAATTACTACTCTACATGAAGCCTGGCTATGAAACATTACGGTTCCGCTATGCATAGAGAATGGAAAGAGGGAGGGAAAAAGAATACAACGATTTGCACAACTAAACGTGTGATGAGGGCGACATATAGCATCTCCGGAGATATAATACATGCACGATAAAATGAAGGCAGCTTGATGGAGAGGTATACTACAGAGGTATGGGGACAACACATGAAGAGGTGCAAGCCATCAAGGCCTGAACCTGCTGCTCACTGAGTCCAGTCTCGTAAAAGGGTCGCGATAGGCGCCTGTGAGTGGTGCTGGATGCGGTTTCGAGCCAGGTGCATTTTCCGCTCACCTGCAAGCTTGTTGATGGCATTGATCAGGTCACTTCGTCGTAATGGCTCTACACGCAAAGGTCAGCGACATGCAGCCTCTTTGAGAGAGTTCCTGTGCGCACTGGTGATGTGATCGTCCTGAAGAGAAATATCCATTAGACGGCTGTATCTCACAGCACCAGATCTGACTCACCATTCCTGCCTGTAGGCATCTCTCCCTGTCTCCAATCACTAGGAATATGGTGGCCTCAGTATGGCGTCATAGCGGATGTGCGAAGTAGATACGCACTTGCGTGTGCAGTCAATGCAATGATAGGCACGGGGTCGAGGCCGTGTGACGTCTCGTACGCACGAATCAACTCGGTGGCCTCCATACCGCCCATGAACGGCATCGACACATCCATCTAGGAAAGGAATTCAGCCTTGTGTTGATTTGCAAATCGACACAAGACTCACGAGAATGATGTCAAATGGCCTGTTCCTCTGGATCCGCGCCTTGAACGCGTCGACCGCCAGCGAGCCGTTTTCAGCGATCTCCACCTGGTGACCATACTTCTCGAGGATCTTGACTGCAAGTTTTTGGTTGACGAGATTGTCTTCCGCGATGAGGATGTCGTATGGTACGTCATTCTCAGCGACGACTGGGGTCACCGTGTTCGACTCTAAGGCTGAGATCAGGGCCGATGCGAGGTCTGGGGCAGTCACCGGCGTCGTGACTTGAGATGATATGCTGTTGTCGAGGCACCATTTCACTGCACATAGGTCAGCAGAAGTTCCTATATAAGCGGATTGGGCCACACACAATTTAGTCGAGGAGCGGATTGCTATAGAGTACCCGTCAATGCTGGGCCTGAAGGATTATCTGACGCAATGACGTACCGGTGTCAACAGTACGATAGGAATGTACCGCAAATGTTCGTGTTCTCTGAGGCTTTCGGTCTAGCACTAAACGTCAACATAATATTGACAACGACACGAAGCGCATGGACGCACCACATGGAGAGAGTCCACGACGATGGTATCGATATGTGGGCAGGTCGCCTTGTCCGCAACCTCGCTGACGTCGTGAACGACGTAAGGCCGTAGGCCGAGCTCTAGGATCCGCTGGACAACGCCCGTGCGGTCATACAGGGTATCAACAAACAGGATATTGCGCTTCTGGAACGGCTGCATCTTGCTGAGAGTGCCCTCCATCGTCATCGGGCTTATTTGCGACGTAATGGTGAAGAAGAACTTGGAGCCATTGCTAACTTCGGACTCGACCCACATGTTGCCTTGCATGAGCGTCACGAGCCGCTTCGAGATGGATAACCCTAGACCCGTTCCACCGTATTCCTAACCCACGAAGAAGGATCTTCAGTATCCATCCCGGGCAAGGCAATGACGTAGACTCACTCGTGTGGTGGAGCCATCTGCCTGGCAGAACGTGTCGAAGATCATGGTCAGCTTGTCCTTCGCGATACCGATACCCGTGTCGCACACGCAGATCTCCAAGGTCACATGCATGTCATCCAGCGCTAGTAGCCTGCAGCTCAGTGCAACCTGGCCCTTTTTTGATACCTTCGATGGTGTGAACTTGATCGCGTTGCCCACCAGGTTAGTGATAACTTGGCGCAGACGGAGGGAATCACCGATCAGCTGGTCGGGAATGTCGGGATCCACGTCATATGTCAGGTCCAACTGGTTCTGAGAGGCTCGGACAACTAAGGTCTTGAGAATGCCGAAGACAGTCTGCCTGAGCGAATAAGAGACTTGTTCCATGGTCATGCGTCCAGCCTCAACTACACACCCAGGTCAGAACAAATACAGCGGAGCTTTGAGAAGCACGTACTCTTTGAGATATCCAAGATATCATCGATGATCAATAATAACGAACGGGCCAAGCTATGCACAAGCAGCAAGCTCTCGCGCTGAGATCGGTTCAGGTCGCTATCCAAGGTGAGTTCCGTCATGCCAATGATGCCATTCATTGGCGTCCTTCAGTGCGTGTCAGCGACAGCGAGCATCATGCAGTCCGGTACAACTAACCTGATCTCATGAGACATATTAGCCAAGAACTCAGACTTACTGCGATTGGCCAACTCAGCAGCTTCCCTCGCAGCAGTGTTCTTCTGGATGCTGTCTCGCAAGTTGAACACCATCTGGTTGATCTGTGTCTTCAACGAGTCCATTTCGCCGTTGGCTTCGACAGTGATGAACCGACTGAAGTCTCCGTCTGTCGCAGCGGCGGAGATCTGGGCGAACCCACGCACTTGGGTCGTCAAGTTCATCGCCATAGTATTGACAGACATGCTAGATCCCCGGAGTCAACACCCTACCAATGACAAACATTGCACAGAGGCACTTACGTGAGATCCTGCCAGATGCCCTCGACATTGTCGACTTGTGCCTGACCGCCGAGTTTGCCTTCCGTTCCGACCTCGCGTGCAACCTTCTGTACCTCGGCAGCGAAAATGGCCAACTGGTCGATCATGCGGTTAATGGTGTTGACTAAATCGAGCATTTCTCCGGATACGGACACGCCCATGACCTTCTGCGTCAAGTCTCCTCGAGCGACAGCGGTCTACAGATAGATCAGTAGTGATCTTACTCGCATTGAGAAGTAACATACCGTAGCTACTGCAATCGTCCGCACTTGTAACGTCAACTGAAAATATAGTTATCGCACCAACGCCACGACGACGATGACGACGATGGTCAGTACGCACGTTGGCCGCCATGACATTGACATTATCCGTCAAATCCTGCCAGATGACGGCGTTCAGCATGGTGCCCATTCCGGCGGTGGAGAACTACATACCCTCCAAGTGCCGCCGACATTCATGACCTGCGCCTGGCCACCCAACTTACCCTCCGTGCCGACCTCCTTCGCGACTCGGGTGACCTCGTCAGCAAAGACGCTCAAGCTTTCCGTCATGCCGTTCACGGTCTCTTTCAAGTCGAGCATCTCGCCGCGCACGTCGACCGTGATGCGCTTCGTCAAGTCTCCGCCGGCGACGGCCTTGGTCACCTCCGCGATCGAGCGCACCTGGTTCGTCAAGTTCATCGCCATCAAGTTGACGTTGTCCGCCAACACCTACCGCACGCCGTCAGCGAGCGTCGACGAGAGGAGGTGGAATGTACCTTCCACATGCCCTGTACGTCCGGCACGGATGCCTGGCCGCCCATGATACCCTCGGTCCCGACCTCAAGCGATACGCGTGTGACCTCGCTCGCCAACGTCGACAAGCGGGCAACCATCTGGTTCACGGTCGTCTTCAAATCCAGCATCTCTCCCTGCACATCGACGTTGACCGACCGGCTCAGGTCGCCGTTCGCGACGGCCTTTGTGACCTCGGATATCGAGCGCACCTGGTCCGTCAAATTAGTCGCCATTTTCTACAATCAAATCGCGGTTGCACAGTTCAGCGTCGGTCCCGATGGACCGAGGGAGGCGGAGGGGACCAGTAAGCCAGGGAACCAGTCAAACAGGAGAACAAACAACATACGTTGACGTTCCTCGTCAAATCCGCCCAGGTGCCCTGCACGCCCTCGACGCGCGCCTGGCCCCCCAAGATACCCTGCGTACCTACCTCCAACGCGACGCGTGTGACCTCGGACGCGAACGCGCTCAACTGATCCACCATGGAGTTCACCGTCTGCTTCAAGGTCAACATCTCGCCTTCGACTTCGATCTCAATCTTCTGTGTCAAATCACCCTTGGCGACTGCCGTCGTGACTTTCGCGATCGACCGCACTTGGTCCGTCAAGCTCGCGCACATCCGGTTAACCTGAATTGATGACGTCGTCGGGTGATCAAAAATGGAAGGAGAGGGAAGGGGGGAATTTAGGGACGTACATTACGAGTCAAATCCAGCCACACTCCCTCGACGTCCGGTACATGCACCTGTCCGCCCAACTTTCCCTTAGATCCGACCTCCAATGTAACCCGAGTGACTTCAGCCGCTAACGTGCGCAATCGAACAACCATGCCATTGACCGTGTTCTTCAGTTCCAAAATCTCACCGCGCGCATCGACGTCGATCTGCTTGGACAAGTCGCCCAACGCGACTGCCTTGGTGACCTTGGCGATGGACCGTACCTGGTTTGTCAAGTTCGCTGCGAGCTTGTTGACGACGCCCGTGAGCTCGCGCCAGGTGCCTTCCGCGTCGAGCACGAGTGCCTGACCACCCAGTTTGCTGCGAGCACATCAGTCTCAACGGGAACAAACACGATGCAGGACAGAGATGCGCGCACCCTTCCGTACCGACTTCCTGACTGACGCGAGTGACCTCCTTTGCGAATTGGCCCAGTTTGTCCACCTGGGGTGCGAGCGCGGGTGAGCCATCGCACAGATAGAAAATTAGATTTTAGGCACCATGGCATTGATGACCTCCTTGAGCTGTACCATAACCACACCCTGAACGGGGACCGTGATCTTCTGCGACAAGTCGCCGCGCGCGACGGCGTTGCAGACCCGCGCGACGTCCATGACCTGCGCCTTTAAGAGCTGTAGCTCCTCGACGGCGCTCATGCCGCTCTCGAACGCTGCCGCGGCGAGCGGGCCGGGGGGAACGACGAGCGGTGAGCTGATGCGCTCGCCGGTCAACGAGGCAACCCTTTGCAAGGTCGCATTGTCGAGGAGCGTCTTCCCGCAGTTCGGGCAGTACATGTGGTCCGTATTGGGCAGAATGGGGACGACGCCGGTGCCGTTGACCTTGAATATCCTGTTGAAGCTGTCCATCGGGTTCACGACGCTGTCCAGGGATATGTTCATCGGCGAGACAAGGTGCACACCGGGAGCTGCGAGGGGGGTGCGCTCGGAATCGAGCGACGAGATGTCGGACATCTCGACGTCATTGCTACTAATGGTGCTCGGGATGCTCTCCACGCTACTGCGGGCGGCGAAAAATGGCGAGATGGTGGTCGCAGCGGCGTTGGAGAGGCCGCTGGTGTCGTACGACGCGGTGCCGGCGCGGGACGAGCTTGCGCTGGAGCTGTGGGGGCTGTCGCCGACGCTGCGACGCTTCTTGGACTCCGGCCCGCAGTTCTCAGAGGCCTTGATAGCGTTGAGCTGCTCCTCGGCGGTGATCATGCGACGGGTGATGGCACCGAGAGAGCGGAGGACGCTGTCTGTCTGCCAATCGGACGGGCCATCGTACTTGGGGGTGGGGGACGAGAGGGGGCCGAGCTCGTACACGGAGAGGAGGGCGACGAGGTGGGTGAGGAACGGGTGGTTGATGTGCTCCCGATAGTCGACGATGGGGGTTATGGCCGCCGGCATCGTCGGCGTCCACGTTGTCAATGTCGTGATGGTCGTCGTGGTGGACAGTGAGGACGAGGTTCGCGACTAATGGGAGAGGACGGGAAAGAAGGGAGAGAGCAAGGAGTATCAGATCGCGAACTCGGCGCTCAGCAAGGCTACCCTTACACGCGTTCGCTGCAGTTGCACCCTCTCGCTAATCTTTCCCGGGAAATCCTTCCTCCTCAATCGATTGCAACAACCTCTGTGTCGTAAACATACACTCTCCCTCTCCTCGTGTACGCAAATAAGAGGTCTGAACCGTTATTTTCAACCACTGATTCATGTGTGTTGCACCGTGGTCCGTCGATTATCCGGCCGACATTGATATTACCTTCTAGACTCGGAACGCATACATGTAGTTCTGCCACTCTAATTGTGCTGGTAACCATGCCCACTCGCCTGCGTCGGCGCGTACTCGTCCGTACAAAAAATGTACGTGAATTTGTGATGCTCTGCACCTCGCGCAACCGCCTCACCACGGAGCAATACAATTAATTGCGTCAACGTCCTCGTGATCTTGCGGTCTGATCAGTTCCGTCGCGGGCATCATCGTATTGGTAGCCCAAAAAAAAACACAGACAGAGCTGCAACAGAAACGGACCTCGAAGTGACGACCGGAGAGATATGGACAAAAACATGCCGGCAGCAGGCGCACTCCAATATTCTGGAAGTCGAAGAGTGGAGCAGCGAGCCCAAGGTGCACTGCATTCGCAGGGTATTGCAGCAAACGCAGCACCCGCGGCGGCGCGATAGCCAGGCGAGTGAATTCGAAGGCGGACTAGGTGCAGGCGCTGCTGCAAGCGACACGGCGGGCACTAAATATTAAATCATAATGACGGGGTGTCCGCGGTCCCTGCAGCACGGGGGCGCGTCTGCGATCAAACTGTGAGCAGACAAACCGCAGCGTCCAAATCTGAGCCTGCCGGACGGCCCAGGGGTGATCCACTTGGCATGATAACCTGCGCTAGAGAGGAGCACACGCGAACACGAGGGACTGCACCCGAAAGCCCGCGGAGGATAACTGCGTGTAGAGGAGCAGAAACGGAAGCTCCATCTCCTTCGTGACACTGACAGGAACTACAACGTCTTGCGCGGACAGTCGTTATCCATACGAACGCATTGCGCTGCAATTGCGTGCGGTTAGAAGTTCGACATGGTAGCATGACACACCACCGCATCCTGTTCGGGAACCATCTACACACCAGTGCGGTCGTCCTGTTACCATCAGCGATTGACGAAGAAGCAAGCAGGCATCGTGGTCCACAGAAACGCATCCAGCAGCACGCGTTCCCGACGCGCTGGCGACGCTCTCACTGCGCACCGCATGTAGCCAATTGGCGCGGCCGGAATGCGCACAGCCTGCTCCGTCGTTCGACGCGGTTCGTACTTCGAGCGGGGAGCCTCGACTGCGTGCGAAGCCGAGGAGCATGCTATTGCAGCAGACCAGGCGAGCTTGAGGGTGACACAGGACGGCAGTCACGAGGGCTGACAACCTGCGCACGGGCTACCCACATCGCAGCGATGGTACAGTACTTACTGTATCGGTGTTTTCACAACCCAGATGCCGCATCGGACCAGATGTGCCGGTGTAGGAGGTCGGACCACCTATACCGTTCCGTCCCAGGAGTTTGGCTTCACCGCTCGGTGTAACGGACCAGAATAGAAACCAGCGCGCCAACTTGAGACGAGTGGGACCAGGGGATTCTGCGCTCGGAAGATCTTCACGAACCGGGTCCAGACACCGTTACGCAGACAAGCAGGACTCACCAATTATCACTCGAGAAGTCCTCGAGCACGCCAGGAAGCCCAGGCCACAAAGCAGCCGGTTGGTAAGATCCACCACAGGACGTATTCGCGCAGGCTGGCTCACAAGATGGCGACTCCGCTATTATTCGCGACCTTCATTAATACTGAGTGCTCGTGCAAATCTCGGAAGGAAAAGGCTTATCGGAAGAGCACCGCTCCACACGAGACAGGTATAGCGAGCAGGAGAAGATCGCCATGTTGCCTGGACCTGGACTTGTGAGTCTGATCACCTTGTATGTCTCGTATCGCACGCCACGCGTTCGCGAAGCAGTGGAGTGAGTACGTATCAGCTAACGGTACTTAGCAGGAGGAAACCGACTTGCGCAGCGTAACTCGAGTCACGGTGTCATGCTAGCGCGCTTGTCACGTGAGCTCTGTCACGTCACCCGTCGCGTTCGCAAATCAGTCCTTGGACAGAACCGACTCGAGCTTCGTGTCAATGTGAGCTGGCCCTACAACAGAAGGTATCCGAGTGCTGGAAGAGGAACTCACCGCATTTATTTGTAGAGATACCAACTCGGATTGCCGGTACCAAATCACGACGATGCTCCACGAAGCAAGCGTACAATGCACAAGGAATTAGAATTTACCTCACATCTAATCTGTCGAGCAGCGCAAAGCTGATGAACTCATTAATTGAATCACAGTCATTTGACACTTTGCGCTCGCCTGCAGTGTAAGTATTTGGCCCGACTGGCACGTTTTATATACCACTGCGGCGTGTAGGAAGAAGTTGAAGACCATCTTCAAATTCGAGTACAGTATGCGGTTATTTATCCTAGAACGTTACACGGAAGTTGATCACAGTGACCCGACTACGATGTACAATCCGACACTCTGTATTGTTCCGTTGCTTTCGTTGGTAGCCGGCGGCGCGCGCAGGCCGTGGCTGTCATGCCGTTAAATATTCAGGGCCATGTGGAGAACATTATTTCCTGGCGTGCGAGTATCGAACGACATGATCAGCGAATTTGAGCACTGGTCAGAGTACTGACCTCCGACGGACCCCACAGAGTTCATTCCGAAGGCCCACAGCACTGAGTAAGCTGATTGACGCAGCCTTTGTTGGCGAAAGATAGTCACTCCTTTTAAATAACGGCTAGCATGATGTGGGTATAAGTGAGGTGTTTTTCCCGACTCGCGATCGGCGTCGTCCTTGGGTATATGTATGGGGACTTGAGGGTTACATGTCACGTACAATGTATAGGTCGGTAAGAGCCGGTGGCAATTCATTGTGCATGTTCGACAACTCCTTCGTACCCAACGCAACTTCCAACACCGACTCGAATAAACAGCCGAGAAATGCATGGTCGAACCGAGGGCCGGTGTACTGGCGGTGGTACGCTATGACAAGGCGCATAACGCCGATTTCTGCAAGGCGTACCACGACCCCCGTGAGTGCCCCCATATCGACGTCAGGCAACTGCACGATGATATGCACCGTCATGTTCCTGCGAAAGAGGGGTAACCGAGAGGAATCCGTGGGTGCAAGGAGGGCATCGATGATGCGGTGCAGGTTCTCCTCCATGACCAATAGCTTCTCCAAATTCCGCATCTGTCGCAGCATCGGGACGAAGCGATTGTATTGACCGGACAACGGCAGGAAGGCACCCTCCCTCTCCACAATCCAGAGTTCCCGGATTTGCAGTAACGGAAGCTCCGCGTAGAGCATGGCAAACAGCGGTGCAAAGCCGACGGTGTCGTCCCTGTCACACAGCTCCGTGATGATGTCGACCCCGGAGGCCGGCCCGACGGCGACGACTTCGCAGACGTTCGAATCCTGCGTTATGAAGACTTTGGTGGCAGTCCTCACTACAGGTGAGCGGGACAGCTTGATGAGATTTTCAACTTTATACGGCATGAAGTAGCGCAACCGTAACGCCGTGCTGTCTGGCACCTCCAGGTGTGTTAGCACCGCTGCGATGCCGATATCATCCAATCGGTGCTGAAATACGATCCTGCGTAATTTGGGGAGCGAGACGAGTCGGGAATCAAATTGGACAGATGTGTCGCGATTTCGAGACAGCACTAGATCGACGAGGTTGGGTGTCCTTTCTAGCACAGACAGTATATCAGAAGAAAGGCCCGGGGACTCGTAACTCGCGAGTTGCAGCTGTGTGAGGGAATGCATGTCATTCGCTGGTAGCCACAACATACCACGAAGGGATAAGTATCGAATGCGCAAAGCCTGCGCGTCGAATATGGGCGCCATACGCACACGCTTATGAAAGATCCTGTCTACACCCAGAAGCGTGAGCGACTCGATCGAGGGTGCAGGAAACCCCAGATCTTCTGGATATAATATGGCTTCGTTTCCCTCCCACCAGATCGACCGGATACGCTGGGCGTCTTGAGAAGAGAACAGCGCCGTCAACGCTTCCCCAGGATAGCCGGTCCAGTAGACGTTTAAGGGAGCGGATCGCGAGCGTCGCAGCAAGACGTCCGTAGGCACGGCACCGGCGACAAACGGGGATTGTACGATGTTGGCCCAGAGGGAAGGCAGATCCAGCGCCAAGTGACGCCAGAGACGACAAACATGACTCAGTTTGACATACGGCGCGGGGTTTACACAGGAAGGCGACCATGGAGGGTGCATGAAGGCCTTCCCATAGTAATATGCAGCCCTTGTGTATGGTGCATCCGGTACGAGCTGGAAGATAAGACCGAGAACATCCGGAGGCAGGTTGTTGATGGGGGACAGTGTATTGTGAATCCGGGTAATCGCTAACAAGGAAGCATTGAGTGTTATGGCCAGTTCCGTGATCTACATCCCCGGTGGGTCTCAGAATGCTGCAATTGCTGTAGTACGGCTCACCAAGTCAATGCTAGAATGATAGATCAAAAAAGTGAGCTATTCGAGTTGCAACGTGGATAGAGAGGGGTAAAACGGACCTTAGGGATTCGGCTTGTTTCTGTATCTCTGCTAGAAGGGTCTCCGCCAGTTGCATGACAGGGATCTCTTCGAGTATGTGACGGGCGCAAGTCGCCATGGTGACTATCAAAGATCGCACTAATCTCGCCGTGAGTGCTCAGTTGATGCCTGCCAAACGAATCACTTACAAGTTCAAGTTACAAAAGCTACCAAGTCTCGAGTTTCGAATGCTTCCTCCGACTCGGAGTACGTGCACGGTCCTGCTCAAGATTGAAGCCTCAGGAATCGTTCCCTCCGTTCGGACGGCGCCGCGTGTTGGTATGCACGTGGATAACGATCTTATGGTTAATTATGGGAGTGCGGAAGCTGGAACTCTGAACCTAAGTGCTACAATATTCCCCACTGCCCGGGCCGTTAGGGTGGGCGCCTCGTCTCGGTGAACTCGCGTACCTTTGCCCGTGTATGGTGGCAAAGTACATCCTCTATTTTCACTGACGGAGTTACCCATGATGCGGCAACCGCAAAGCAGCGAGTAGACTATTTCAACATGGACAAAGTACACAAAATCTACTCCGCCCACGGCGAGCGTTTCGCATCATCGCAAACCCTGCGAAGGTACATCAATTATAACTCTTGAGTCCAAGGTTCGCAATTGGTCCGACAGTATTGACGACAAGTAGCCACCTCTACACTACTTGTGCACACTACTTGTCCACGCGACGGGCATGTCCAAATATTATCAATCTTGGCAACACGTCGAGCTCGTCAACCAAACACCTCGTGTCTCCTGCCCACAGATGTAAATGACGAGCTTCTTGACACCGTTCTTTTGACCGGGGACATCTCGAGCGCGAATTCGTGTGCCTCACAGTGATGGCATAATGGTGTCTAGAGTCGTGCCGCTGTGCAACGTACCACAATCGGCTTCGAATGTGGTAAAGTGAGTCAGATATACAGCTACTACACATTGTCGGGCCTGAGATGTCACTTAAATCGCGCAGAAACCTCTACAACGGATCTTTCAGTTACGCACCAGCAATATACGTCAACACACCATTCCAACAGCTTCTGCTCTGACCCCGTCATGGAGTGGAGAGTATCACACGACACAGAAACCATCAGGAAGACTTGTCTTTCACAGAGATCAGCGTGAAAATATCCCTCAGAAACCGTATGCACAGCGCAGACGCTACCGGGTTACTGATCCGATCGTGGTTAGCAGTCGTCTCGGGCACACGGCATCACCGCTTGCTGCTTCCAAGTGCCGAGATCCTGCCGGATTGCGACCAGGATCCTACGTACGCCAAATGAGTAGCGCTAGGGCAGGTTGGATGTGAATAGAATTCCCATCCCCTGTGCAACGAGTTTCATGGACCGTCGTCATTGGCTGCCGTTGTTCTGTGGTAGAACCAGAGCTGCGTCCATGATCAAGCTCAAGCTCTACATGTGTCTCAGCGCAGTTGATGCGGTTCCTCTGCCAGGGCGTGCCTTCTATTGTGGATCAACCTATACATTGACCGCTTCAATAAGACAAGGCTAAGTACCGTAGCTCGATGGAATGCTCTAGCACGAAATTCACAAACTTGAGTGCGAAGCGGCGGAAAGCCGTGAGCACAAGTAGTAAGCACCGCTTTGACGTAGCAAGAGACTTCGTAGAGGAAAAACTTGAGCATTGAAAGCTGGAGGGCCGAACTCCTGTGTCACCTGTCCGACCCAAGCTCAGCTCGGGATCTTCCATGCATTCTGATTGTTTCATCGCAGAAATGAAGACGGGGCTTGAAATTGGAATGACGACCGGTGATCTAAGTCGCATGCTAAAATGGGAAGGAGAGATGCTAAAAAAGGAAATTCTGTTAGGGAATCTTGTCCGCGGTGAACCACGCCTCTGTGCGTCCCTCTGTGACTGGGTACTAGTGCGCCACTCGAGCTCAGAGCTTGCTTGTGGGCAGCAGTCTTCACTGCACATATATTGCCATCACCCATACTTACTGGATCGTTGACCGCTTGTGTACCAGGATTTTGTGCGGATAATGGAATTGGCAGGCTCCCGGAGTTCGCTGGATCCAGGTCATATGCCGGCCTTCGAAGACCGAATGCTGGGGTACCCCTTATAGGTTAGGTCTGCAGATATACCACTAGTAGATTGCTCGAACCTGTCTGTGCACACGTCAAACCGCGCAATCTTGACACTTGATCTCGATATGTGTGCATGGATATCATAGTGGCGCTCTAACAATATATTCCAGAGGGCTCCGAGATACCAACTGAAGTTTCCGAATACACTGTACAATTCAAACAACGCTTAGCAGCAAAACCCACCCAGTCTCTAAACAAAGTGACAGCCTATGCAGTCGGCGTCTTGTACAGCCCAACCTTGAGCGGCATCTCCGGCTTACTGTTTTCCTTGCCCACCGTAGGATACCGCACACCGGCCATGTTCCACACGATCGGTTTTCCGGACAGCTCAAATGTGAACTTCGGGAGTAGTGTCGTCAGGACGACTTCTGTGGCAGCGATGTTAGTTCTAGTGCGTATATGGCGGAGACAGGACGGACTCAATTCCATCTCGGAGAATTTGAAGCCACTAATGAGATATCATTATCAGCCTGGAAACTAAGCTTATTCAGGGACGTCACGAACATGCAAGCTCTACCGCCGCCCAGGAAGGACATCCTACGCAATGATGCATCCTCAGCTTCATGTTATACAGAAGCACCGCAACTTACAAATGCGAATACACGCCGGGTATGTGGGCATCCGTCACAGCGTCGGGGAGCGGCGAGAGCCAGCGCTTGGGCTTCCACTCGAGCGCATCCTCGCCCCATAGTGCCTTGTTCAAGTTCGACCCTGTGATGCCCAGGAAGATCTGCGTGCCATTCGGGACAAGGATCTCGCTCATAAGTTGCCCGTTCTTCCCGCGGATAGGTTGAGAGAAGGGGAGGATTATATCCTTCCGGGCTCTGTGAGCACGATATTCAATATGGACTTAGCGAAATTGATAGGTGCACGTACTGGCGAGAGAGGATTGTGACGGGAGGGTGGCTGAGATACGTATAACATTAGAGACACCTTCATAGAGCGAATAAAATTGCTTACACCCGCATAGTCTCGCGACAAACGGCGTCCAAGTACGGCAGCCCCATCAATTCGTCGTACGTCAATGGCTGGACTCCTCGACTGGCCGTTAATATCTCATGGCGCAGTCGCTCCTGGACCTCCGTATGTTCGGCAAGAAGCCCCAAAATGCGGGCAAGTGTGTTTGACGTGGTGTCCGTAGCGGCAAAGGTGAGTGTCCTGGGCAACAATATCTCGTCACAATTCGTGATCCGTTGAGCTGTAGAAACCGGAGCTCACGACATCTGGGCAAGAAGTTCCTCCTCCGAGAGCTTGTCCTCATCCAACTTCGCATCCATGTTCGCCCTGACTGAGCAGAAAATTAGACAACACGTCGGCAAACATCCAAACGACGCACTGAGGATGCTCATGATATCCTTGCCCTCGCCCACCTGTTGCGTGACAGCCTTGTCCCCCGCAGCGAGTGCAGCCTTCTTTGCGTTGAAGATCTCCTGTGAGCGCCGGTACATGGTGTCTATGATGGCCTTCATCCGCTGCACCCGGCGGCTCGGGATCATATTCACCACGCGTCGGCGAAATGCCGGCGAGCCAATGCGCACCAGGTATGGGAGACTGGGCAGGAGCAGATCCAGCGAGAATAAGACAGGTCTTAAACAGTCGCGGAAGTACAACCCTATCAGATGGAACTGAGTGCATATACGGTCTGTTGCACTTACAAGAATTCCTTCAGCGCATTACCGTACTCATCAGCGGCGTCCCTCACTAGCGGGTCAAATGAGTACCCAAGGCCGCCCTGTCCGATCAGCTCGAGTGCCGTGCGTCCCATCCAGCCCAGCATATCGAGCTCTTGCGGCCCGTCAGTGACACGTGAGCCCATCGCGGCACTTAGCTGTCACATCTGGTGAGCGTTCGAGATCGATAACAGACGCAGCAGTAACGTACGTTGCCTACGACCTTGTAGAAAATAGGGAGCATGTGACGCATGTGTGCAATGGAGAACACCGGGTTCAGCATCTTTCGCTGTTTACGGTGGACGTCTCCTGAGACTGCTTCAGACTGACAATGAAATTTCCAGCTGACTGGTTGACGCACCAACTGTTGAGAGCAGACTTGGGCCAAAGTTCAAATGATTCGACCTGAGCGATAATCAGGATCAGTGCACGAGGTAACATTCAAACTACACGTACGTCAGGAACGCTGGCGGCTCTTCGTAGATATAGTGGTCCTTCACAATGATGTTGTGCAGCGCCTTCGGGTCATAGACGTACAGGATGGGTTGCTGACAGCGCGCAATGTCTCAAGAGTCTTTCGTTTACAATGAGCTATCACACTTACCCCTAGAAACCCTTTGAGATTGACAACAGGGCCATAGTTCTGCGCGACATCCATCTGAAACTCCCATCCATGACGGGTCATGAAGCGGGAGAGGTGACCTATTCACATCACAAGGCAGTCATTAGGGATGTATTGCAGATGTCGCATACGGACGAGTTCACCGAACCAAAAGGAGTTGGATGGAGGACCCAGGAGGTTATCCAAGGGCGACTTCACCAGCAAGCGTCGCACACAGAGCCACAAAGTCCATGTGGTTCCCGCTATTAAAAGAGCTTGAAGCAAGACACTGACCATGGTCACGAGCACGAGATATTGAGAGAGTCGCTGCAGATAGTCTGAGGGAGTAATGGTCTTTGAAGATCTTCCCCCCAACTTATATAAATGTTTCGCCCATCCGAACACAACGGAGGAAACGGGAACAAGGGCAAAGTTCGGTTGACTCAAGTGCCGCTGAGGTAGATGATATATCGTAACTATCATCGGTAAATGGGCGCCCCATCAGAAGGATAAGACCTCTGTGTGAACGTTACTTCAAGTGTAGGGCACCGCGTGAACGTCGTTCTCCGGTCCTATAACGTGTGAGTTTATAGGGAATTACTCTAATTTCGATACATACCGAGGAAAGTTGCAGGCATCGTCGAATATTGACAACGGCAGATGTCAAATGGGTCAGAGCTCGGCGAATTTGATCGTGGACGCAAACAATCCCAACTTGAACTGAGTATTTCGCGAGCAGACAAACCGGTCCAATCACCAGCTTCTTTGATGAGTTGAATTGCATATGGAAGCTGTATGAGCGGTGTTCCAAGTGCTGTTGGCTGATGGTAGTTTCTCGTTACAGGTTGCGGAAAAGATCTGTTTCAATCTTCGGGCCTTAGGATTTCCGCCGGAACCTTACGCAAAGGTCCTCAAACAGGGACACGGGCGGCATCATCATCACACGGGCGTCGACCCACTTCTCAGTGCGCTCTCGTAAAGGTTGACTGTATTGAGCTTGCACTCCGTAGCACAGCCCTTGTCTGCTGGTGACAGATACCTGGAGGACGGGCAAGAAAGTGTGGGGTGGCGCATACTGATTTGTGTTCTGTGCTGATTTCCTCTGGTAGAAGCCGCGGCCGCGGCCACAGCCTTCACGTACTACAGGACACATTCTGCTTCTCGGGGCGTCCGCCCTCCGCGTCGTGTACCTGCTCGAACTGGTACCACTCACCGCAAGTAAGCACTGTGCAGAGCCGTCGTCAAACGCGTACTGCAGTCAGCAGGAGTTCAGCGAAGCAGCATGTGGACACTACACTGATTCGGACAGTCAAACGCTGCCCAGCTGCTACTACAGAGAGTCAACGTCGAGGGGACAGTGTGCATCAGTAATTAACAGTATGAGAGAAAGATAGAACTTACCGCCTAAGTCAAGAATTCTGTACGTGGATTATTTGTATCAGAACGATGAGTGCTCGCGGAGGAACGAGCATGGTCCTCGCATACCGCTGCACCCGTACTGCTTCTTCGTGATTGCAGTTCAACTGGATCAAGGAGAAGCAAAGGAGAAGTATGTTTTCGCAGCCTCACCTCTCGTGTACCCTTGGGTAAATCCTGGTGTTCGTGCGAAGTGCGAGAATCTGCAGGCATAGGGCAGGAGATCACATGGGTAAGGGATGACGTAAGGCCTCTGGCAGGTATAAAAGTCAGGTCGGCACGTCCTGCAGAGCGAGTGCTGGTGAGTGATTCTCGCATCGACTGGGAGAATAGCGTGCTCATCCCTCGACCGCAGTGTCCGTATCAGGCTTGGTGAAGACCTCCGGCACGAGTTTTGTTAGAAAATGCGGGGGCTCGTAGCCCTTTTGGGAAGCGAGGAATTTAATCTGAGAGAATCGGACCGGACGCGAGGTAAAGGATCGGGACGAAGATGTGGCTGCGGAGCTCTCATTGCTCCAAATATAGATATCCTTTTATATAATGGCCACATTATGTAATTAATCTCCGCTGTGGCGCATCCCTCGGATGCCCTCGGATTGCCTCTTTTCCGGCCATTTCCAACACTCCCCCTCAAGCCGACGGGCATTCGAGCATATTTATTTGCTTCTGATGCCTTGGCTTAGGGATTGTTTTTCTTTCCGGGATAGGACAATAAATATTTTGAGGATCGCATGCGATTAATATCGCCGTCTGATGGTCCTCAGATACACACTCCCGACCATCCTACCTTCTGGTAGGGGTAGACCAGCAGTTAAAACCTCGCGGGAAAAAACCCAGTGGGAAAAGCCCGCTGTCAGAATCTGGTGAGGGTTCCCCCAACACCAAATAACACTCGCTACTAGCCAGAGTGCGATTTTTTTTTTTTTTCAATTCTGAGCATTTTTAGCTCATATGCGCGCTTCTGTTGGCGCGCGTTCTCCGGATCGTCCTTCTTGGCATCCAGATCATTCGGTAGATTTTACCGACTTTTCTGTCTGTGGGCCTTTCCTTTTTTGTGTGCATCAGTCCCACCTTCTTCGCGTTCTTCGGGATCATCATCCCATCTGCGCTGCGCGGATTTGATGTGGCAGTTGACTGTGGTGCGGAATTCCCTAGCTCCCCCTCGCGCCACACGTCTATGGCTGCCGAGGTTTTAGGGCTTCGGATCTCTCATCCCCATATTGCACGTCTGCAGTATTGGTTGGTATGGGATCCGGCAATTTCCTTTTCTTCCCCCTGGCACTGCACGTCTGCAGTTCAGCCTAGTTTGGAGACTTCGGGACTCATCTCCGCACGCGGCACGTCTGTCACGTTGCTTGGTAGTGGACCCGGTGCTAATATGCTCCCCCTGATTTCCCCTCGCACTGCACGTCTGCAGTCGCTTTGAGTTTTATGGGACTTCAGATCTCCTTCCCATGCATGCACGTCTGCCATGCTAATTGGCGAGGGGTCTGGAATTTTTCATTTTCTCTCCCCCTGGCGCTGCACGTCTGCAGTTCCGCCTAGTTTGGGGACATCGGGCTTCTCCTTACCATGTGACACGTCTGTCCATTGGTTCGCAGGGAGCTCGGCTAGGTGGTCTTGACGCATTCATGCGCCCTACATTTCACTCCATCCATGTAGCTTACCAATATATTTTTGTAGCCCTGGATGCTAATATTGTATTTGAGGGTAGCATCTTTAATTGTGCTCATAGGCACATTTAATCGAGTAGTGTTCAATTTAGACATTCTACGGCTTTCTTTCTGGAATGGCGAGTGCAGCGCAGTCACACTCATCTCACTCTCATTGGCCGGGTACTGAGCAATTACTGTAGATTGCCCTTTCGATACTCTCGACCATCTAAATTTAGTGCCTTTGCTCACGATCAGCTTTGGCTTCTTTCCGGTGATATACCCATTATACCGGTTGATTTTATTCTGTACTCCATTAAGTACAGTACTGCATACAGCTTCACACTGTTTTTGGCCCGTAGAAATATATATTGTTGGGCCTTACATTTGTGTTTATAGGCCCCAGTCTCCGCATCCCGCTCTGCCTTGCCTGCCAGATCTAATCATCGGCTATGGCCTCGGCTTTTCTCCGGTGATACAGAGTCTGCTTCCTGAGCTTTGGGCTCGAAAACGTCTTCTGGCTATGGCTCGGGGGTCCACGCATTGCAAGTGCATCTCTCACCACTAACGCACATCGCGTCACAGCTTCCGTGCATCTTTGCACGCGCCATATTCCTCGAGGCTCACCATGCTGATGTGCGCAGTATGCATGCGCATCATCTTATCTTATCTCGCTTATCTGCTTTAGGCGCTCTGCGTTCCCAAGGCGCTTTGCATCCTCATCTAATCTTATCTCAATGACACATCTCGCGCCTCGGGTTTTCGAGTTTGGCCTCTCATCTCTGGCTCTGAGTCTTTGACTCGGGACTGTGGTCTCTCTATGGACTCTCAGTCTCTGGTCTTGCACTCTAGGCTCTGAGCTCCAGGTCTTAGCACTCGCATTTACCGCAGTTCTGCCTCTTAGGACAGCAAGAGCGCATCTCATTCTCGCACACTCCTATTTAGGCGCGCTTGGCCTCCCAACGCTTCTCTGTGCGGCTCTTTTGACCGCGTCTGCCGAATCATTATCCGGCGAAGTCTTTAGGCACAAAACAATATTATTTTTCCTCAGTAGTCCTAAATCATACATAGGACTGCTGAGATCTCCTATTACTTGTTGTGCAATGCAGTATATCAGCCTTTTGGTGAATAGGGGTCAAGGACTCAGCTATATATTCAGAGAAGAGCCTATGTCCGAGGATTGCAATTGTCTCGGGGCTCATAACCTGTTAGAAAATGCGGGGGCTCGTAGCCCTTTTGGGAAGCGAGGAATTTAATCTGAGAGAATCGGACCGGACGCGAGGTAAAGGATCGGGACGAAGATGTGGCTGCGGAGCTCTCATTGCTCCAAATATAGATATCCTTTTATATAATGGCCACATTATGTAATTAATCTCTGCTGTGGCGCATCCCTCGGATGCCCTCGGATTGCCTCTTTTCCGGCCATTTCCAACAAGTTTCATTTCAGTACTCCACTGAGATGCAACGTCGATATGAAATCGAGCGCGGTTCACCGAACATGCGCGGTAAGTCGAGCCAGGGGGCAACCAGCCGGGAAATTATCGACCTCAACCCGAAAAAGTGAAGAGGAGGACCCCGTGCACTGGATCTCCTACCCCCCGAGCCCGATATGGAAATAGATGAGATAACGCAATAGATCTACTACTAAGTACCATACCTTGCCGCCTTCCTGCGAGGCTGTTTAACTACTGTCGACGGTGCTCTATTCCTCTTCTGCGCGAGCCCTTCGCGCGTCTCTTCTATCACATCAGTATTCGGAATTTCATTTTTCAACCTCCACTCTTCAGTAACCTGCTCGTCAATCTCCATGAATGCTTCTTCGGCTCGTGAGATATGCATGTCCACGAGAAGTTGCGGGGCGATTGGTGGTAGCGTTCCGTCCTCTTTCGAGTGCTCCATAGTGATGTGGAACAGTGTGTTGTACTTCCATATGGTCCGAGGTTGACCCGATGCTGTGGGAGGACAGAGAGAGCAATGGATAGGGACATTGGTCTTCATACTTCCCAGATGATGAATTGTAATGTGCCCATGCTTGTTCACCGGTTCTGAGCGCGAGTAGGACGGGTGGATATCCAGGATTCAGGATGGAAATGCCTGACATTTGCATTGGAAGATATGAAGGAAAGAGATGCACGGCGTCATGTTCTTTATCTTATCTCATCGGGTCCAAAGCCTGAACACCACTGCCCTCGACAACGGCTGTGAACTCGAACAGCGGAGGAATATCTCAAAGTTTTGCCGGAGGTACTGTATACACATGTGAAGAACATATCCCGAGATTCCGAGCGCACAAAGTGGCCCAGGTTATGTGTAGTCAGAAAGTTGAGCGAAAGTGCTTGAAAAAGATAGAAATGGACCCCGTACACCAGTGGAGGGACAACAACCACAGGGGTTGGAGTCACGGAAAGTCCCGGTGGGTGCCCCCTGAGTCGAGCTGGAGCGGGCCGTGCATACGCATCTGCGCGTCAAAGTGGTGGCTGACCACGTGCGTTGCTCACCAATATTTGTAATTGATGCGTTCGCTCGTAAACATGAAAACGGATTTGTGAGACTTGGACGTGCAAAACCATCACGTATTCATTCGACTATCTAAACCGGATGTAGCCGGTTTTTTTCTCGCAGTTATCACACTTATAACATCACTAGGCCCATCTCGAAACACGTCACCGACATTCTCTTCGCACGCAGTGACTCTCTCCCTTATCAAATTTACAATTGGTCTCCCCCTTCATATTTCGTACTTTGAGAAGTGAGACACTTGGCACAATTACATTTATCACGACGCACCAGAGAGACATTGGATTCACCGCAAACAGAAGTCTACCTCTAAGCGGTCTACTTGGCAAATAGCCCAACCTTTAACGGAAGCTCCGCCTTGGTACTCACATTGCCAACGGTAGGAAAGCCAATTCCCGACACATTCCACACGATCGGTTTGTCAGTCAACTCAAAAGTGAATGTCGGTAAAAGAACGGACAGAACGACCTCTGTAGACGCATCGCTCTCAGTTTATGCAGAGGAAATACATGTATGTTTACGCACTCATCTCTAACTCGGAGAACTTGAAGCCTCTGAGAAATGCTTCATTAGTCAGCATGCTTGAGGTCTGTCATTTGGATACTCACATGCATGCTCGTCCGCCGCCCAAAAATGACAACCTGCGTAGGGAGACAGCACTTAACTCCACCCTCACTGCAGACCATGTGCTGCGACTCACAGATTGGAATACACGCCGGGAATGTGGGCATCGCTGACAGTACTAGAGAGCGGCAATAGCCACCGTTCGGGCTTCCATTCCAGCGCATCTTTGCCCCAAAGAGTCTTGCTCAGGTTGCAGCCTTCCACGCCGATGAAGACGTGGGTGCCGTTAGGAACCAGTATGTCGCTCATTGTCTCGCCGTCGATGCCACGGATAGGTTCAGACAGCGGAAGGACTATATCTTTCCTAGTTCTGTACAGCAACCTGCTGTCAGCAAACTAATAATTATAGCCGTGAATCAGGCGCACTGTCGATCCACTATGGTGACAGGTGGATATCTGAACATTGGTACGTCATTGGAAATCAACTCTCAAAACTTGGTGGTGAAGCGGACTTACGCTCTCAATGTTTCACGACACACGGCATCCAGGTACGGGAGTTGCATTAGCTGATCGTACGAAAATTCATCCTCGCCCCGCGCTTGCACGATCTCCTCGCGTAGCTTGGCTTGGGCATCCGGGTGTTGTGCGAGAAGCTGAAGGATGTGAGCGAGTGTATTTGACGTCGTGTCCACTGCAGCAGCCGTGAGTCCGCTAAATTGAACGTTAATCAGGAGCAGTTCCATAGAGAACGTAAAATCTTGGCTGACGAGATATGCGCAATCAACTCTTCCTCCGGAAGTTGGTTCTCGTCTGACTTGGCCTCCATATTCGCTGTCACTACATAGGAAATCGGCACGGTGATCTCGAGGACAGGAGACAACTCACTCAGAATGCTTATGATATCTTTCCCTTTCCCAAGCCTCTGCGAGACTGCCTCATCGCCCTTTAGGAGAGCGGCCTTCTTCTCATTGAAGATCTCCGTCGACCTTCTGTGAATGAGGTCAACGGTTATCTTCAGCCTCTGCAGGCGCCTGTTCGGGACAAAGTCCACTAGACGCCTGCGAAATCCAGGCGGGCCCAACTTTGTAAGTAGAGGCAGCAAATATCGGAGGAGGCCCATAGAGTAGGCAAGCGAGCTACATAAATGAATGTCATCCAGCAGCACAATGAACAGACATAACGGTGTAACACATGGCCATACTTACAAAGCTGACTTCAGCGCCTCTCCGAATTCATCGGAAGCATCATCTACGAGAGGGTCAAAGGAGTAGCCAAAACCGCCTTGCCCAATTAGCTCAAGAGCGGTGCGTCCCATCCAGCCCAGCATATCCAGCTCTTGAGATCCGCTCGTTACACGGGAAGCGATTGCAGTGCGCAACTACGGTGCGCAGTGGGTATCAAGATGACCGACGATGCAGAAGCAACATACCCTGGCAGTCACCTCATAAAACATCGGGAGCAAGTCGCGCATATGTCCAGCGGAGAACGCCGGGTTCAGCATTTTTCTCTGGTTGCGATGAGCGTCACCTGCAAAATTCGGTAAGATGACTGTCTGTCCCAAGCCTTACCCCTTGATGTACCTAGCGTGGCGCCCAATGTCAGACCAAACAAGAGATAGTTGAGGCTACGCAGAGATCAGCCCGAGATCCCAAGATCAATGGCGAAAGTCTGCACACTTGAGAAATGTCGGTGTTTCTTCATAGATGTATTGATCCCTCACTATGATGCTATGCAGCGCTTTTGGATCGGAGATGTACAATGCCGGTTGCTGGGAATTTAGAAATTTATCAATGACTTGCAAGGACCTTGAATTGAGGGACGCTGCACTTACCCCGAGCCAGCCCTTCATGTTCACAACGGAACCATAGTTACGAGATATATCGGCATGCAAATCCCATCCATCACGGGCCACGAAATTTGAGAGATTGCCTTATCGAAGTCAAAAGCAAATGAGCATCTTGGAAGTAGTGGAAGAAGCTACCTGTCCAGAAAGACTTAGATGCAGGTCCCGGTATGTTGTCCAACGGAGATTTCACGAATAAGCGTCGCACGGGGCTGTGCCACAATGCCCAAATAATACCGCATATCAATACGCCTTGAAGAATAGAAGCAGGAGTTATTGGAAGTGCGGCTGATGTGGATGTAAGCATTCTGTCCATCCTGACGCTGTGCTCATGCTTTCGTCCTCTGCACTCTGTCACTTATATGTGAATTTGCTCATGCGCAGTAAGCAATGCAGCATAAAGGTGAAGTCTTACGGCGAGATTTCAAAGAGTTATTGAGTCAGAGAAGCACAAGAAGAAACATAGAAGGACGCGATGTCATGACATCAACGTAGGTGACGCTCGTCCTCCGAGTAAGACATTGAAACGCCGAAAATGCGCTCCGAAGATCGCCCATGTGTACTGAGTTGGTGGGAAAGACAAAAATCCTGAGAGAGATGACAGTTCCTTCGCGTAGACCGTGAGTTCACTGTCTGAGCGAGGCAGCATTATATGTGACACTTCATCTTCACCTTGTGAGTATTTAGTCGGCTTGCACGTAAGTGAAAGCCTCAAATGTACACACCTATTCAATCGCATCGCATACTTGAGGTGTCGATCTAGGATTTTGGATAGCTTCTTAGAGAGACGGCGTGCTCCGAAATGGACAGCGGCAGACACTTCTTATCCGCGAGAATGTTATTTTCGGACAGAGACGTGGCGTATAAATATGTTTTTTCCCATCATCAATCGCGGATGCGTTGTGTTCTGTCGTTCCAACGGTTCCCGCTCACCAGCACCCACGGCCTTTTGACGATTCACTTGAATGCCGGAGTCGCCCTCGAAATTCGTTAATGAAGACCTGAGAATACTGGCAGTTAAGGGTAATTCCTATAGGATAGATAGGCTGGAGATGTGCTTGGGATTCCAGCTCCATAAGTCTTGTTGAAAGTCCAGGGCTGGTCGCAAGACTTGTAATTAGTCGATGCCACGTCCAGTAGCTACACGCTTCAGTAGTGTTGCCGCAAGCTAAGTTAAGCTGAGAAGCTTGAGCTGTCGGATTTTGAAATTTACACCTGCTCAAGCTGACTTGAGCTATATATGCTTGTCATTGAGCTGCCAATTGAGCTACCTTGTGGCAGGAGTCGAGAAGCGGGTAAAGCGGGTAAGCAATTTCATTACAAACATTTGTAGTGTGCGATCAGAAGCGCCCAGCTTTTGGTTCAAACCTGCGGCGCAGTGAACGGTCGAATGGGATCGATCTGAGTCAAAATTTGAGTGGATATGAGCCGACGACAGCAATTCCCGCTCGACAGTTATGGACCAATACTAAGGTGACTTCAGTATCGTCATAGTCTCCCAAAGGCAGACTACAAAATCAGTCCTATGAGAGGTGGGAGGGACGGACTGATATAGGTCTGCTTTCAAACGCGCCCCTTTAGCCGTTGCTCGCCATTTCACTCGTGAACGATAATGCCGAAGTATCGCCAACATAAACAGAACTCTTGACCCCAGTTTTTAACTCGTGTGGACGGTGGCGTGAAGGCCGCATAACGTTGACGTCGAGTACTTACGACCGAACTACGGCCTGCGATTGGCCCGAAGGCATTACGACTGATGCCTGTGCGCGACATCCCGCGTACACCTTTTGCAGTGGAGCAACTCAAGCCAAGCTTCAGCTCGCCAACGTCATCTCAAGCTGGCTTCCGGCATCGATTCTTGTGGTGGACGCAGGCAACTCGTGGGGGTCTGGCCCGGGGCAGGTAATGTTTATGCAGCCTTTGGGTCCGTCGTTGGCGGGCAATATAATGCCCTCGTTGAACCTCGGTATGCCTCGTTTGTTTTCTGGTGCCTGGGAGTTGGACTAACGACTATTATGTTCAGCCGCCTGTTGGTTGATCCCCCAGTGGGTGCCAATTCTGCGGACCCGATTCCTTCGCTTCCCTTCACGACTATCCCGCAGCCGCGTGAGTCCCTGGGCATCCACTTCATGTGAAATGATGCTGATCCGATGAACTGTGTTGTGTCATCCAAGCCGTGGCCAAAATCTCGAGATTGTTGCAAGATAAGGAGTACCGCTCCGCGCAACCAGTTTCTGAGCATACCAGTTTGTCTCGAAATCATCGTGGTACTCTTCAGCTCGGCTGATAATTCTGTATTCATAACTACTAAGGACGACTGGTTTCGCATCGATCCCAGTTTGCTAGACCCTGCGTTGCTTACAGCTGAGATGATCAGTGAGTATCTTTTGCACTCATATGACCGAGTGCATGCCCTCATCTTTACCTCTGACTGCGCGTTACTCAGCGCCCAACCTCGGTGGTCAAAATGTTCTGCAGCTCCAAGCGTTGTTCGCCGCGGGGTTCGCCGTCTACCCCGGCGCCCCGCCTGCTCCTGGTATGACTGTGTTCTCTAAATCTCCGGATAGTTTTATTTTAACGCTGTGCTTATTACTCTCAGGATTCATGTGGAACAATAACACGGCTGAGCCATCTCAAGACTCCAACGACAGCGGCCAAGACACCTCTCGCCAAGTCGTATTCCCAGCCATTGCTCGTGAGTTCCCGTTACGTTTGTATCCTCGAGAATGATACTGATAGAGATTCGTCTGCGCAGCCGCGTACTGGGCGTAGTGAGCATGCTCTTCAACTTCACTTTCACATGTGGCCCGATTGCCGTGCGGGCGCAAATTCGCTCTACGGATTGTGTTTTTTTTTTTCACTCTATCTTCAAGGATGCAAGTCACTCCTAGTTGTATTTGTAGTTCCCTTGCGCTATATCGATAGCTCTGCTGTGTCGTTGTGACAGCTGTTCACTGCTGTCTTGCTTTGTACTGCTGTCGTCACTCTCGTCCTCGAATACTGTTTTGTATTCTCCGCTCTACCCAAGTAATACATCGTGTTGTTTTAGCGAGCGATGCCAATCAAATCAGTTACGATTACAAGTGCACTTGTGGTTCACTTGCTGTCGTAACTACTTTGCTCGGCATGTAACACCCCAATGTTTAAGCGTTCACCTCTGCCCCGTCGTCCAAACACCGTCGCTCCCTGCAATATTCATAGGTCTCTCATCGCATGTCTTTTTTTCACCTCCTTCCCGCTTGTAAGCTTACAATTTTTCCTATATATAATATTACTTGGAGTTCGATGCAAGGGAGGGAGGTTCCGCGTCTCCGACGTTCTTGCCTTATAAGGTAAGTCGGCTTCCCTTTTCGGCCTACGTCATCTCATTTCTCCGGTCGTCACCTACATTAGGAACGAGCGAATCACAACTGGGAAAGGGTTTAAACTTTATTTCGTTCGCAGAGTACATATATAAGGAGGTCGGCCCATCGCTTCGAGTTATTCCATCTTTCTCCCATATATCTCTCTGTCCCTGTGGTTGTAAGTGGTTTCTGGTGATGGGCCCTTGTACAACTACAACGAAATTTTGTATGCATGCTAACGAAGGCTCCCATTTTAGCCCTCACGTTCACCAGGCTCTGCGGAACGTTCTTTCGCTTTACTGCCTGCACATACAGAGCATTCTATTTGTCACCCGGGCCGACTCACTGTGTCCGCTTCGTCTCCCACAGCAACACCCCTTGCAACATCCCTTGCAACATCCCTTCAAGTGTTGAACGTTGGACGTCGAACTGGAAAGATGTTGGTTCGTTTTCCCATATTACAGTGCGTGCATGTAGCTCGTGTCGCGCGGTGTTTACTCTCTCAATCTGCATATCACGGATGAATGCCGACCGATCCTTTCCGATCATGCAGCGATTACGGGGCGTGGCGCCGCCGCATGCTGCTACCGCAGGCCATCCCCTTCGTGACCCATATCGGAATATTCCGGTGCGCCACCAGAAGCCCTTCACAGCTAGTCGATCCCTCTTCCCAATCCCACGCGTCTGGCCTACCTGAAGTCAGTATACTCCGTCCAGATATTGCTGGACACCACTGAGAATAGCTCACATTTTGAAGTTCTTCTAACACACTGTTCCCAGACCCCCTCACACGGTCAACACGCTTCTCTCAGACAGTGACAGTGAGCTCTTGAGAGCTTGTCCAAGAAGCCATCGACCGCGTCCCATGCTGAGCGTTGAGACCCAGCGCTCCCTATCTACCGAAAAATACTTCGGTTCCCGGTGCTCTGTTCTGTTCGTCTGTGTCGACGATCTTTTGAAGATTATTCAAGCCGGGCGCTGAGTGCCGGAGACGTGCACAGGTACCAGAAAGTCATTCACCCGGATACCGCAAACTGAGATGTTGTGTCAACTGCCCAGGCTCTATCTATGGTAACTGGCAGAGGATATTTCAAGGAGACCCCGAACTGTGGTCGCTGCAGCGCCAATGAGAAGGCTGTCTGCGCAAAGGCCATGCAGCGGAAATCGTTTTCCCATATTACGGCGTGTGCATGTTACTCGTGTCGCGCAGTCTTCCTCTCTCGATCTGCATATCAGCTCATCGGTTACCACGGATGAATTGATTCTTTCCGATCATGCAGCGATTAGGGAGCGTGGCGTGCTGCTGCCGCAGTCCATCCCCTTCGTGAACCATATCGCGATATTCCAGTGCACCACTAGAAGCCCGTCACAGTCGGCCCCTCGCGTCTTCCATCCCAATCCCACGTGTCAGAAGTTCACCTACTAAAGTCAGTAATAGGCTGTCCAGATATGCTGAACACTGATTGCCATGACCCCACTGAGAATAGCTCACATTTTCAAGTTATTCTAATACACTGCTCCAAGACCCCTTCACGTGGCACGTTGCTCTCCTTCCAACACCACTGAAGTCGGAATTTCATCCCACTTTCCAGCTGGAGTGATTGCAGAGTGAATCATAGCCCGACGTCAATCCTGTCTTGACTACCCGAGCAAGCAACTAGCTCGTCGATCGTGGATATTTACGGTCGTCGTCTGCCTCACTCGGTGTAGGGCGCGCGCCTGCAACGTGACATCCACGTGAGGTCACGGCGTCAAGTCTGGAGCTGCACGTGCGTGTTCCCGACACCTCGCGCCGGCCAGCAAGGAGATGCTCCTATCTCTCACGCGCACGACTCGATGATACACGCGAACGTGTATCGATACCGGCTGCTTTTGACAGTTCATTAGCGAACCCCTGGGCCAAGAGCGAAAACCCGTGAGCGTCGGAGCTGCATTTATATGGATCGCTGTTACGCTGGGTGCGAAGGTGTCATCTTCAAGAGGGCTAATCTCCTGTGCGCGTAGGGTCATCCGGCGTTCCGTGAACGCGTGAACACGTACTCGAGTTAGAACGTGTACACGTGCGAGGCGGACTTTGCGTGTTTGCCGACGTACAGTTCAAAGCTTTGCGCTCCAGGATTTTTTCATGATGCCGGGCGACTTTCGTGTGGTCTCTATATACGAAGGTGAGTGTCAGATGTAAGGCCGTGTGATGAGGCTGCTCATCAGCTGTTGGGTCACTGGATGCGATAGTGCCATCATTCGGTGCCCCTGCTCATGTGCAGACGCGAGGCGCGGTTCCGGAAGTAAAAGTTTTTTGACCGATATGTTCTCGTTCACACATGGGTGTTGGGTTACCGGGCCTGGTATGTTCTATCACTACCGCACGACAAAATTTTTGTCGAAGTCTGGCTTCCATTCGTCCAGTGCTTGTTCGCTCACCTGCTGACAGGATATTTCCCGCTGGCTGTTGGTTGTTTCTGGGCGAGCAACAGCTCGTTACAGTCGGAGAATACACGTCTACATGGTATGGTCCGACGCCATTCGTCTCTGTGGGTCATGTCCTTGCTATGATTAGCTGCGCTATGTCGGCGAAATGAACAGGATCTGTACCTTGCACAACCATGGGGCATGCTCATGTGCTTGTGGCCGCTGAATGTTTTGTTTCGCGTCAATGATGCCTACTCCTTGGCTGCTTATCTTCGCGTTTCAGTGCGGACCGCATACAGGCGGAAACATCTGGTGACTGTTGGGTGTATGGGTATCGTTCTGGATAGGTCCATGATATTGATAGCTCCGTGAGTATCTTGTCTCCATGTCTTATGTGGCGATCAGCTGAAAAGAAGAAAAGTTCTTTCGTATATGCAGCGTTGCTTCGGACGCAGGCCGTCTGCTGAGTGGGACGCCCTTCGATGAAGCAAGGTGGCGGAGAGTAGATCCCGGAAGTGCGCACGCGATAGACAAAGAGAGTTGGGTGAATCGTGGACAGTGCATCTGAGATCTGCAGCGGGTATTAGGGTTGCTGCGTGCCGGCTCCTGGTTGGCTGGGAGGCGCCGGAGGCAGATTGTCGGCGACCGGATGTCGGACCGGAGCCTCCCTTGACGTCAAGCTTACCGCATCTGCGACGGAGCGTTCCAATTGACTCCACCACTCAGTTCACGGCAGCTTTTTTGCAATTTGGGTCGCTCGGGTCGGTAAACTCGACATGCGGGCTCCGAGGGTATTCTTATCCAGGAGGCCATGACCATGGAGCTTGTCAAACGTCCTCGCAATGGTGGTTCACTCATTATTCGGTTTCGGAATCGCCCATGCACTCTCATTGTCCTTCTCTTCCACCTCGAGGACAAACACGCACGTGTGGTCTCCTTGAGCACAAAAAACAACCGACTTGATCTTGCTCCGTGCCCTCGTTGTTTTGACCTCTAAAACGATCGGCCAGATCGCGGCTTTTTCCCGGTTCTAGAACTCGCGCGTCGCCACACTGCGCTTTGGCTCTGCTTACTGTGAGTGGCCCCGGCTCCTACATATGCCTTCTCTTTCTCCTCCAAACACTCATGTCTTCTCCCGTCTATGTTCCCCTCAAAGACTTAAAAGATAACCCAGTTTCCTCGACTGGAACGGTCATGTCTGACGCGAGCAGCCCTCAACGCAGCCCACATGGCTCCAGTCCAACCCATAACTCTCAAGATGACAGACCCCCAGGCGGGACACGTAGATCAGGCGCGAAGACTGCTCGCAAGGTGCAGTGGGTGGAGAACGACCGGGAGCCGATTACGTCCATCCGCGCGTTGGACGAGCATGGGCTTGACGTACGCACCCTTCTTGGTCATGTCTTTGTTATCTTTTTGACCTCGTTCACAGCCGGAACCGTTTGAGACGCTGACCGACGCGCTCGAACGCCATCGGTCCGACTCTCCCGTTGACCGTGGTCGCCCGGATGGCACCGTCGCTCCAGACTCGGCGCTCTCATCTTCGTCCGAAGTGACGCTTGCGCCCATGCGGGACATTCCAGGCGAGGTGTTCATCGGCGCTGACGAGACTGCTGGCCTGCCAGGTACAGGCACCGAGCAACATGCTGTCCACCAGGCGCAAAAGGTCGTGAGTGCGCACAAACGTGGTATTTTCGGGGGGTTTCGCCTTCCAGGCCATCACAATGAGCCGCAGAACGTCCGCCGGAGGAAGAGAGGCAGGAGTAGGACCAGAGGCTTATTCTCGCGCCACAGTGACGGCGAAGACTGGGACGGTGACACCGATGTAGAGAAATCTGCCGATTCGGGGCGCGCGACACCCGCGATGCAACCTGGCACGGGCGTCCTTGGTGCCCTCCTCGCGCTGTATGACCATAGCTCCATCTCACAGTCCGGTCGGTCAACGCCAACGCCTTCGCGTTCCTCGTCCGACGAGCTTCGTCCGCCGTCTGTCTTAGGAAAGTCTTCCACCTTTGACAGCATGGGAAGTACGGCCCCTTTGATATCCGGTGCACCCTCAGCATCGTCCGCCTTCGGTGGCCCGCCACTGACGACCACGTCATCGAGGTCGTCGACTTTCAACTGGGCAAAGCCGTTCGTGCTGGGAGAGCAGCGGATGCCCCACGCCAGGAACGGAGCAGGCGTGTTTGGTCCGCTCATCGCCAGTACAGGTAACATTAGTGGGGTGGCGGCCCCCGCATCTAGCACACTCGCTCCCAATATCAAAAGACCTGGGTACCACTTATCGCGGTTCGTGATGCCCTTACATGATTTACAACTCAATTGCTGATGTAGATTTTTCTCAGTTATTCGCTCGAAAGCAATTTGCCCACGTTGGAGACTGTTCAGAAGACCGTCCCGCGGTCGCGCAGCACGGATTTCGGGAGTCTACCTAACATCGAGACGACGGCAACCCTGTCGGAGGACACACACCAGGCGCGGTACTCACCCAGCGGCAGGCAGAAGTGGACCGGTGTTCTGAAGGATTTGCCTAAGCGCGGCTGGAGCCGTCCGGGAACGCCTAGTACCACACCGAACTCACCGGAGGACGAGTGGATCCACGACAAGTATATTTCGGAGGAAGAGCGCAAGCGTGAGCGCGCGGAGCGTCGGTTGAAGAGACGCAAGGCAACTATTTACGTGGGTAGCCTTCGTGAATGTCTGAATGCTATGGGCTGACTTGCGTTTGTCTCGTAGATTACCCGCCACGTCGCGGCAATTGTCCAGCGGCAGGAGTTTATCCTAAAGCTGACGCGTGCGATGATGATGTTTGGTGGCCCGAGTCATAGGCTGCAGGCACAGATCATGTCGACGGCTAAGGTCCTTGAGATCCAACTGTCGTGCATGTATCTGCCAGATGTCATGCTCATCTCGTTCGACGATGCTGCCACGAGCACGAGTAACATCAAGTTCATTCGCCAAGGTAGCGCACTCGATCTGGGCAAGCTGCAGGACGCATATGCACTGTACTGGAAGGTGAGTGCCGAGTTCGGCGAGCTGTCTCCGAGCAAAATCTTACACACCGCCAGGTCATCCACGACGATATCTCGGTGAAAGACGCGTCGATCGAACTTGACAACTTGATGCGGAACCCACCGCTGTACAAGATGTGGCAGCTCGTCATATTCGGTGGTTTCTGCTCATCGTCCATATGCAGCGTCAGCTTTAATGGCTCGTTCATCGACTCGTTGATCTCGTTCCCGCTTGGGTGTATGCTCATCGTCATTCAGTTGTTTGCTGCTCGAAATGAGCTCTATTCTAACGTCTTCGAGTATGTAGGATATACTATATATCATTGGTTGTTGATATTCATTATGTCTTTGTGTGCAGGATCACTGTTGCTACTATCTTCAGTTTTATCGCCGCAGCGCTCTCCTCTACCCATCATTTTTGCTACTCCGCTGTTGCTTCGGCATCAGTGGTGCTCATCCTCCCTGTACGTCTCGCAGTCTACGTGTTCATTGTGCTGTTTTCTCATCCCCGTTGTGCGCCAGGGTTTCATCGTTCTGTGTGGCAGCCTGGAGCTCGCTACCCGCAACATCGTGTCCGGTGCCGTCCGCGTTTGTTTCTCATTCATATACTCGCTATTCCTTGGCTTCGGGCTGGCGATCGGGGCGACTGCGTTCTCGAAGATCACACACCAAGACTCCCTCCCGGGCGAGAACGACCTGACATGCTCGAGGAGCCACAACCCTGATGGTCCGTGGTGGCAGCAGACCCCATCCCTATGGTGGGGTACGTACCCTGCTCTTTGTCGCTGCGAACGCGTGACTGATGAGCTGCACCAGCGTTCCTCACCGTGCCTCTGTACTCGCTCTCCCTCGGTCTGCGGAACCATGCGCCGTGGTGGAGGAAGGAAACAGTAAGTCCCGTTCCTGCGCTCGTGATTGGTAGCTGACGATCTCGTGTCTGTTTCAGCTGCTAGCTGTACTGGTATCCTCCCTTGGATGGGTTTCGAATCACTTCACGGGCACTAAGTTCCCTGGGCAGAGCGACGTCTCTGCTGCGGTTGGCGCCCTGGCGGTTGGGTTCACGTCTAATTTGTACGGCCGGTTCTTCAACGGCAATGCTTTTGTTATCATGGTGTGTCACTTCGCTCAATCTTATCACACGAAGATGAGCTGACTCCGTACCAGATTACCGGTATCCTCTTCCAGCTACCCTCCGGCCTAGCGAACGGCGGATTGTTCACATTCGCGTCGAACGAGACGTCCGGCACGAATTCGAGTATGACGTACATGTCCGGGTTCGATACGGCGATGCAGCTCGTGTCCGTGTCCATCGGTCTCACCGTCGGGCTCGGCATCTCCCTCGTCATTGTCCACCCTTTTCCGTCCCGGCGGCGGGCTGGTGGTGTTTTCAGCCTTTGATCTGCGTCACATCTCTCACACTATCGTCAGCAATATCGTCTGCTTCTATCCTCGCATCATCGTTCGCTCCATTAGAAGCCTTATTTCTCGATTCATCTCATCTGCATCATTATCTCAACCACGATCCTACATCTGCAATAACACCATCCGCATCTGCATCTGCATCTTGCCCATCTCATTCTCTGAATTTATTCCGTCTTCCTCACCTGTACTGAAAAGGTTTCTTGTGTTGTTATCAGACAAAGTGCTGTGTAAATCTCCCTTGATCCTACCTTTGATCACAAATCCTTCCCGCCCGTTCTCCCGCATTTTCCGCAAATCTGGACCCACGTGTCTCCTGTTTCAGTTTCTTCTGTAGGAATAGCGTTTGTTAACATCTGTTACATCACGATCGTTTCTCTATACTACATAGACTACATAGTATTGGACATGACTTGTGCGTTTGCGTATGGTAGATTTAGATAGATAAAATGATACGATAGACTTTCTCTCTCGAGCCGCCGCTGAGATCGGATGCACAGTTGAGTGATGTAGATCGGGTGCTGGTTCTTACTAGCCGTGGTCTCGTAATGGGCGATTGAATTATACATCGACAGATCTGCGAGCTGCTGCGTAGACTCGGATGCCATGCATCAACTACTACATGGGTCCAGTGGACCACTCCAAAGTTCTGAATGACTAGGGCTCGCGTAGAAACTACCGTACTAGTTATAGCGTGTGTTCTTAGTCACTGACTCACTGGTGAAAGTAACTGGCACAGAGAAGCCATCGGGGACGGGTTAACGTTGCAATGCCGTGGAAGGATCCACAGTATGGAGGACCTTGGGTGGATGTCCTTCAACACCAAACCACACCCGCCGACTTCAGACACACACCAACGACAACTTGTGTTGCAGCTGCCAAGGTGTCCGAACTAGGGCTCAAGCGCTCAAGGAACGCAGCGACAAAGCCAGAGGGATCAATTATGATTACAAGTGCACTACCACCCTCCACCTACGGCGACGGCTACAATTACAATAAGAGCGATGCGACGACAACATTGCGAAAGCAGCGACAGTAACGGGCAACGTCGTTATACAAGTACAGGGACAAAAAGAGATAGACGAAAGAGGAAGGAGAAAGAGACGAGAGACAAAAAGACGAGAAACAAAGAGGAGAAAGACAGAAGAGAAAAACCTCATCGCTTGACGCATGCCAAGCACTTGCAGCACAGCAGCAGCAACCTAGTGCCAGACTGAAATGAGGACGTTAGGCATGGGGACCGTACACAAACTTACGTGTAAACTAAAGTCAAGCGACAGGGCGCCGCTCGAGCCGTCCATTCGTGCTCATGCAGTCACGTAGAGGAATCAGCGAATTGGTGAGCTCTGCAGAACCTGAAAGGTGAGTGAAGGATACAGTCGGTTATTACAGTCTCCGAGGGGAAGGAAAAAGTGCATACTGGGGCTACGAGGAAGGGGGCGCGCTTATAGACATGCAGCAGTGCGCAGCCAAAATTGTATGCCTTCGCTTGCAAATATTCACGCGGAGTAACCGACAGCAGGATCGGTAATCTCTGTGTCAAGTGAATGTCCAACGAACGTGAAACAGTCAGATATGCAGCAACAAGAGGAAAGAGACAATCACATACCCGGCGCGATCGCAGGCAAGGCAAGGTACTCGGGTGAGAGCTGACCGAACGATGCCACGAAGTACTCATCCCAGAGATCCTGTTCAATTGGACCATCGGGCAGAAATGGAGCTAGGCGAATAGCGGAGACGTGAGCGTGAGTTCAATCGGCCTAAACGAGCAGGACTCACAACGCGGACGTGGAACGAGCACCGGCTGATATGCCGCTGGACACAGGAAAGTCAGTTGAGGCTTGGAGGTACCAGGTAAGAACGAGACGCACTATCATTCGGCAGTGGCATGGTCTGTTCCCCTATACCTGGCGTCGGTTGTAGCAGCGCGATGTCTCGTACTACTAACCGGTGAAGACGATATCGATAACACATAGCTGCAGAGGACGCGCGGAGACTTACCCATCAATACGACAGCCGGGATGGGGAGCCTGGACGTGGCCGGTGTGGAGACCTCCCACTGGTCGGAAACTAAACAAGACAGTAATTAGTGGAAGGCTAAAAGCCTCCATAGAGAATGGAGGGATGTACCAGTCGGCAATGAATGTGTCGAGCGTGTTGTCGTCCACGGGCGAGATCTCAGGGATAGCGCCGCCTGACTTGGGGGACGCGAGGGCCCCGTTCCAAGTATCGACGTCGACGAAGTTGAGGGACCGTTGTCGATCAGCTCCGATGCCACAGACGAATCGACCGCGGTGACTACTGTTGTAGTGGCCACTGTCGAGGTGGCCACGGGCGAGGTAGCCATGGTTGAGGTGGCCACGGTCGAGATGTCCCAGGTCGTGGTGGCAGCAGCGTTCCTTGTCCATTGCCCCGCACCCTGAGCAACGGCCCCGCCGGCGTTTTTTCTGCCCTTTCGCACGGTCGTTGGCTGCTCGGGCTTATGGCCCTGCGTAACTTTGGCTGCAGTGCGCCTGCGCTTCTTTGGGGGCGCAGCTGCCTTAGGACCCGCCTCTGGTTTGTCGGACTCCTCCGCTTGGCGGCCACGCTTCTTGCTTTGTGCCGCCGGAGGTGCAGGAGGTGTGGCCACCGGCGTGGCCATTGAAACTCGGGGGTACTGCATGACAACGACACGTAGTTAGTATCCATCCAGCAGTGCACATATCCGCCGACCTACCGGAAAGGACTTCAGAACGGCATCTGAGGGCAAGCTGCACCCCTCGTATGTGAAGGAAAGACTACCGGCCTGAGGATATCATGAGCAGCGGCTTAGACGAAGAATCAAAGACTTACCTCCACGAAAGCCACTGCCAATTCCTTCGGGAACACAATGTGTGGCCACATCAAGATATTACGAAGCTGGATGGTCACCGTCGATACACTGACACTAGCGAATCTCAAGCCTGACTTTCGTAATCCCTATACTCGAAGAAGTGGGGTGCACTGTGAATCGACGACTGATATGTACCTCGAGAGCCTCCCATAGCGCCTGCTCCATTCCCGCGTCTCTACCGGTATTACGGTCGAACATCGACCGGTAGGGGACAAAAAGTCCCTGGTTCTGTATGCCGTTCTGGCCGTCAGTGGGAGTATGAGTAAGGGTGAGACGATACAGCACCACTCTGTTGTCGGACATTTTTTGGTAGTCACTGCAGCGCAACCCCCGGAGCATGCAGTCCGTTTCGAGGTATTCGCTGACGAGGACACGAACCTCCAAGTCCTCAGGTATAATCTGAGACATGATAAGAATTAACAGAATATACGATGTTGGACGGTGAGTGGTGGTAGGCAAGGGTGAAAGACAAAGGTCAGTGATCGGGTGAGTGGCGGTTTAAGTAGTGTCGCGCGGCGGAGCGTGGCCACCGATACAAACTCAAATCGACCAAACAAAGACTCACTATGTTGCGGCAGCCACTTGCACGCAATGGGGTGCTGGGTGTTGCCCAACAGAGGGATGAAGATCTTTCATGTGGCCACCCGACGTCGGCCACTTCGGAAGGAGAGTTCAGACGCACGGAGGACACACGAGGAGGGCACATTCGGTCTGATGGCCACAACATTGCGAAGAACCAGGAGATCTCGCACACACTTGACCACAAGCTTCCACTTCGCTTCGAAAACTCGATGACGTCAAGGAAGTAGCGCATACGCGACATACCGCTATTGACGATGCTTTGTATGGGCACCCAATACTATTCATCAAGGACCACGCCCGAACATTGCGGTCGAACGGTGCGTGTTGTCTAGTATGACCACGGTGGTTAGCAGGTCTTCTGATAAATATGTTTTGCACTGACCATCACATTCTTGCAGCCTCCAATTGGCTCGGCAACTGGTGTCCAAGCGGTACCCTGCTGTGTTTCCAGAAGAATTTATACTCTTCGCGAACTGACTCACCGCATTCCTCTCGAACTCAGTCAAAGTTCGGAACAGCAAATCTATCACTCGGCACCGTCTGGAGGAAATGGTGGTTCTTTGACAGGTAAGCACGCAAACGGTGAAATTTATATATGACTGATGTTTGCAATAGAGCTTGCGGAATGAAGAAGGCTTCGCGCTGGAACTACATGTCTGTCCACGTCAGAACATAAATAGACAAATCGCCCAAAAGGAAAACGATCATGATGCGTTGCGCTCTCTAGTTGAAGTCAACAACCTACCTGCATTGATCCGCACTGTTGCGTCAAATGGGAGAGTCCTGTCTACAGTAGATATAAGCGATCAACGTTTATCGCATTGATACATGGACGAAATTTCATGTTCGCACTCACCACTATCTTGCTATTTCATGCTGCGATGAATTGACGATGACAGGCAACAAAGAGATTATCGTGGGCTAGAAGATATCGTTGTCATGCAAGGGCAAACGTGTTGCGAAATACTGCCAGCAGCTTGCGTAGAAGATCCAGCTATATGCAACGCCAGGACGGACCGTTCAAGGGCGCGCAGCAGTATGCCTGCGCGCCCCAACATATCATCACGGTGGAGGTATACAGGCACACTACTGCATACGATGATGGTATATTGCTAATGCGCAAGATGGCGGCTTTCATACGTTCAGCAACCGAGGAAAGATTCAGTAAGAGCGTCCTCTATCTGTTCGATGATATCGATTACCCCAACGCTTACCTGCATCTCTTACGCAGATACAAGTGTGCCTCCCGAGGGCAGCCTTACCATAGTTTTTCAGCAACAGCAGTTCAGCAGACTTATCGTAAGCAAGTCAGTTCGGAGGTCTCAGGTGTCAGGGTGACCCGCACCGATATCAAGACTGAGCGTGCAATTTGAGAGAATAAGACCCAGGAATCTATTTCTTGGGTTAGAAAAAGTTCTGGACTGTCGGTTATGGTCCAACCTTAAGGTCCAACCGACAGTCCAGAAAAACTCACTGCTGCACCTGCCATTTGTCAAATTTGTGGAATAGCGGTTTCCCACGTGGTGTTACTTCGAAGTAAAGTCATGTGATGGTACGCGTCGCGCGACGCGTCTACGCTGTGTGATGCGATGAAGGCGCTGTTGTAGGCGGCAATTCGTTATCGCCCCCTCTTGTCCACCGAGACGCTGATTCGTGTTGTGCTAATCAGCCCCATGATGTCCGAGCTTGGTGACCTACGCTTCGCTATCTCCTACGTCGCTGAAGTACCTCGTCGATACGATAGAGCAGGTCTAGCAAAATCTTCAACGCGAAAAGGCCGCTCTCCAGGAGGGCGATAAGACTATCTTGCGACAGGTGGGAGAAGGCAGGGATATCTTTAGTATCCTTAGTGCGTCATTCTCAGCGGTGCATGCAACTGACTCACTGCTCGTTAGTCAAAGCGAACACGAGGAAGAGAAATTGCCGGAAGAAGCGTTACTGGCTCAAATGTCGTGCGTTTGTTTGGACTGCCAGCTCATGCATGTGCACCATTTATGACGGCATCAACAATTTGCGTTGCTCAGGACATTGACATTCGCTGCAACAGACACCACCTCAAACATGCTGGCCGGCATCCGAATATTCAAATCAAACTGCGTCAGGAGCTCTTGAAGGCGTGTCTGGGCGATGAACCGCTTTCCTACGATCGGTTGATGCAGCCCCCGTATCTGGATACCGTCTGTCGGGAGATATTGCGAGTGTAAGTTGGGTCTCTTTTCACCACTGAGCGCTTCTGATGTCGCACCATACGAAGACAACCCCTTCTCACGATCCTGGATCGCCTGTATGTGGAATCTATATCTATTATCACCACAGCTGTTCCTTACAGAGTGAGAAAAGACGTGGCCTTGCCACTATCCGAACCGATACCAGGACTCAACGGCATGATGATGAGCGAGATACCTGTCCCCAAGGGCACCAGAATATTGTTGGTGTTGCGGGATCAAACCTCAGCAAGGTACTCTGGGCCGAGGACTCTCTGGAGTGGAAGCCCGAGCGGTGGCTGTCGCCTCTTCCCAGCGCTGTCACTGAAGCGCATATTCCTGGAGTTTTCTCAAACCTGTGAGCGATGACACCTCAACAAGCAATTGGGAACGCGGCTAAAAAAAATTTCTCTCCTAGTATGACGTTCATAGGTGGCGGTAGAGCGTGCATGTAAGTCCTCAAACGCGCTAAACGTTTGTGCTGACTGAACATATTTAATAGTGACTTCAAGTTCTCCGAAATGGACATGGGTGCTTCCCTCTCATGCGTAGGTGGATTGATGAGTCCCCTTCCCTAGAGGTCATCTTGTCGGTCCTGCTGCCGAAAATCACGGTAGAGTTGACGGAGAAGCCAATCGCGTGGAACATGGCTGGCATTCGGTGTCCCACTGTGGGTAAAGAGGGCATTAAGGCGGAGATGCCGCTGAAGGTCGGGTTGTTCAAGAAGGTGGATGTTCAAGGCCTAGTTCGCAGTTGTTTTCGTCAATTCCCGCTGACTAACATGTCTGAGCGCACGAGGTCCTGTTTCCTCTTGCCGTTAGATAACCAAGAATTCTCATTAGATGCTGTCAGTTTTCCGCACGACTCTATCATGACTGAGACAACGAGGAAAGTCCCGAGTGTTTCTGTCCACTTTGCCATGTGGTGGGCTGCTACAACTTGAAGTCTTCAGCTTTGGCCCAGCGCCCAGTGCCAGTAACGGAGGAACATCGGAGAATTATCCATGATTCTATCAAACCTCTGCCGTAGGATGATGACACGTGTGGGGGCGCGGGTGCCATGTGCGTAATCAGATAGGCCATTGAGGCCTGAGCTGAACAGCCCTAGGCCTGCTGAACAGTCAGATCTGCACCAGCGGAGATTACTAGAGATGTGTAAGTGCGTGCGTTGTGCGGACACCAGGTGGACAGTCTGCGGCCACGATGTCACGGAAAGTGCTTGGCATCTAACCCCCACCACCATTGGGTACATACTATGGCACAACGACAGCGTATGCCAGAATCTTCCCTACAAAGTCCGGAAACTCGCGAGTCGGTGACTCAAAAGGGAGAACGCCCTCAATGGTCAATTCAAGTTCGCTGCCAAGCGGGATCAAATTGCCACAACTAGCTGGTGCCGCAGATCTAGATCGACCTGGATGGCGTTTAAATAACTTGAAATGTACGGTTGGTGAGCAGAATTGCGGGCGCGTGTCTGGAGTGTGACATATGGTTTTGGGGCAAATCTCACATACATGGGTTTCCTGCAGGTGACAGGCTCCAATCATTGTAGTGATCTGATGCAGGCTCACGCAATCTGGGGCGCATTATTTCTGGAGATCGCTCCTTGGGGTCGCAGAAACTCTCCGATTGTCGCTCTCGGCGGTTAATGGTGTCTTTTCTTCTGTCTCATAAGCGCGAGCTGAGACTGCTTTCGCAGGATGTAACCCCTTGCTGTCCACACACTACACTTTGCCCGCTTCATTATCTTGAGTCAGGCACAAAATACTGGCGTTCAGGACGTCTCTGCCGTCTGCGCTTCTTGTTATGTCTGGTTCCTTCGCTGAAGGTCTCTTTATATGTGTTGTCACTTGGATGTTATGGCGAACCCTCGTGCGACGCTTCGTCATGAAATCACCCTTGGATAACCTACCAGGTCCTCCACCTCAATCATCTTGGACAGGCTAGTATTTTTTGCCGGTATCTACCCCTGCATATTGGTGACATTTTCCTCCTCAGGTAATCTCGCTCGGTACATGGCACGAGATGGTTGGGATTTCCAACTGGATCTCTCGCAGAACTATGGGCCTGTTGTTAATATGACGGGATTTATGGGTGTTCGTCTTTTTCGTGCTTGCTTTTCAGATTGAACTGACTATCTGTTTCCCACTTAGAACCCAATGTTGTATGTCTACGATCCAAAAGCGCTGCAGAGCATAATTTTGCAGGACCAGGATATTTATGAGGAATCCCCGACGTTTATACAGTACGCGCGTCTCACAACTTATGGGAGGTTTCCAACTGATAGCTTATAAGTGCAAATCAGATGTGCTTCGGTCCAAGTCTAGTCGCAACAGTGGGTTTGTCGACAATGACTTGTAAGCGTAGTGACAGCTCATTGACTATCGTGCAGGTGATGTCCATCGAAAGCAGCGAAAGCTGCTGAATCCCGCGTTCTCCATCGCGCACATGCGCCGAGTACTGCCGATTTTTTATAAGGTCGTCGACAGGGTGAGCTCTTGTCGAATATCGCGAGTTGGTTGCCTTTGTGCTCACTGGTAACGGCAGCTACACACCGCGATCAATGCTCGCGTAAATGAAGAAGCCACAGAAGTAGACATGCTGGCATGGATGGGCCGTACGGCACTTGAACTCATCGGGCAAGGCGGCCTCGGTTACTCGTTCGACCCTCTTGTAGAAGATGCTACAGATGAGTATGCGGATGCCTTGAAGGCGTTTCTGTAAGTGCACCAAGTTCTTTCTTCGTTCAGACAAGCCTGACCACCTCACGCGATATTTCACGGGAAACGCATCTAGTACAACCTCGTACTCGTTCGGTTTGATCAGATTTGCTGCACCATACATATCGCAATTTGGTACCCCTGCATTTCGAAGGCACCTGTTGAAGTTCATCCCCAGCAGGCGAGTGCATAAAATGGTCGATATTGTGGACACGATGTACAGAAAATCGACGGAGATTTTCAACGCAAAGAAGGCCGCTCTGCAGCGTGGAGATGAAACTGCCATTCTTCAGCAGATAGGAGAAGGAAGGGACATCATGAGCATTCTATGTATGACCCTTTTCAGTCCGAGAATCGAATTCAGAATTGCTGACACACATGCTACCAGTGAAAGCAAACATGGAGGCGAAATCAGAGGAAGACCGACTACCAGAGGAACACTTACTAGCCCAAATGTCGTTCGTTTTGCCCGTCATTGTTGTTGCTTAGTTCTTGTGCTCAGTACTGCGTAGGACGTTCACATTCGCCGCTACAGATACAACATCATACACCCTTGCTCGAATATTTGAGCTCCTGGCAGAACATCCTGATGTACAAGAGAGGCTTCGTAATGAGATCGTGCGGGAATATAATGGCGCCGAATTGTCATACGACCAGTTGATGCAGCTGCCTTACCTAGATGCCGTGTGCAGGGAGACACTTCGTGTGTGAGCTTATACACCGGGTCAGTCTTCTGAATAGCGAAATAACCAAACGCAAAATACTTAGGTACCCTCCAGCCACGCTCTTACACCGCCAGTAAGAAATTCATTCTAGCTTGTTAGTACGTTCTGCTTACACCGCGACCCATTCCCAGAGTCCGAAATGATGTGATCCTCCCTCTGTCTGCGCCGATCCGTGGTCGTGACGGGAAGATGATCAGCGAAATCCCCATCCCGAATGGCACAAAGCTCTTCATTGGCATCGCGGGCTCTAACTTGAACAAGGCCCTCTGGGGTGAGGATGCTCTGGAGTGGAAGCCTGAACGCTGGCTGTCGCCGCTTCCCAGTGCCCTGACCGACGCACGCATCCCCGGCGTGTATTCCAATCTGTATGTCGCGACTCCTCGTGAATAGTCAACGTGTAACCAAGGTTCTTTTGCAGGATGTCCTTCCTCGGTGGCGGAAGAGCGTGCATGTGAGTTCTGTTATAGCCGATGCTGAGCCTGGGCGCTGATCAGACATCCCCTAGCGGCTTCAAGTTCTCCGAATTGGAAATGAGTAGGTGATTCGCGCAACCTCTTCCCTTCAGAGGGACTGACGGCCATGTTGCAGAGGTTGTCTTGGCTGTTCTCCTTCCCAACTTTACATTCGAATCAACCGGAAAACCGATTGTATGGAATATAGCAGGTGTCCAGTATCCAACTGTAGGCAACGAAAGCACCAGAGCGGAAATGCCGTTGAAAGTAGGACTGTACAAGAATTCTTGCTCGTAGACTACCACAACCGTGTACATCTGGTGATTGCGACATCTGGCTAGTATCTTCCGAACTAGGGGCATAGATGTACGCAGGTCGTGTGTTATCTCTAGTCTCTGCTTCTCTGGCGTAAAAGAACATAAGTATATGGCAACAAATAGAAAAAAATGCATCCCGGTGAACATCAAACCCAACTGAAGCAGAGGCGGTGGACAATAATAACATTGCTGCAACAGATTACTGTGGAGACTCACCAGCACAATTCACGTGAACCACAATATCACTGTGAGGACGCAGAATATGCGCGTGATTTAAGAAGAGACGACATAGGTACACATCAAATTCAATAGAACAGTACGTAGGACGGAGGTTGAAGAATACATGGCTCCTGGAACGATACCAACCTAAAGTATGCGGGGAATCACCCGTGAGCGTAGGGAAACAGTGTGAAAGGGCAACGCAGCGGAACAGGAAGGATCAGATCAAGACGCTTGCATCGTCGACGATGGAGGTTTTGGTGTGAAGGAAGGAAAAATAAATACCGGGTATAAAATACGACGCTGTCGTGGACCACCGGGCGATATGTGAAGGGTATTTATAGCAATCTTACCAGTAGTACATAGTAAACGCCGGCGGCACAGAACACGGGGAACAATCAAGACGTTTGTGGGTTTGAAGAAAGGGGAGTAGAATATCGAAAATGGTAATAATTCAGACAACGGAGGGCCGACACGATCACCATGGACCTATCACCAACATATATGGGTACGCGCCATCTATGCTGGGAGCGGGAGTGTACAGCGGTAAGGAAAGAGGAAAGGTGGGGAAGAAAGGTATCGCCAGGATGGTTGGTACCATCACTCGGCCATACCAGTCTCAACGGCCCCGTACGCGTCTTCGTCGTCGAGGTCCTCGTACTGGCTAGCAACAGTGACTGCTATACTCTTTCTGACGAGCTCCTGGATAGCCTTGGGCGAGCTTATAGTGTATTGCGACTCAGGCGAGGCAGGTGCCATGGGCGACGTGGCCAATGGCGCAGATGAGTCGGGAGTGGTAGGTGAATACAGGATGCGCATGCCGGTACCGTTGTAGTTAGCCACGGGTGCAGGGACGGTAGGGCCGCCCGGCACAGGCGAGCCAATAGTGCGGCGCTCCGCATACGCACGCAACATTTCATCTGGCGACATCACGTTCGCAGGCATCGGCTGCATCGGCATGATGCCTACTATGGACGACTTCGGGATCTGATGAGCCAGGGAGGGGGGAGCCGGCATAGGGGGACTGGGGGCCAACAACATGTCGTCGTTATTCGAGACCCCATCACCACCGGTGCGCATCACTGGCAAGCGCGTTAGGACACAACTTCCACTGCATGAACACTAAACGCACTGGACAGAGCGGGAAGAACCGCATCGATGCTCGGCCGAGAATCCTCTTGTCCGGACATGCGTGCTTGAATATCTTCCGCGGACAGACTGAAGGGGCCTGCAGCCTGGGTGGGGGACAACGCCCCAGTTTCGTCCTCGTCCGGAAGGGGGGGCACGTGCCCGACGTGGAACGCACGCGTGCGGCGGTACTCCCCAGACGGACGGGTATCCGGCGCAAACGAGACACGCGAGACGCGTTCGCTACCGAACGACGACGCGCGAGCGCGCACGCCCGGCCGGATGTGGGCCATATCCGGCGACGACAGGTCGATGCCGCCAATCTCTAGTCCCTTAGCGCCGATGCCCGCCTGTCCGCCTTCTACTGCGATCGTGCTGGAGGGGCGCATCGCGCCGAACGAGAACGACGACGCACGATCTCCCGCATTTGCTGCTGACGAGAGCACACTGTTGCGTACCACCACCGTCGCGCCCGCAACGGATACGGGCCGCCAGCTCGTCGAGATCGTCGACATCCGCTTGTCGATCGCCTCGTTCCATCGCTTGCGCTTGTCCCTGCCTTTCGCGCGGCTCAATTTGATGTATACCCCGACGGCCAGTCCGATCACGAACAGCAGCGGCAAGAGCACTGCCGCGGCGACTGCTCCCTTGGAGAGGCCATGACTCTTCGACGGCCCGTTGTTCACGTTTTGGATTGAGGCACCAGGCGTGGAAGTGTCCGCTGCGGCAGGGACGCTGCCCGAGGTTGGCTTGGTGTACGTAGCGGTGAAGACGGGTCCAGCTGGCATAGTAGCAAGAAACGGTGGTGTTCCCGCCTCCACAATTGCAAGCTGGAGGTTCGCAGACGCTGTCGAGTTCCACCATTTCGGCATCAGGTTGACATTGTAACTGCCGTACGCAAAGTCCACGTTCGCCCATTCGTGGATGCGAGGCAAGGCGCTGCCGGGGGCGTAAAGATAGATGTCTACGGTGTTCGAAGTCATGCAGGATGTGTCCCAGGAGATGTTGAGTGGGGTAGTATATGGGATAACCTGACCCGCGGTCGGTGTCTTGTAGAATCCGCCCGACGAGCACGGAGCTGGATGGAGGAATTTTCAGCATCGTATCCAAGCATCATCCGGACTGTCCAGCAATCAACTGGTAGCACAACTTCGGCCGATACCGCCCCAAATATGCTACAGATAACAGTCCGCATCGTGAACGTAGAATGTACACAAGGTGACACTCAAGCCTCCCGATTAGCACCGTCGAGTGATATTGCGCGAATGATATGCTCATCAATAGTCAAACTCGCCTGGCCACGCTATGTAACGCAGTAAACATCACGCTATACCACTCCCCATGTCCTCTGCGGCACTGTAGTCGGCGTGTTACCATGTCGAGTCTGATGGCTCAAGCTCGAACTTTCTGAACATCGACAGCCTCCTCCCTTCTCTTGAATATGGCAGAAAAATCCACAACAAAACTTACCGGAGCGTTGACGATGCGCATGAGCAGGTGCGACGGCATGGCCGGTGCGGAAGACTTTGGTGAACCCCTTCATGATAGATGTACAGGGCTTGCTTGATTTTCTTGGGCAGAGTCCTCAAAAAAAATAAAAGAGCGTGAACAGTGAGCAGAAGGAGAGAAATAGTGAAGGGGTAGTGGATGGCGGGGATGGCGGGAGGGGAAGACACAAGAGCGGGGACGCCGTAACAGAGGTTGTCAAGCCAGCCTCGACATTTCTGACATCTGACTTCAATCTAACCTACAAAATTCAGACTCAGCGGGCCTGTTTGTGTACTGTCTCCAAATAAATCATCTAACAATCAAAACTACCGAGATAATGCAAAAGCGAAGTACAATTGCAGGAGGCGATCATGACAACTGTTATACATTGAGACTCCCTCTCTCCCTCCACCGAAGGTACAGAAATGAGTTTCTATTCTAGTGTGCAAGCTTGTCTAGTCCTTGAGGTATCTAAATAAGATACCGTTAGTCTGGCGTAGACACGAAAATGTACCAGATACGCACCTTCCAACCATGGGTAGCGGCAGCTCTCTTGTATCCTTCCAGTGCTTCATGCATGCCATAGGGCCTGATGTAGAGCCATTATTAGAATGTGAAGGTGCAATGATAAGCAGTGACTCACGCATCCCAGTTCTGAGCCAGCCGAGCCGGACGAGGCTCAAGATTAGATATCGCAAGTCTGATCTGTAAAAGTATCGCCGAAATGCTGAACATTTCGTCGGATCGGCTTCAGCTTTCTGCGCTATCACCCACGCCGGGGATGACTTGCCTATAACTTGGAAGCCACCCTGATATTGCGAAAATATATGAGCGGCGAAAGGTGCTGAAAGAAGATTGACACAAACCATCCGCGGTCAAAAGATCCATGCACATTGATCCTCCTGACATAATTATCAGCATCCTGGAACACCAACCCTTGAGGGATCTCACCTCCGGTGACATGACCGCCTCCGCCCTACGCAATAGTCATCAGCAGTCAGTCACCTTCAAAGGGAGACACTGACATGAATGAACGGCAAGAATCGGGGTTTCAGGATGCGAAAAAATGGGGGAGAGTGCGGGAAGGTGGGTGGGAACCGGATCTCGAAGACCAGTGAGTTAACGCCTCTGTGGGGTACACCGATCAGCAACGAAATGGCGGTCGGAACGGCCTTAAGTCTTACCGACTTGTCATATCCTTCGCGACAGGCAGTGAATCGTCGAAAGAATGTAACTCCACAATCCATTGGAAGAGGTTGTCTCCAATGAGTTCAGGTGGCATGTACCAGCCGAGCTCCTTCAAGTTCTTCGCCTTCTCCTGCTCCTTCAGCATTGCCTTCAGCTCTTTTTGCAGAGCCATGGTGGCCATAGGGGATGACTCGACGGGTGCTGGCATCATATGTTCGATCGTCGTTTTGACCCATGCGGGGTCATGGATCCAATCGTCCAAAGCTTTCGAAGAATCATCCATATCCATGGGCTGAGACTGTGATGCGGCAGTCTCTCCAGCACAAAAAATGCTCAGGTCGTCTTCATCGTAGTCTGCATCCATGTACTCCTCGCGCCGCGCCGCAAGAAGTTTCTCTAGTTTGTAGGACGGTTCCGGGATCTTGATGGGATGGTGAGAGAGCGTAGTGGGATGCTTAGGATCCAACGGTACAATCGGGATGTCTGGATTGACAGAAACAGGGAGAGGATTCGAACCGGGGTTATATTGTCCGGAACTCGAGTTCACCAACAAATAGCGACTGAAAGCAGTTTGATGTCACTGGAAGCTGTACATGGAGGAGCGACTTACCAGACAATCCATTGCGTATCCGCCACGACGAAGTACGGGTCTGTACTGACGAATCTCGATGGCTGGTTGATGATCTCAGCCAGCACAGCACACTTGTGCGCACGCACTGCGCTGTTTCGCCAAACTTTTGGGGAACCAGAGGCATATGAGGACATAGAGATGGTCCCTTCTTTGGCGAAGTAAACACCTGGTAGCATTATCAAATTTCAAGCCTTGCAGTACATCCACGAAACGCCGTACCGTTGCCATATGCACGCCCGTGTGCGATATTCTTGTACCAAAGTCCATGCCTAATAATCTGAAAGTGGCAGTCAGGACAACCATATAACGGCATTCGAAGCAACCAACCGAATGCCAATTCTTCAGCGGAGAACCGTGGAAGGCCTGAAATCGAACAGGTTGAAGATGAAAACGAGTACGAATGGTTTTAATAAGATACGTACGTATAGAGATGGGTACTTCAAAGTGTTATTGTCCACCTTTTTAGCCTGCACGAGAGCACTGCGGAATTTCGCCTCAGCATCAGGGGCCCCGACGCTAAAACGGAACTGCCGCCATGTAGGCTCTGAGACCGAGGAACAGGAATTACACCGACTTTTTCTAGTAATGGTGAGATGTGTACTAACCAATGTTGTGCACGCGATCTTCTTCCGATCTCAACTCCTCAATGTGCGCGGTGCACGATGCAACACACCTGTGAAGGGGGATGCACAAGGAGTTTACACTAGAGCGCCTACTTCTCCGAACTCACCATCGAAGTATGGACCAAGCAGCATCAGTAATGTTATTATCCATATCCTTCAGTCTTGGCTTTATTCTACGACCTTCCGTGGACTTCTCCAGATGTTTCTTCATATCTACGACCTGAAATATTGGAAGATGGCTCTATCAGCATATATCTGAGGATGACAAGCATCGTTAGCAGAAGGATGCGTACTTTAGGCAAGGTATCTATCAGATTTACGATAACAGAGCACATCTGTAGGAATGTCAGACGATGTTCAAGGAATGAGGACACGTTTGAAGTGTACCTGAGGACGGGACAGCGTGTCGAAGTCGCACAGCCCGTCTGGATCTGAGGATGACCCCATGTTAGCCAGAGGTACGCGCAGACCCATACCCAAAGGTAAAGGTTCATCCAGGGATCCCTCCGCTGCACTAGTGTACGCCAACGAAACAAGTAAATCTATAGTTGCAGGGTTTGCGCATATTTCGTACTAGACAAGAACGGAAATCAGGGCTGGTTTTTCAGCAAAAAGAGAAGATGACAACTTCAAGTGATGGACCGCGATTCAGGTTGTAATATTGGTACGTGCAGAGTCTCGAATCACAGACGTAAGGCTTGAGCGCTTCGTAGTCGGTACTAAGTTTGTTATGGCAAACAATGCAATAGCGAGAACAAAGCTAATGGTGTTGTGAGCATCAACCCCGCGAGTAGATCAATGGATAAGTCTTTACCGTCAGTCGGCGAATCAGATAGCAGAACGCTATCAGAGGTAGGTTAAGATGGCCTCTGTCTTCTGCAGTAAGTAGAGGGTCAGGAGGAAGGTTGTAGCTGCTCGAAAGTGCGTTTTCCTCTTCTTCCGCTTTACGCATTTTCTAAAGAAGCAGTAACTACGCGAAGTAGGCAACTTATACTAATGCCACTCACCTTGCCCATGCTCTTCATGATGACTTGTTCAGGCTGTTGCGATCGCTCTGCTTCCCAGCACAGAAGCTCCGCGCTTGCCCAGTCGAGCTCGTACTTCAACCTCAATTGTACCACTTTCAAGAAGTAGTTGTTGAGCAGATTCTCCAAAGAAGAGCTCAGACTGAATGGCTGGAAACCATGTGTCTCTGTGTCCGGTTCACTGAAATCCTCCAGGTACTGATCGGACGCGTCCGCTGTCTCTTCGACTTCCACATCCTCATCCTCGAGTTCAGGATCGGGCGAGACAGGCAGCGTAATTGTATCCGTGGCATCCGCAGCTCTATCTTCCTTTAACCCGAAGTTGCGCACGACCTCGGCAACGTGCTCCTTCGATGGCTTTTGTGTGGCTGTCAGCCCGATCCTGAATTGCAAGGAAACCGCCCGCTTCAGCGCATCAAGAAAGATTGTTCCATCCTTTTGTAGGACCGGATATACACCTCGGAATCCAGATACGATCAATGTGAGATGCTGCGTGCGAGACAGAAGCCGTCGATCCCAGGCCATAAGAGCGCGTGCAGGTATGTCGGTCGCCAACGAGATCACAGGCAACGACATTGTGAGCACGAACTCGTCCCTGCCGAACGGCACGAAACCCGGTCGATAGTTACAAGCGGCCGCCTCATTGAAATCACTGAGGATGAGATGCAAAATCGTCAATCATCAAGAGTTTCACAAAACACCCGGCGCACTCACCGCTGTAGACAGCCGACGTTCATTTGAATCTTGTTAGTAGCAATGATTCCAAAGTCGTCATCTGAATGCTCATCGTATGCATCGTATGCATCGTAGTCTTCCTCCATTTCATCGTTATCAGACCCTTCCTCCGTATGCTCATGACCAACAGAGATCTTCCTAGCTAGTGTCGAGAGCAAATTCTTCAACAACATTTCTATCGTGCACGAGCGTTCCTCGTGAACGGCCTCCATTGCCCGTAGCACATGCGGAGGAGGATTTTCATCTTGCGAAAAGCAAAAGAAAGTGTGGCTCTCCGGATATTCAGATGTGTCTGGTACAAAATATGTTGTCTGTCCTAAGGGCCACAAAGTAGTGAACTCACCAGAGACGACGCAGTTCAGGGATACCAGGGGCTCCCCATTTGGTCTCACCACGTCACACTCAAATGCTCCTTCGTCCTCGCCAGCTTTTACGTCTGATTATATGCATCCGTCAGACGTTCCAGGGTAATCGCAACAAGGAAGAGTCACATACGGCGAACGTGGAGATCATTGACCTGGAAGCCTTCCTTTGACGCCTCCTTCATGGCATTGAAATCTGCGATAAATTTCTTGCGTCCTTTCATGGTCTTCGTTGGTGAATCCATCGTTCTGAGTCCTTTAGTGCGCTCGATGCTATGTGGTGGAGATAGCGCTGAAGATACAGGCCCAAACAGCGTGTGGCTTCCTCCTGTCTTCTGGCGCTTCGACACACGTTCCCACCCAGATTCTAGAAAGGGGCTCGCGTTGCGAACCGTACCAGAACGCAGCTCACGATCAGGCATATGATCTTAAGAGCGCAGGACCGTTTACTTTTGTTCTTGGAAGTCAGGAAGAATGAGGCGGATTATTGCCACCCTCAGCACGCGTGGTGTCACGCAGGAGTCACAACATACGCGGTCACCTGCTACGAGACTCACTCCGCGTAACGCGTTCAACAAGTTTGAACTGACACGCAGAAGGTGATAAGACCCTACGTTCTGGTTCAATGGAGTCTATGTTTCATAAAATATTCAATTCAGGTAAAGTAGTACAGTCTGGAACCTCGAATCAACCTTGAATTCAATTCATACTACCAGCTCTGACAGGCCCCGTTCCAATCGACTTCCTCTTTGGGCGCAAGGTGGAGGCTGTGTACAGCGAAGATCATAGCTCAACACTGGTTCCTCACTGTCCGAGGCTGTTGCAACACGAGCACTCTTCCTTCAACATCGCGCAAGCCGTCAACTTTTGATCTGGCACCTCCGCCTTCTGTGGCAGATCTCATCCTCTGAGCGCTTTGGACTCCAGCACTCCATATGTGTGTCCCATACGCAGTGATGGTCTTCCAAACGAGTTCAAGACTGCATTCTGCGATACTCTGTGCAATTGTAGTAATCGCCCGTCTTTCGCGCCCAGTCATTTCTAGCTTCAAACTTCCAACTGATCACATACCTCCATATCTTCCACCTCCAACTCAGATATCAGTCTCGGAGCATTTCATTGGGCTTCAACGTCTCGTGTGCGTCTTCAGGGCTTGTCGATGTAATGGCCAACATCTGTCTGGCATATGTCGGGCATCCTGCATCTCGCAGTCGCACGCTTTCCGGTCAAGAAAATTCGAAATTCTGTAATTCGCAGGTGCACATAGCATCTGTAGGAACAGGTCCACAATAGCCTTACCTGGTCTTCGGCATCTTGCATTCGAATATCTAGTACGGAGCTGCATGTCCGTCTCAGAGGGGTGGACTCCGGCTTACTGTACTAGGGCTCCGTGGTGCTGTCAGAATTGCATTCAATTCATTGCTCTTGTCGCTCAACATTTCAGGTTCGATGCACCTGCATCCAGCTTCTACCTTGGCGTCTGAAGAAATGATTCCGTATCTTGTGGCCACTCTAGGTCATCTGCTCCAGATTCATGGAACACTGGGTCAGACCCGCGATCCCGACGGAACGGAACATACTGATGTTACTTACATCGAAAAATATCCTGGCAGGCGAGCCGCACAATTTCCAGGCTGGGAAAGAACAGCCGGTCACTGCAGAGAAGCTCAACGAGCCAGGATGTGGTGCGTAGCTTTGCGTGAATTTCGACTGCAGGGCAACTGTCGAATCACATAACGGAGCAGCCAGGGGCAGTGAATGTGCGCAGTAGTTTTGACAACAGTGGCTAGTATCACTCATCGATATCTGTATATGTACTGAGTTTGTCCTACAGGTATACTCCGCACTGCGGTTCCTATGACGTGGCACCGGAATCCGGGCAACTGGATTGGCTGTCTGTGTCTCCGCGACGTTACTTGAGTGGTCCCTGTCATTGGCGAGACGACGGAAACAGCAGGTCGGTAGTAGGATGTGTTTTATTGCGAGTGCCCCCGCTATCCCTTCGACCTGGCCGCTGCAATCCGTCGGGAGGCCGTTACATACATAGGACATGTGCGACGCAGTCCGCAGTATGTTCATAACCTTATCTACATCTGATACGTGTCATTTGACGAAACGCTCGCAGGTACTCACCACCGTGAAAATTGCTGCAACAGTGCGAATTTTGAGTACATAATGGCTTTGCTCGCGATTCGTTGTGAACAACAGGGCCAGCATTGAGTGAATCGTCAAAAAAGATGCTCATTTTGACATCAACGGACGAGTCATGTATAGATATAGGCTCGTTAACCAGCCTCTAGTATATAGGAAGAAAGAGTCGTTCCTCTATATAGAGGCTGGATCCTCGTATGAGGGGCTTCTGAGAGGTCCCCCGTGGGAACGGCGGAGTTTGACCATGCCGACGGCGCGGCCAAAATGCGTACAAAACTTGAGATGTGAAGGAGGCAATGTGACATACGGCGCATACAAAAATTTTAGCATAGCTTCCAGGAAATGAGTGGCAATTTTTTCAGCACTTTTCGCCGGCTGAACTATTGTGCAATGCATTTATTTTCCTACTGCACAGAGGGAGCTCGGCGTTCACCCGAGCAGAAGCTCGCGTCATGATCATGTGCAAATCATGTGAGGGCAAGCTGCCGTTGCGCCGACGTCAATATTCAAACTCAACGTTTCCCATGGGGGACCTCTCAGAGGCCTCTCATACGAGGTTCGAGACTAGTATAGATACATCGCACCGGAGTTCAATAATATTACGGTACGAGAGCCTGCATTCATGTAATATACATAGTGTGGACTCGTCTGGTTTCGTAAGTACTAGTACTTAACTAGTACTAGTGTTTCTGTTAAGCCCAGGAGCGGTCGCCGAATATCCGAATTCGGGCCGGAGTTGCAATACTTGCGACTGAATGGTAACCAATCCGATATCTCCGTGTGCGCATTATGTTGAGCTCGTGGGCAGTACTTATCCGACCGGAAGGGAGGAACAGCCCATACAAACTCTCACGTCTCCTCTGCATCTTCTCTCGTTAATTTTCATCTTTTCCGCTTACCCTTCACTTTTGACGACATTTCTACGCAGAAGATGGCTCGGACACATAGCTGTCCCTCGGGCAACCAGCAGGCCGTAGAACAGGACAGCTTTTGGTCCACGAACGGGGTCAACTGGGATACGCACAGAATAGGCTGGCTGGTTGCTGGTGTATGTGCTGCTATCGTATGTCTTTCGTTATATGCGCACGATTCGCGGCAACTAAGCGAGTATAGACTGTTATACTCACGATCATCAATGTGGCGAGACATTGCCGGTACGTCCTTGGTCTGTCTCATCTGTATTTATTAATGATCATGATGCAGGAATTATACCAACCGTGGAGAGCAACGACAAATGTACGCAGAACACCGGCTCTTCACTCGCATTGTATTCAATGTGTCTGCGTAGCCTACGTATCTTGTACATGCCACCGGTCTATGCGATCATCTCCTTCCTGTCATACAGGTTCTTCCGCAGTTACACATATTACGACCTGGTTGAGACAGGTGAGTCTCACATGTTTCCACTGAGCTCAATTTGACATAGTACGCTGTTAGCCTACGAGGTATGATCACCCACGTCATCTAGTCAGTGCCACTAACCCTGTACCAGTCTGTGACTCTTAGTGCCTTTCTGTGAGTACTTTGGAGTTCACAGTAGTCCCACCTAATCTTTCAAGCTAGCCTACTACTCATCGAATTTGTAGCCGCCACGTCTGTGGGACACAACGTCAACAACGCTATCCTCCGCAAAGACAAGCAGAGCTTACCACTTCCTGTCAGTTCGTAATGTGGCTCTTTGTCAACACTGCTGATATCTTACCCTCAGTTCTGCTTCTGGAGATATAGGCCCACAAAGGTTGGACTTCTCTCCGTTACCATGTTGGTTTCTAACAGCTATCTGCACAGCCGTACTTCATGTACACTCTTAAAGTACGTGACTGACCTCTTGACTTCAAATGCGGCCCGCTCATGGGCGCATTAGTGGTCTGTCTTACAATATGTGATTATGCGTCCTCGTAAGCTCGATTATTCCCCGTTTCAGCGTTGTAAGCCTCACCCGTGCCTCCAGTTCTCTCCGTCATCGGGATCATATGCCAGGCGGCAGGCGTGCTGTGTGAATCGGGGGGATGGAGTTTCACGACAGCAAATGCGTACATCACCGTCATCGACGCCATCAGCATCACGTGCGCAGAATTGACCTGTCTCGCGGGGCATCTGGTGTTCATTTCCTTTCTTCCGCCAGCATTACGCTATATGGACTGATCCTATTCTATGCGCTCACGAGAGAGGAGCTGAAGGGCCGGCGTCCTCTCGCGAAGTTCTTGGCGATCAAACTGATTGTCATGTTTACGTTCTACCAAGGACTGGTCGTACGTTCTATCTCGTTCGCTAACGGCAGTAAGCTGATTGTCCCGACTAGTTCGATGCGTTGGAAGGCAGGGTTATCCACGGTGCGTCATTTTAAGCTGAGTCTTCATTCTGAGCTGATGTCTCCGCAATAGCCACCAAGTATTGGACAGAGACCAATATTGCAGATGGACTGAATGCTCTGGCGACTTGCGTCGAGGTATCCCGATAGTTCGACTTAATATGTGACTTAATGCTCACAATGCTGCTAGATGGTGTTCTTCTCCACATTCATGATGTGGGCGTATTCAGTGAAGGATTACAGGGTCGAAGGTGAACGGACCTCCATCTGGCGACCATTGTGGGATAGGTAGGTGTGTCCTCTGCTATGGTAGAATCTAGCTAATCCCTCGTTTCTCCAGCATCAACTACAGTGCGTGGATCACTCTGTCGCATGCCATTGCATACTAACATTCTCGCAGGCGACTTCGCTCACGAGATCGCAGGCTCGTTCCGCTTCTTCCTCGCGTACTTCCGCAAAGAGCCATACACACAATCACGCGCGATCGAGACCGGGGCCGATGGCAAACCGCACGCGAAAATGGACTTCGGAGAGGCGTTCGGCGTCGAGGGCGCGCGGCTCCCGTACGATACGCGCGGCACCATTGATTCCCCAGGCATGCGCCCACGGATGAGCTACGACGAGGACATCAGACTGGCTCCGTACACATACGCGACGCCAGACGTGCCCGCGGGTTCGCTCTCTAACTCGTCGGACTCGGTGGACGCGGGGCTCGGCGCCGTGCGGGACGCGCGCACGTTGCCCTCGTCCGCGCCACGGTAGAATTGGGTGCGCGCCTCCTTTGTATCTAAATAGCTGTCCTCTGCATTTTCTGCCTCTTTGTTTCTCTCGCTGTGATGTCGGTTTCGTTGTGTCTTGGACGATATGCACTTTGATTTCTGCTTTACCTGCTGATGCACGCCGGTGGTGAAAGAATCCCTCCATACGGAGATCCTCATAAGTCTAGATGTCGATATCTATGTCAGACTCTCGTAAGATATAATTGTGCTGATACTGACGACATGTCACGTACGGCAGCTACAGCCTTTGGATCTCGGCACTATAGTTAGTGTAGTCGAGTACATCCACAACCGCACGAAGCCCTTCGACACTCTCTTCCTCGGGGAATTCGCCGGTGTCGAGAGTCAAGTTTCCCAGCCGCGATCCCACGGACGCACGATGTGCAAGGGATGCAGCTAACGTGGCGGCCTCGGCATCCGTGTGGCTTCCGCCACGCAAACGCAAGTCGTACACCGCCATTTTGGCCAGAGTCCAGGCTGAGATCCGGGTCCAAATATCGCGTGATGATCCCACGACTCTTTCCGGATCTGGCACGGATATCACCCAGATAGAAATCATCATATCCCAGGAGACTCCGGGGAGAGCGAGAGCTGTGAGACCTCAGCAAGTGATCTCCCGCTGAGCTCGGGAACATGCAGGGCACGGCTCCTCATCGTTGTTTGTTTCCATAACAGCTGCGCGGCTTGTTATATTGCAGTTATGGGTGTAAATAACAAATATATTGGTTTTCTGTATGCTACAGGACACTACAGGACGCTATTGTAGGAGCTACAGTACTACACTTGTATACGGTGTAGCATGGGCATTCACCGTGCCACACTGTGGAGCACTCTCCGCGGCCCGTCAGATTCTGTGAGATGGTGACCCCATCACCTAGCGAGCAAGTGTGCTAAACTCGAGGAAGAGTAGAAGTGCACACCTCGGCGACAGGCACCCTTCGCGGGGTAGTCAGCAGGGCACAGAGGTGGGGTATGCACCGAAAGGCACCTCATACAGGGTATTTGCGCATTTGGGCAGAGATGACATTGGTGCAGGAGCCGGCACAACAGCCAAGGCCAGACGGACGCAGTTGGTCACAGCCCAACTTGCCAGAGACCAAGAAGTCCAGCACAACAGAGAAAACACTGCAGAAGAAAGGCACTTGAGCTTGAAAATGTGCAATGGGCGGTAGAACAGAACAAGGACTGCGCTGGAACGTGGGCGCGACCAGGACGAATGACAAGAAGAGAAGTTGGAGGCTTGGTCAAGGAGAGAAGCAGACTTTGACATCAGACCATGCCGGGAAAAGACGTGGCGTTCCAGTGGTTCCCACGGTTGACGCCGCCAGGCAGATTTTGGGGGAAATCTCAGCGAAGTCTTCATGGAGGGCAAAGCTCAGCAGGAGTGTGAACGGAGGATATCAGGCTGAGAGCAGCGAGTTATCCGGGAGATATCCCGCTCATAATGTCCCAAAAATGTCCGTATGATGCCAATCTGATCTTTTTGTAAACTGTCTTCTGATCTCGGAAATTGACTATCTACCCGAGCTTTGGCCTAAACGGCGGTGTAGTCGGGGACAATGAACTCCTCCCGGCTCCTGGCGTCGGCAAGCCTGTGGCGGTGAATAGCCCTCGGAACACACCTCAGTCGCCCATGCGAGTTGGGAAGGCAGACAGGGTGTGGTGCCAATGGTCGGCCTCTATCATGGTTTGATTGCCCATGATGTACGCGGGAGCTGGAGAACGGGTCCACTACTCGGCCCAATGCAAGAGATGGGACATCATCAATTACAATGTGGGTTTCTTTGATCTGAATTGTCAACAAACCGCTGGAACCGTTCGTATACGTTTGGATCAAACATTCTACGTCAACGGTCAGATGGATTGATCTCAGCCTTTGAAAAAATTGAAGACCGAGTGTTCCGGCGCGGAAGAATGGAAACCATGGCATGTACGAATTCTGCGCTATCCGAACTTTCAGTGGTCGACGAGAGTTGAACGCACCCTCCAGGAGGGGTAGATATTGGATAGAATCGCGCGCTGACATCTTATGCCAGGAACTCCTCCATTTCTTTCGTTACCATGCATCCGCGTTCGCGAATGACAGACCGCAATAGTTCTATGATTCCTTATCCATTCCGACTCCTTCATGACACGCTGAAGACTTTCCATTCGCAAAAACAAGTATCAGATAATCATTCTATCCCCCATGCTACTTCTGCAACGCTTGTAATCACCAAGGTGAGGAACGCATCTCACGCCTTGGCGCCCTTCGGGGCCTTCCCACCGCTGGGTGGCGGCGCCGCGGCGTTGCGCGTGCCGGTTGGGGCGCGTGGGGGAGCGGTCTTATCGCCACCAGCCTTTGCCTGACGGGTGATCGGACGAGATCAGCGAATGATATGAAGAAGGTTTCGCCAACGATACCTGGGTGGCCGCTGGGCGCGCGGTCTCGGCGGGGGCGTTCTTAGCTGCGCCAGTAGCTATGAAACGAAGAAAGGTGGATCAACATGCAATATTCGAGGGAAGAGATGGTGGCAAGTTGCAGCTCACCCTTGGATCCTTTCGCAGGAGGCATCGTATTACTAGGGGATGAAAAGTGTGCGGTGAAGCGATGAGGTGTGGATACGAGTGCTCTGTGGCTGATGCAACAATAGCAGTCAGCCTACCCGCCTTTATACTATTCAGATTGTCAAGCTCTGTCTGAGACAGCACATTCGTTGGCTGGTGGAGAAACTGCGGCAGGACGCTCCCGGCGCAGATTCGCGGATCGTTTGTCGACCTTTCATTTCCGTTCAAGAACCTGGGACCGAGGAGCAAGAAGTTTCGCAGAGCATCGACCCTGTCCAAACCCATTTGCGCCAGGTCAGTTAGTCCTCATCGAGCGTGCAGATTGCGAGCTCCGGAACGTACAGACGTGCACAACGCCAAAGGATCTGCGAGAAGTAGATATGACTTGACGCGGACGTCTTCTGCAGAAACCACCACGTCCTATTATGATTGTACGTCCATGCTCGCGTGACTGCTGCTAGGCGGTGCCACATGATACCCCCATCGCAAAACAGCCGGAGGCGGAAGTACACCAGGATAGAAAATAGTAAATGAATTCATCGTGACCAGCTATAGAGCTATAGGAGCGTCAAGACAGACTGTTTCAAGTTTCATGCGATCCTAACTCATATAGGTATCTGTACCTGCATGGAGCAAAGTTGACGCAATCCTATGGCAACATTTCCCCCGGAGGCACGGCTGCTAGTAGACCAGATGAGATTGCACTTGAGTCCTAGAGTGCGCACGGTACAACAGAAGCCTTAGAGCCGCTGCATACGGTCAAAATTATCACATCATCCCAAGACGTCACAGAAGGCTCAAAGATCATCCCAAACTTCATCCTGATGAGCGAAATCAATGTACCAGAAACGTCCGGTGAGCCTTCCACAGTTAATGTCGGGACATTAACCTTCTGAGAGGCGACGATCGCTTGCATCTGGCACAGTTTTCGTGCGATTACCCAGTGAGTCTACGATTGGGGCAATCAGAGTACAAGAGCGAGGTCAGTCTCGTGTCCTAACACGAGCGGCAGCCTCCTCTAAATTGTAGACAAGTTACTTCCAGAGTGAATGGTGACTCTCTTTAGGAGGACGATCCCTAGCTCTACCTTGTCATGTGCCGAACATCATGGTCGCAGATCATCGTCCGGCTCCTCAGGCCTCAGGCCTCATAGGCAGGCAGGAGAGATACACAACTTAGGCTTCATGCCGTCCTTGGACGAGTCAATTCGAAGGAACCAGCATACTGAAGGCGGACCAATAGCAAGAAAAGGCGAGACGATAACACGGATGGTCGGGTCGAAAAGTGCCAACGAGCTAATGAGATCCTTCGCAGTAGCTCTTTTCGCCATTAGCCAAGCACTCATGTCAAGAAACAGGATAGCACACCTCGTGAGCACGCGGCCGAATATTCCTTCGACGACGTCCGACGGGCGAAACCGCATCACTAGAAGCTGCGTCAAACAAAGCTCAGAACAGACGCAATTGACCCACTCTGGTGTCCGAAGAGATCATGACTGATAAGTACATCGTGCCGAGTTCCATGCGCAGCTGTCGAAGCCGTGGGTGAATGACGTCCCGTTGACCTGCGGTCGTATGGGGTACGCTTCGTAAGTTCTGGGTTTTACAAGAGTGGAGAGTCTTACTGGCCTCGCTATAATACCCTTTTCAACCTTGAGAGTGCTAGCTCTGAAGATGACGACTTGGAGTACTAGTCCGAGTCAGTGAATGGCTGCAGTGAGTACCGATCAAATCTTATCTCGGGTTATCAATCAACCGATCCTCTGGCATCTTATCAGATAAATTGTTCGCTGCTTGTGCCGCCGGTGACGAAAACCTCTGGCACGATGTGTGCCAATTCAACGAATTTCAACATTCAGCGTTGGTATCATGGCGCTCGGGGACTTACGGGGGCCTCTCTTCCACCGTATATACGCTGCAGTGTGACGTGTGGGAATACTAGGCCTCCTTGAGCGTGCAGACACAGGACGAAAAGAAATGGCAGCTGCAGCGCTCAACAGAACTGTCGCAGTGCTTGGTGCGTCCTACGGAGGTGAGCGAACATGCGCAAGTGGCGGACACGAACAACCTTGATGAAAATCGTCCTGCAGGTGCCCGCGCAGCACAACTCCTTGCGGGGGCGCTCCCAGATGGCTGGAGGGTGGTTGTCATAGATCGGAATAGCCACTTGAACCACCTCTACGTTCTACCCCGCTACGCAGTGGTTCCAGGGCACGAACACAAGGCGTTCATTCCCTACACCAACATATTTCAAAGCCCGAACGGCAAAGAGAACCCCGGACACATCTTCCTGCACGCACAGGTCACCGGCCTCTCACCCCGTAGTGTTACCCTGTCGCGCGCGTTTCCAGAGCACGGAATCCAGGGCCCGACCCCAACACTCCAGTTCGACTATCTCTTGTACTCACTGGGTAGCCACCTGCCAGCACCCATCAATCTATGGGGCCCGGTCGACGATATCTACGGGTCCGTGGTGTCGCAGAACGCCAGTCGAGACCGGCAAGTGTCTGAGCCTTCTTCGTCCTATAACACCTCACTGGGTATACCGCCTTCTGCGCCTGTTGCTCCGCTTACGCAGGGGACCAAAGTTGAGGGCATCCAATGGATTAAGCGGTACCATGAGCGTATCGAGAGCGCATCGAGTGTGCTCGTAGTTGGTGGTGGAGCCCTTGGTATCCGTGAGTAACGCTACAATCTGCAATTTATCCACTAAGCACTAGGTTGAGTCCATAGAGTATGCCACGGATGTTGCAGATGCGTATCCGACGAAACGTGTCACTCTTCTCCATTCTCGAGCCCAATTACTGCCGAGGTTTGACGAGGGGATGCACAAGGAAAGTAGGTCACAACATAAATTACCGCTATTATTTTTGTTACTTATTCTTATATTCCTCTTTGCGTTGTGCAGTTCTCGCCAGACTTTCTGCCTTGAACGTAGACACAATTCTGGGCGAACGTCTAGACCTATCGTCTCTGACCAACGGACAGGCTGTCCGCGGTGAGAATGATAGTATAGAGCGTGTTGTACGCACACAAAACGGCCGCCAGATTCGGGCAGAACTGATCGTATGTTTTCTTAGTCGCTCAAGGTTGTCCATATATATGATCATGTCATGCAGGTGCTCTGTACCGGTCAAATTCCGAACACTAACCTCTTCGGAAAGATGCTCCCGGATGCTATTGTCCCAGATGGTCCTTCAAAGGGAATGATACGTGTGCAAAGGACCATGCAAGTCGCACTTGCCTCTAAAGAGCATGTACCTGGGGGCGTGAGCCCGCAATTGAGCGTGCCGTACCCGCACCTGTTCGCGATTGGGGACGCTGCGGATGCCTTTGGTGCGATTAAGTCCGGCCGCAGTGCCCATTCCCAGGTATGGTGCATCTGTTTTCTCCATCATGGCTTCTCGCTGACGGATTGCCATAGTGCGAAGTTGCTGTGCGCAACATTGTCAAGCTTATCGCTCGTTCTGAGGGTCGGGAGGGTGATTCTGCTTTGGAGTCTTACGCGCCTGATCCCCCGGCGATCAAGGTGTCCCTCGGTCTTGTAAAGCTCCATTGTTCATCAGTCATGGCTCGATATCTGATGCCTACTGCAGGACCGCGGTGTGTATCAGATGCACGGCAAAATTGTTACGGTTGCGGAAGCTCAGGTGGATATGGAAGCGCATCGGATGTGGCAGATGTACGGGGCTGAAACCGATGAGGAGGGCATGCACTTATGAGTTGACCTCGTGCACAGATTTTGATAGGTGGTTGTTCGTAGATTGCGACTCAAATAAGATCTCGAGAGCTTGACGTGCCAGCGTTGCGTGACAAGGCGCGCCTTGTCACGGTGCGTGATGCGGTGTGACAGACGCGCAATAGCCGAATATGGAATCACAGTACTACGCGACCACTATCACGACGACGACTAGGCAAATATTATTTCGCCAGCAGCATCCTTGGCAGACAGTCTTATGGATATAGTCGACTCTTCTCTGCGATCATTGAGAAAAGCGGCGGACAAAGGCCCTGCAAAGGAGAGGAAGAAGCACACTGAGACCATAGACCAAGTTGCCTCTCATCTCGTTCTTCTGGTAAGTTTTGTCTTATTGCGTGGGGTTTCTCTCTAAATTTTACCCCCAGAAATCTTCCACGATATCACTGGAAGCTTCACGCAAAGTTGCCAGCTGTTTACGCGATCCGCTTCTCCCTCTATACGCAACATATCCTCTTCCAGCGCTACAATTTACAGCAGCATTGTTTCGCAAGATATACCATGAAAAGGTGTTGACATCTTTGGGGATGCAGCTTGAAGAGCAGAAGGCTATATGGGAAAGCGTATTGAATTCACTTCTGTCCGGTGTTCTGGTGAGTCGCTGTTGCATCGATTTGTTCCCTGAAGTTTCTGACATGCCGTGTGCATCAATAGGACTTTCTTGACAACAGCGATAACGGTGCGCTGCAGTTTTAAACAGCGCGTCTTTGCATCTAAGACACCGAACTAGAAACTGCGAAGAGCTCCATCGGAGCCGCTCTGTATCCGACCCTATGCGAGATTTGTTTCTCTCTATCTGCTCCCATGATGAGTGTTGACCTTAGATTCACGGTACGTGCTGTATGTATGCGCATATACGAACAATCTCACATGGAGTGTCCACATATCATACTGGCACTTCAACAGGCCTACACTCTTCTCTCGGACTCGGTTGCTGCGCATACAGCCAACCAGCAAAAGCTCAGAGATAAGGAAATTCTTGGCGGGTGGGAAATTTGTATCCCCTTTCTCCGGTTCTTCTCTAATACTATCTACAGAGAGCGACTAGGGTCCATGATCTGGCGTACAAGAGGTGGAATACCATATTACCAAAACTTTACCGTGACTCATCTACTGGCTTTGGCTGTTTTGCAGATTATCTTGTTATGGAAAGCCTCCTGAACCTCTTCGCCCGTCTTCTTCCGTCAACCAAGAGCTCGAACTCCGGACGCGCTAAGCGAGCAGCATTCATACACTCCGTATTCCTATCCTCGCCGCCCCCCGAGGTAGGGAACGTCGGCAAGGAGTTGGTGGAAATCCTAGAGCGCGTGTCATCTCAGGATTGGGAGGATACCGCTATCCGCCTCGTGGAAGCGCTTGCAAATGCGAATATCACATTGTACGTCGTTCCCTTTTTTTGAAGACCGGTGATGACCTCAATTTTTTTGGTAGTTCTCAACCATTCGGTGTCAAGGAAGTAGTTGCTTGTCAACAGCGCAAGCCTACTGATCGCCTTTATGTGGACAGTAAAGCATTCGTGGCAAACGTACTTGTTGGAGTGAGTAGTAATGCCAATCCGTCCTGCGTCGTACATTCGTGACAGTGGTGCTGGTGTCATTAACGCTGACTATATGCTCGCCGATCATCTTTTTTTGCACGCATACGTTACTTAGGACGACCAGTACGAGTCGTTAGACGTTTTGTACTCGACGATACGCAAGATTGATATCGGCCGCGAGCGACCGGGCGAAGACGAAGGTACCCAAGTGGTCATTCACACCAATTCTGCCCCGACGCTCGGAAAAGAATCGATCATACCGTCAGTCGATACGGGCAAAAGCCAGTCTTTGACCGTGCATTTCGGAATTTTACAGAAAGATATGGAGCGATTTGTGAAAGCCCTAGGCAATCGTGGCCTGGTCAGTACTTCAGTGTATCTTACGTTCACCAACCCTGCTTACAGCGGAACAGAACAAGCACATGAAGGAGAACGCGACTCCCAAATTGTCTCTCGCTAAGTCGGCCACTCTCCTTGAATTTGACGCTCAAGGAAGGCCAGCACAGGAGCTCAGCCAGGAACAGGTATAGTTTCCTTCTCTTCGATTATAACATGTTATCTTGACCACTGGTATTTCACAGCGCATCGAAGCCGTGGCTGAATGTATGTATCGCGGGATCCAATCGTGCTACAATTTTGGTGCTAATTTCGGCCTTAGTTTACGGGACACAGCACAGCAGTGACGATGTCTCATCCGTGCATGATGTAGAGCTTATGACGGAGATTACGAAAACTTCCCCTCGGAGATCTCCAAGACGTGCTCCCCTGGTCGCTGAGCCCAAGTTAATAGTCAAATCAAATTCAAAGCGTTCACATCCTCCATCCACAACCATGCCTGCGTTATCCTTGCGTGCAACTGCGCTATCGGTTCCCACATCGGTAACGGCTTCTGCTGCTTCAAGGAATGCTCCCATGACTCCGCGTAATGATTCTGCTCGGAGGATCACTGCTCCTCCTGCTCTGTCTCGTACCGGGACCCAGAAAATGCGTGACACCATATTTGGTACCAGCGACGAAGAGCTTTCTGAGATTTCGGATGTTGACTCGATTCCTCTGCCTCTTTCGTCCCGACAGCTTCCGACGAAGTACAAGCCTGTCGTGTCGCGCGTGAACAGCAAACCCAAGACTCCGAAGTTGGCTGTTGAGCGTGCGGCTGGCCAAACTGCTCTGAAGTCTGGTGCCCTTGTGATAACGATCCAACAAAACAATAGTGACGCTGTGCTCCCTGTAACGCCACCACGACCCATAAGGGAAGACCTCGTTATAGCTGTCACAAGGAAGCACGTTCATCCCTCGGGACCGGTCGCTAGAATCGAAGACGATGGTGTTGATAATAGTAAGTCGATGACCTCTACCGTGGGACCTACTTCCCACCCTTTGAACAGCCCTCCGCTCGTCCTCACCAGCTCACGTCGTCAAGAGCGAGCACACATCTATTAAATCCCGCATGCGCAAGAAAGATCAAACTCTTCCGCAGGATCCCAAGGACGCCTTACACGTCAAAGGCTCGAAGCGTAAGCGGGGAGTAACGGACGAAGAGGCAAAACCTCCTGTCGCAAGCACCGATAACGCCGTTGTCGATGTTCGTGCCAGCAAACGACTTCGGAAGACCGGTAGCTCTCCAACTTGTACAACGGTCCCTCCAGAACGGACCGAGTCCCAGGTACTCCGTCCGCGGACAACGGCCGCCACTAGGGCCACCAAGACGTATCGCAGCAAGAAGGACAGGATCTCGTCCCCGGCAACTTCTACCACCGTCCCTGCAGATATTGACTACGACTCACTGCCTACTCATCCGCTTTCTACATCCAGTCGCAATGCGTCGTCGCCTCTATCTGCTCGTCCCGTAGGCAAGAAGAAGCCCCCGCAAGCTCGAGTGCCTGCTGCGACATCCACGCGAAGGACACGCGCTTCTGCTATGAAGGACAAGGCGAATAAGTTACCTCCTGTCTCGACTGTATCCACTGTGGTGGCGAAACCCAGCCCTGCGTCCAACGCTTTGAACCTTCCGGCTCCCGAAGACATTTCACTACAAGATGAACAGAAGGTGAAATCTGCCGTGGAGAAGACGTCCAAACCAGTGTCACACAATCAATCAGCAGTCAACAAGATTCCTGCTCGGCTACAGCATCAGATGGCGAGTAGTGCTAATGTGTCCTAAGTCATCAATGGTAACACTTCCGTATTTTCCGATAGAATAACGTGTCTACGAGCATACTCAAACAGCCTGCACTCCCACAAGACGTGCACATACTCGCCACTGACAACGAAGCCAAAGTAAGATTCTCGTTATCGACGTGATTACAGTGCTATGAATGCCTTGCAGTCCAGGAGCTCAAACAAGCAGCCTCATGGGCGGAAATCAAATAAGGCGCCTTGGGAGAACATCGAACTTGTGGATCCGGTCGGGGAAATAATGGCGGACAACTATGGTGCATCTCAGTTGGACGATAGCAAGTATGACGAGGCAGAAGTTCAAGTTAATGTGCAATGCGTCGAATTCGACAATCCGCTATCTGCCCAATCCGATCTGGCTGAAAGTGAGGCAGAGACGGGCACAGAGATGATTGAAGACGAGCCAATGACCGCGGTGGAAACGGCTCCGGTTTGTCTTACACACTCAGAGGAATGCTTTCATGTTCACAACCTGCTTCAGACCGAGAACGATCGTAACAAGGAAGATTTGGGAGCCAGGATCGTCTCTCCAACTATGGCGGTGAGTTTGACTCGATTAAAATTTAATTGGCGAAATTTACTTCAAAATCCAGATACCCGACCCACCTGCGAAGCTCAGATCACCCACTCCGATAATGGAGAAATCGAACATAACCATCGACTTAACACAAGACGATTCCCCTGTGAAGACCAAGCCTCTAGCTAACACTGAGCATGCTTCTCCTCCCTCGCCCACCTACCTGCTAGCCCTGAGCCTCAATGACTCCGCCGACGAAATTTTACACTCCACGCCCTCTCATAAATCTGCCATCCGAGATCGCTCAAACCCAACCAAGGTTGCACGGTCTAGTCATACGGTTACGTTTGCCCCGATCGTGGAGGAACGGCAGCCGTCTCCTTCGTCGACAACGGAGGAGCTGGAAACTTTAGCCGCCTCGTCCTATATCAAGTCGCCCATTCAGGTCTCGGTAAAGGAGTCACGCACCGTCAATCGTGGTGAGCGGAGAGCTATTAAAGCATGTCAGTTTTGTTTTATCTTCCCTGCAGCGTCACCCAGTCCTATCCTCAAGACGAGTATTTACTCGAAGCGTGAAATCAGGTACGAAGACGAAGGCGACGGTATTCATTTCTCGAAGAGAAAAAGCTCCGAGAACCGTGCGCCAGATATTCAAGACATTGTGAACGTCCTCGACGAGATACAGGAGGTCAGTTCACCTCCAACGCAAGCGTATACCACATCCTCATTTCCATCGCAGGTTCTGGTGCGCAAAATTACTAGGAGGTTTGATGGGGTCAGGTACGAGGTGCGCGTTGCTCGCGATGAGCTGGTCGCGGAAGCCACATCGGATCTGGTGAAGATGCGCGCTGAGAGGTACGCATTCCTCTCTGAGATGTTGCAGATTTCATCCTGAGGCACTATAGTGTGGACAAGTTCAACGGACTGATCGACCTGGAGGCAGAATATGCGAAATTTGGACGGATCGTGACAAACGGGTTCGAGGATCTGCTCCGAGTAAATCAGGAGATCTGCGATGGACTTGCACGGGCGACAGAAGAGCATGATCGCCATAGCCTTTCGAAGAAGATGCCAGCTGCTCTGTGCCCTGCTCTCCCACCAAGCATCCAGAGGTTCCGGTGAACTTTCGAGTCGATGCTCTAGTGTTAGTTGTTCATGCCCTTTTCTTGATGTCTTTATGTGTGAAGGAATTGTGAGTGGTAGACTCTCCTGCGGTGTAATACATATCACGAAATCGACGACGATGTTCAAGTTTACACGGCTTCCCAATGTTGCTCAGAGATCGTCCAGCGGCGGGTTGTACTTAGTCTAGGTAACTTTGCGATCGTACAGTACGCGTCTAAGTGAAATGATAAGATTATCTCCATGACCACGCTGCGGCAGTGCACGATCGACCTGCACCAGCTTGTGGATATTCTGGACGCTCTCCATACTCTTTCTATGACTTTTGCTGGATAGTATTTGAACTTGCTCTGTTTTGTCTCGTCATTTTGCATCCCGGGAGACGCTTTGTCACTGACTACCGTATCTCGAGGAGATCAGCACAGCCTACTCTCCGTTTCAGTACTCCTAACCGTCCTCTAGCAGGATGGTGCTAAAGCTAAATACAACTACGCGCTATGTGGTCCTTGTGCTGTTCATCATCGTCGGTGTCCCCTTTTCTGTTCTGTGATAGCTCACGGAACTGATGAAGTCTTGTTATCTGTTGCTTCTACCAGGTCGGTTTGCATTCTATTCTTAGCTTCACGCACGAGGGTTACGGGCGCGCGACATCCTTCTCCAACGTAGCATCCAAGCTTTCGTGGTCGTCGACGCCGTCGCTAGATCCCGTTCCGGATGCGTACTACACCCCACCGAACACGGCGTCAAATTTGACTGGCACCCGAAGACACGATGCAACACTATTGATGCTGGCTCGGAACAGTGACACTGACAGTGCGGTGCGCAGTATACGCGAGCTTGAGGATCGGTTCAACACGCGACACCACTACCCATGGGTATTTTTAAACGAGGAGCCGTTTTCAGATGAGTTCAAAAAGTGCGTAGAGAGTTACGTTCGGGGGCAGCTGTGTATGGGGTAGTTGCGCTGACGTTACTTGCAGGAGAGTTAGCAATGTTGCCTCGGGTGAGGTGTCTTTCGGACTGGTGCCCCACGACCACTGGTTCCAGCCTGCCTCTATCGACGAGGAGCGGGCGACGGCGAGCAGGAACAAGATGATGACGGATCATATCATCTACGGAGGTGCGTGTTGTTGATGACGCCTACGTGCGCTTGCTCAGCACTTTTCCGGTTGTAGGCAGTGTATCGTGAGCAACAGACGATAGACTTCCCTGCATATATGCTGATGCTCCCACTATCGCACAGGTACAGGAACATGTGCCGTTTCAATTCTGGCGTGGGTATCTCATCTGTGCTTCCACTGTATCCTCTGATCAGTATTTCATAGTTTTTCTATCGCCACCCTCTTCTTCAGCAGTACAAGTGGTACTGGCGCGTCGAGTGAGTATCTTTTCCTATTTCACCTGCTGCCTTCTGAGGGACGTTGCTAAGGCCAGATATTCACTTCCACTGCGACATTACTTTCGATCCATTCCAATACATGGAGGATAACAACAAGATCTATGGTACGTTCTACAAACACTCTTCAATCTCCACAACTTTGAGAACTTATGGTATTGCAGGCTTCACGATCACAATGTATGAATACCTCGCAACTATTCCAACACTATGGGAGACGGTGAAAGGTAGGTAGAGATTTACGTCAATGACAGCCACGTGTGACGGAAAGTCGTGCAGAGTTCATCAAAGACCATCCGCAATATGTCGCGCAGGATAATGCGATGGGCTATATGTCCGAAAATGGTGGTGACACATACAATCTTTGCCACTGTAAGCCGTTTCTCCTCCCTTTGATGTTTTGATAACTCAGCACTTCGATATGCAGTCTGGAGTAACTTCGAGATCGCAAGCATGGACTTCTGGCGCGGGGAGGCGTACTCTGCGTTCTTCGACTATCTCGACTCGAAGGGCGGGTTCTACTACGAGGTATGTGGTCTGTACTCTTCGTATTCTGCGTGCTGATCGTTTGTGGCTTCGTCAGCGCTGGGGTGACGCGCCCGTGCACAGCATAGCGGTGGCGCTGTTCGTGCCAAAAGATAAGATCCACTTCTTCAACGAGATCGGGTACGAGCACAATCCATACACGCATTGTCCCCGTGGCTCCGACGCATGGGAACGGGGGAACTGCGCGTGCAGCCAGGAGCGCAGCTTCGGTGTGTCCACTTTTCCGAATCTCGCTAACGTGGTTTGCTCATGCCGACGATGCGCAGATTATGACGGATATTCGTGTATGCGCCAGTGGGATCGGATATGGGAGGATGCATCGCCTTAGCTCCCCAGTGTAGCAGGTCCGAGCGCATCTGTGCTCGTCCGTGTAGTGCGAGATCAAGGTGTGGCAAGAGGGAGGATCTAGATATTGCTCATCTAAGTTATATCATACTTTCTTGGCTTTCCTGCATTGCTGTTGACATAGAACTCATGAAAAGAGAGCTTTACTCACCCCCTATATTGCCGGTTTTTCAGGTGGAAATAATCTTCAGTTAGGGTCTTCGGAGGCACCCTGTCTGGGAATAATACCGGTGATATACCTCCTGTCTACCTACTTACGTTCAAGACGGTTGCAGTATATTCATATTTGCGAAGGGTGCTACCCTAAAATAGTTGAAGGCTGGCAACAGCCCGCGGATCGACGCATGGAAAGACTAACTCGGAAGTTTACTCATCGTTACACCGAAGTCTTAAGTCATGATGCAGTCGTACGGACGACTGACAACGATCTAATGATGATTCTTTGTTACCTAACGACAAGAAGAAACAGGACTGCGTGCACTCAGACATGTTAGCTAGCGGGAATTGACAAAAATAGTAAAGAACTAGGCCTCAAGCAACCCGACCTTCAGGGGCATCTTCGGCTTAATGCGCTCTCTGCCCACAGTGGGATACCGAATGCCGGCCATATTCCAAACAATCGGCTTGTCCGTCAACTCGAAGGTGAATTTCGGTAGCAGAGCCGACAAAACGACTCTGCGGAAAGGGACTCGTCAATCCTCATATGCATGAGAGGGGCGGGCAATACTCACTCATCTCCATTTCGGAGAACTTGAAGTTACTATTGAATATGTTGACTCAACACAACAGTAGTCAGTGCGTTTGCCAGCGGAACTGCCAATCGCACAGTAGTCAAAGTGAGAGGAGTATCTTGGAGGTCTCCGCATGTCGCTGAGAGCACGAATGAGAGTGCGGCCAATTCTGCCTGCGCTACCGGAATATGGAGGCTACGAGCGCATCCAGTGTATATTACAACCGGTGCCGCTTGGAAGGTGCTTGATGGTATTCACAAAGCCAGGACTTTCGGTCCATGGACGAGAGGCACGGAATTCTACCAATGAAGGCGGAGTTCCGCTGAACAGCCGTAGCGTACTGCTCCGGTGTCGCGGTGTTACGGAGAGCTCGGTAAGGGGTTTTCCCTGGGTGACGACGATGGCATGGACATTAATTCGCGATAATGCCACCATGCACGCATCAGATGAAGAAGACAAATTCTCGGTGCCCGTGTATACCACGGGTCCGAAGAGTCAGCACGCCATCGGCTGTCCATTCATCCGAAAATACGAGTATGTTGAATCTGCGTACTGTGAGTAGAAACAACACCGTTCGCTCGGCTTTGATATACTGGATCACTCACTCCACGTTCTGACACCCGCATTGCGGGTCTAGCAACGATGAAGAGCGATGACGAGATGTATATGCACATGTCCGCAGGGGGGAAACTTGCTATTAATACACTTGGACGTTGCCCTTTCCTCGAGGCGTTCCGGACACGGCGCAGGCGCTTCTCTCGGATGGTCAAGTCATCGTGCTAGCGTCGCCCATAGCGCTCGGATGCTCCTCTTTAGCTCGGGGTCAGATATGACCGCTGTGCCATCAGCGAACGAAGGAGAGTGAGCCGGGACGTATACGGTGTGACGATGTTGAGACGCGCATTGTGCTCGCGTGCGTCGTCGCGTCGCTAATGACTCCGGAAACGTTGTAAGGGAAACAAGACGATGTTTGATGCGGGTAGCGCATACGAGGGTCAGATGTAGAAAGAAGTCTGACTGGGGTCTTGCACCTATCAATGAGCTACCACTCAAGCCACCATTCGGTGGTGGTGGCGGTGGTGGATTATGCGAGGGGAGCCTCACACATTTCTATTTTCTCGGTCGACCAAAAATCGTCATAATTCACTCGCACCTCCGCCTAAAAGGAGCTAGTTCACTTCTTCCTCGCGACGACGACGAGAGTCTGATACGGATACTCGAATACGCCCGCCTTCCGATCGAGCCAGACCAAGCCGTCGGCGCGGTCGAGAATGGCATTGATGTCACGGACGACGGCCGCCTTGTCGTGTTCGGGGAGGATGGCGATGAAGCTGTGGCTCTGGGCGCGGTCGAGGACTAGCGCGCGGGTGCCGGAGAGCGCGTAGGACCAGGTGCGCTCTAGGGGCGGCGCAAAGAGGGCGGTGTAGGAGGGGGTGGCGAAGATGGCGCGCCAGAGGCCGAGGCGGAACTGGGGGGCGCCCTGCCCGTGACGCTCGATGCGCTCGCGCAGCTGAGCGACCCACCCTGCGCCGTCCCTGCGCGTCAGGTGGGGGTTCGGTGATTCGGGCAAGGGCGTGGAGAGAGGCGCGCGGTGGGGTGGGAATGGGGATAAGGCATCAGTGAGTAGGAAGTGAAGGCGGGAAGGACGGACCTGTTCTCGAGGTTCCAGATAAAGGCGAGAGTGCCGGTGGGCTTGAGGATGCGGGCGAACTCGGCGGAAGCCTTATCATAGTCCGGGCACCAGTGGAAGGCCTGCGAAGGTTGGGACGGTAAGGCAAAAGGGGAAAGGAAGTGCGAACGTGGACGCAAAGAAGCGCAGCAGCAGTGAAAGCAGAGTAAGTGCGAGAGAAACCCGGGTAAGCGCGCGCATATACACGAAGAGCGGGGGAGGCATGCACCTGGGCGATGACGACAAGGTCGGCCCAACCGTCGCCGACGCCTGTGGAGTCGAAGGTGCCGTCGGCGACGGAGACGCGGGGGTCGCGGACGGACTTTGCGAAGACGTCGCGCATGCCCTCGGAGGGCTCGATGGCGCGGAACTGGTTCACAGATTGGGACCAGTCGGGATGTGCGAGGAGCGCGCGGGTGAAGATGCCAGTGCCTGCACCAATCCTGGTGGAGCTGAGTGATCAGGGAAGCTATGGGGCAGATACACTCACTCGACAATGTTGAGTGGGGCAGAGGCGGGGAGGGTATTGCCAATGTGGGAGAGGGCGGCAGCCTGGTACGAGGGCCGAGCACTAACGACGCGCAATGAGAACAGGGAAGTGAGGACTGGGAGCAACTGACCGATCGTAGAGCTCATTCGTTCCCGTCCCGAAGCCGGCCTTGGCGACGCTGTGCACCAAGTGCTCAGCCATGAACACACTTTAAAGGAGGTGGGGGACGCGGCAGAAAATAGACCGGTCGTGTTACAGCTCAGTCCATTTATATGGTGCGCGCCAATTAGACGCCGCCACTTTTCGACAGTGGCCAATTTGACCATGATGGATGCCATAGAAAGGTTTTGAGAAGGTAACCGCGACCTTCTATCTCCGTCCTCCGGGACACTTGTACTAGAGACTGAGTATTAACGTCGGCATTCGCGAGTGCTAAGGAGGGCGCGCTGAGCAAGCGTGGGCGAGCGCGACGGTGGATCGTCCGCTTTCGTCCCGTACACTCTTCTCGCTCTATGGCGCTCCTCCCCATCCTTTCCTCCCTGTTCCCGTCTTCTGCCGTTGTCCTGGCACTTCCAGCCTTCCAATGTTTCGTTAGCTCTCTCCAGGCCCGCGCTCTGGGGCCTTGCCAAGGAATCCGAGAGGACGAATGGGGCCTGTACAGAGTCTCAACATCCACAAAAAGAAAAAATAACTACATACCTGCGTCGCATTCCTCTTCAGGTCCACGTAAACATGGCGAACATGGTGTCGCCGAGGGCTTACATACATGGCAACCACATGTCACTGAAGGTTCGGCACTGCGAAATGGACGGGTCGCCCGCATAGCAGGTACGGGGAGGCAGAAGTCGACATCCGCCGACCAGACGGGCATATACGACATGCATGGGGAAGTAGAACGTTGTCATCCGCCGACCAGACAGGGCCTCATTCACGTCAGACATGGGAACGGTCGACATCCGCGAGCTAAACGGGCATCCACACTGGTTCATGGGGAAACGGGGACTGTCCAGACGGGCATCCACGACGGGACATAGGGATGCAGAAGTCGACATCCACCGACCAGACGAGCATCCACAAAATGCATGGGGAAGCAGAACGTTGTCATCCGCCGACCAGACGGGCATCCACGTTAGGCATGGGGGCGGTTGTCACCCGCGAGCCAAACGGGCATCGTCGCCTGGAAGCTGGCTGCGAATCTACAACGGTTCTGGGACAAGGCCGGCATCTACTATCGTGGACAAGGAGGAAGGAGCGCGTGCATCGTTACGACATCATTGGTGTACCATGTACATTAGGCCGAGCACGGCGGCCGTCGGAGCGATGCATATGCTGTAGGATGGCACGACGTGTCGATCGCGTGCGCTGTGGTGTCTTGATTGAAATTTGGTGTCTGTGTATTGCTTGCAACAGAGAGATATGTATCGAAGCTCAGAAGGACAGAAAAGAGACGACAAGCTGAGCTGGAGACTAGAGAGGCTGAAAGGCACGTGCTCCTCAGAAAGAAGGCACGTGATCCAACTCACGCAGTCCTCGCACAAATTTGAAAGACCAAACTATACTACTGCTGCACTCTTCCGCATCTTCTGGCCGTTCCATGATTCATCAACCTCCTCGTCCACAGTTTGTGATATTATAATATCTCCGAGCCGTGCTGTTACAGTCCACAGCGTTCATCTAGTCAGGTCTCTCTGCACCGCAATTCTTTGGACCACAGCGCTCTTCTCGCGCACCACTTTTTTGGCGAAGGTCAAAGGAAAGAGCTACGATACTGGCGGTGTTGGTGCGTTACTCGCTGCTCTCACTGATGCCCCGCCAGAGATCCAGCGGTCTGAGCGCAGCCCAGCGTACACGATACTGTCTCCATGTCTGTGTGCTTGGACCGGCGCGCGGTGGGCGTCGCAGAATATCTTTGGACGTGCAGATCGAACGGGCGTCATGGCCCACCTTGTGTCGTACATGCACATTGTACGTGTCGCGCGCGGTTCCAACTTCTGCGCAACTGCAGCCAGGGTCCCACCTCTCCGCCTATGCACCGCAGGTGAGCGCCTCTGGTACGTGGTCTGTTGTCCCTTATTCGTGTTCACAGCTCACCACCTGCCCGTAGCCTCGGACAGTACTTGGCTCGATATGGGGATCTCTGCAATCGGCGATCACTCGTCTTTTATCCGCTCTGCTTGTTACCAGCCTGAACATCCTTTTCTGTTCAGAGCATGCTCACTATCTCTTTAACTGTGGCAGACGCGTCCTGGCCAGGCCAGCGTCATTTCTCGGACCGCCAGCCCTTCACCAAACGCTCTTCTGTGGCTCCCAGCATCTTCAAGCCATTAGACGCGCCATCTTCGCGGATCTAAAGCGCGTGATCGGTGCTCGATCGCATCTCGGATCCACGTTCTTCGTTCGGTCGTAGAGTTCATGCTCGACGACAATCTACCGCATGGAGAACGTATCCCCGCAAGATTAGCACAAGGGCCGTATCCCCGCAAGATTAGCACAAATGCAGGGGGTAGAGATACCGCAGCACGATCGAAGTTCGCTAGACAACTGACGCGAAGCCCGTCGCGCCCCACGTGCCCGCTGTGGTGGACAGTTGCAGCTACATACGCACGCACAACCGGTCGAGGGATCCAGCCTGCGGGAACGCGCAATCGAGGTTTGCAGGAAACACCACTCGTACAGTGCTAGATGCGATTTCCGAGGAAGCACTGCTTGTCAGACACCCCATCACGTGTTGCTCTCGCTCTTCGCTATCGTCATCAAGACCCAGTGGAATGCAATAATCGCATTCCAGACACGCGGTCTGACTTCCAAGGCCCCCCTCAGCATCAGTCACAACCATGGTAGAGCTCTTTTTTTTTTGCCGTAAATTCCGACCGCGAGGCATAGAACTCACGAAAACAGGGCTTTACTCACCTCCGATATTGCCAGTTTCGTACTTGGCTGGAAATAATTTTCAGTCAAGGACTTCGGAGCCCCCCCGATCTGTATCATCTTCTTTCCCTCCTGTCGCTGTCGCACTTGTCCACACTGATAACCTTGTGTTAGCAGGGCATCCATCCTGAACGTCAAATTTGCGAGTCGCCCTATGGAGACTTGCACTGGTGCAACAATCTAGCGTGCCTGCCTTCAAGACCGTTAAAAAAGCAGACAGAAAAGTTCGGAAGTTTCCTCGTCGCTCCACAGAATAAGCCATGACGTATCATGCGAGCGACTGACAATCGTCTGACGAGAATTCTCGGTTCCTGACCACACTAGGGGAAGCTCGTGCGCGGAGGGATATTGGCTAATGCGAAATGACGAAAGTAACTGCGAACCAGGTCTCAAGTACCCGACATCTTCTTGAACAACCTGACTTTGAGCGGCATCTCCACCTTAATGCTCTCCTTACTCACGGTAGGACACCGGACGCCAGCCGTGTTCCATACGATCGGCTTCTCGGTCTACTCGATGGTGAATTTCGGCAGCAGAACTGATAAAACGACCTCTGCAGACGAGGACTTGTCAATTATCTTAGGCGGGAGCACGGCACGCAATACGCACTCATCTCCATTTCGGAGAACTTGAAGCCACTATTAAATATATTGACTCAACGCAAACGTTCAGTACTCAGTGCGTTTGAGGACTCACACCCTTTGCCGTCGCCCAAAAACGTCATGTTGAAGGGGGGGGGGGGGGGTTCAGTCACGTGCACAATTCTCTGTTGAGGTGTCCACTCACAGGTTCGAGAAGGCGCCAGGAATGCGCGTCTCAGTCACAGCGTTGGGGAAAGATGTGTGTCATCGCTCGGGCTTCCACTCGAGCGCATCCTTGCCCCAGAGCATCTTGCTGAGGTTGGAACCATGCATGACACCGACGAAAATTCTGGTGCCCTTGGGGATGGGTACCTCGCTCATCATCTCGCCGTTGATGCCTCGGATCGGCTCGGATAGTGGCAAGACCATGTTTTGCCTCACTCTGTGAGACTTATGAGAGATGTAGTGATAACAAATAAATGTTCCACGTACAGGCGGCACAGCATCCCGAGAGGTATCTTTGTACGGCGTGGCATCAGAAGCATTCGGTGTTGAAGGAGACCCGACTTACACTCGCAGCGTCCCCCGACAGACGGCATCAAGATAAGGGAGCTGCACCAACTATAGACAATATCGCATGATTAAGCAACAGTCAATTCCCGACTAATGACGTCTGAGCCCAACTAAACGTACCGGATGATCTCCGACGCCTCTTCATAGACATATTGGTCCTTTACGATGATGCTGTGTAAAAGCCTTGGGGTCATATACACAAAGTATAGGGTTCTAGCCGCATTTTTTTTGTTAGTCGTGCTCCCACCTACACCCAAGAATCCTTTTGAGGTTCACGACGGGGCCATAATTCTGTGCCACGTCGACGTGAAAATCCCAACTGTGTCGGTCCATAAATTTGGAAATATTGCCTTGTCCAAGAGTGAGTTAATACCATTCGCAACATCGATGGGGACACACCTGTCTAGAAGGGTTTGGCAGGAGGGCTCAGCAGATTCTGGAGATTAGGCAATAGACCATCGTAAGTAATTGCGCCAGAAAGCTCATAAGGCTCCACATATCGAGGCGACATTGATTATAACAGTAATCGTGACGAGCGCTGTGGCAACTTGGTCTGGTCTTCAGACTATGGTGTGACAATTGTAGGTGGCAATTCATGCATTAGTATGCCCCCACTTCGCATCATCATACAAAATTTGCAGGATGATTGACCACACGGCAAGATTGACCAAGAGACATTAGCCAAGGGCATGAAAAGAAGGTATGATGAGACCGCAAAACAAGGTGTGATGAGGCAGAGGCATCTCGTAAATTAAGGACGAGCGTATCAGAGATAGAAATCGATGTGTGTGAATCAGACGTCGAGTCCTGCGGTCTGTGGGTACGCTGAGTGTGAATGATAGATAGATAATCTGTAAACGGAGCACACCATACGGAGGTGCATCCGACGTAGCACCTCCCTGTTATGTTCAATACTAGAGTGTCAACAGTCGCCTGTGATAGAACGTGCGGCCTGGATGTAGGTACAGGCGTCATCAAGCCTGCTGGCCCTGCATGACATTGGTGGTAGATTGATATGCGCAGAAACGAAGGCAAGTGCATGCGACGATGCTTTACCGTGCCAAATGACAGATGTGCACGTATTGAAGGTAAGTAGTATGCGGCATTCAGAGCACGCGGTGGCGCAAGGTCGCGGGCAATGTGCTCGTCCAAATTTGGCAGGTATTCTGATCGTCGTTTGCACGCTTGCCCGTGCCACTTCCTGACATCCTAGCGATCGAGGGGTCCCGGACATGTGAGACGGGCGTACACCAGCACAGCGGGACTCGTCTGGCTGTACTCTTGAGAATACATGGGTTGTTGTCCGCGGTGCTTGTTATAAGTGTACTATTGTCATGATATGAACCAGATTGATGATGTACATGCGGCCGCCCCTGGTGGGGAAACGACGCTTCACCGCGATGCAGAAAGCACAATCGATGAGAAGGCTGTTTATTCGAGATCGGAATTGAACCTTGGTGTCATAAAGTGGGTATGGAAAGGTTTTAGCAGAATAACGCGGAGTCTCAGCGATGCAGCAGTGGAGGCCGTAGACCGAAGACCACTTTTCCTGGAGGCCAGCAGATCTCCGAGAAAGTGCACGTTCAATCAATTCCACGATGTCTAGTTCAAAGTCATCACAAGTCAACAATATCGTACATGGCGAAACATAGCTCTGGATCAAGCATCGGACTCCTTGAACAGCCCCACTTTCAGCGGCATCTCCGCCTTGAGGCTCTCTGCGCCTATAGTGGGATAGCGGACTCCAGCCAAGTTCCACACAATTGGCTTCTCGGTTATGTCGAAGGTAAACGATGGTAAGAGGACGGACAAGACAACCTCTACAATGGCAGGCTTGTCAGTTCTGTTCCGCTGTGAGATAGTAGAATACTCACTCATTTCCATCTCTGAGAACTTGAAGCCACTGCGAAGAATTGGTTCAGATGCTTTTAATTACTGTTCCGGCACCACTTACATGCACGCTCTTCCGCCGCCCATAAACGTCATCCTGCACAGAAACCTTGTTAGCTCGCATTTCGTCGTATTACAATGGATCACAGCTCACAAGTTTGAATACACTCCCGGGATATGAGCATCGGTCAGAGCAGTGGAAAGCGGCGACAGCCAGCGCTCAGGCTTCCACTCGAGAGCATCCTCGCCCCAGAGTGCTTTGCTCAAGTTCGACCCCATGACGCCAACGAAGATTCTGGTGCCCTTCGGGACGGGGACCTCATTAATCATCTCTCCGTTGACGCCTCTGATGGGCGCAGACAGGGGGAGGATCATATCCTTGTTGGCTCTGCGAAACGACTCGTGAGTGTCCGCCAAGAGCACACGGAGTGACAGAGTTAACATACTTTCGCTCTATGATGGGGGCCGCTGGATGACTTCGCTAGCGTGAGCTACGATTAGGTTTAATCATGACTGCTGCGACTTACACCCGCAAGGTCTCCCGGCAGATGGCGTCCAAGTAGGGCAGCTGCATCAGCGCGTCGTAAGACAGCTCGCCGCCGTTGCGTGCCTCAATGATCTCAGTGCGCAATTTATCCTGGACATCTGGGCGCAGCGCCATATATTGCAAGATCTGCGCGAGGGTATTGGAGGTGGTGTCCATCGCCGCGAAGGTGAGTATCCTGCAGAACATTCCTTCGTTCAGATTAGGCAGCACCGTAGCAGTACAACGACAACAAAAAATCTGTACTCACGCCATCTGTCCCAATAGCTGATCCTCCGGGAGCTTGTCCTCCTCCGACTTGGCCGCCATATTCGCCTTGACTGGGTAACGTGTCAGCGATTAGGTTCTCAGAACGAGAACAACATACTCAGGACGCTCATAATGTCCCTGCCTTCTCCGATCTGGTGCATGACCGCTTCGTCGCCTTGGAGCAGAGCCGCCTTCTTCGCGTCGAAAATCTCTCGCGATCTCTTCTCCAGCGTGTCCACGGCGGACTTGATCCGCTGTACGCGCCTGTTCGGAATCAGCCCGACAAGACGCCTGCGGAGAGACGCTGGCCCCAGCTGCATAAGGTACGGCAAAGCATAACGAACAAGACCCAATGAAAACGTGACAGGGCTGCGTGGACCGATTCCGGTGAATTTGGAAGCGTCAGACAGGATCAAGTATGTCCTAGAAACATCGCGGCACTTACAAAATAGTTTTCAACGCGTCTCCAAATTCGTCCGAAGCATCCTCGATGAGAGGATCGAACGAATATCCAAGCCCGCCCTGCCCGACTAGCTCGAGCGCAGTGCGGCCCATCCACCCCAAGATGTCAAGCTCCCCCGGACCATTAGCGACACGCGACGCAATTGCGATTTGCAGCTGAAGTAAGTGAGCAAGTGAGCGCAGATGGGCACAACGGGGATGTTGGCGATATTGTAGAAGATGGGGAGCATGTAGCGCATGTGGGCGACGGAGAAGGCCGGGTTCAGAATCTTCCTCTGTTTACGATGAACATCGCCTGTCTGCCATTCAGCCACGCGAAATACACCTGAAGGTCAGCTCGTTCACAAACCTAGCGTTGCCAGCAAACCTGGACCGAAGAGAAGGTGATTGAACCTGAGCGAATAATCAATATCTGACTCGAATTATGTGACGGAGATAATTGTATGTACTGGAGGGTCGAACGAGGTTCTTCGTAAAAGTATTGGTCCTTGACAACAATGTTATGCAGCGCCTTCGGATCGTAAACATACAGTGTCGGTTCCTGAAAACACGGAATGTGTGTCAGTAAACGAAGCCCGTGAAGTCAGCGACCGCTGTGCCCACGCCAAGAAAACCCTTCAAGTTGACGACACGCCCATAGTTTCGTGCCACGTCGAGGTGGAAGTCCCAACCATGACGGTTCACGAAGGGCCCAATGTTTCCTGGCAAATCAGGCATATTAATGATTGAGGTAGTTGACAGCAGCAGTAGAACTCACCTGTCCAGAAAGACTGGGATGGCGGCCCCGGAAGATTATTGAAGGGTGATTTCATGACGAAGTGCCGCAGCACTTTACGCCACGATATCCAGATAACTGCACATATGAGGACGCTTTGCAGCACAGAAGTGAACATGATGAGGTGAGGTGCGCCGCACACAGCAAGGCAGAAATTGAATGGTGGGTGTCGACCGTAAAAGCATTCTCTGTAGCTTATATATGCCTCCTCTGCATGTACAAGAATGACAGAGCACGGCAAAACGGGCAATGAGCTTTGAGTCAAGGTTCCCAAAGGAGACATGATGAGACAGAGCGCACATCATTAAAGCAAGCACGGGTGTCGAGGACCTCTGTGGCATCAGAGATAGAAGACGGTCGATATGAATGAAACGGGCAGAGAAGACGTCGCGTACGGGGAACGTAAGGCCTTCGACCTCGAGAAGTGAACAGATATCCTTGAGAGTGGAGCATACTGGCCTGACACCACTCGGAGGACAGAATGAATTCTGCACGTATTCATGAAGCATCCAGTCTGCATAACTGATGTTCCAACTTTCCAACTGTAGGCGTGGCTCCCTAGCCAGCTTTGGTCTGTAGGAGGACTCATCGAGAAGAATACGACAGACACAGCGAATCAGCCTCTTGTTGTGAAATAACGACGACAGGTAGCCGTCGTTCTGCGACAGGAGAAGTGCGGAAATGGAAGTTCGTTGTGGTGCCAGACGCGCAGTCCGGTCACCCCTAGACAAAGCATGTTGACAAAGGTTGACAAAGTGGTGGACTGAGTCAGGGAGGTGTTCTCATTCTGCCCGGTGAGTACTTCTGCCTGTGTCAGTAGCACTGACAAAGATATGCCAGCAATAATGAGAGCGGTTTTCAAGATACCCTGGGTGGGAAGAACGCATAGAAGAAGGAACGGACTTGGTGAAAAAAGACGGTCAATGATAGTAATCCTTGGGACGATGATTGTACTGCGAGCTCCCATTGGCCCAGCGCGTAGTTTTGGTAGCTTTGCGCAGCTCCGATTGGATGATCTCCGCCCAAAGCCTGGCCTCGGACAATCTATCAATGGAGGTGGATTGTGGAGATGGAATTGTCTTTTTGAGAATGAACTGTCCCTTGCACTGCGCGCATGGGTGTACGGAGGTTTAACTGCAATACCCTGTTGTCAGAAAAACTCTTTGTCGAGTGCGCATCCAGAAGCTCAGAAAGATGCCTCTAAGACACTTCCCTTTCTGCTATCTGCCTGTTGCGGCTGTTGGTAAGCCACCATTGCCTGTCGTGAGAGCTCTCGATGGCTGCCTATCGGCCGAAGTCGTTTTCCGCTTTCTGTACTCTTTCTTCAGCGGGGGACTGGTATTACTTATACAAATAGCTTTATAACAAGCTGTGAAAAATACTCGCCGAGAAAGTGCGAAGAGCACACTGGGAGAACTCTGCGATTTGTTGGCATTGTACAGATGACACGTTCGGCTGGGTCTAGGCCGTCGACGCGACGCGCCTTGTCACGCTCGCGACATGTCACGACGGACCCCACCGGCGCACGATCCAGACGGCTGGCTCTGAGGTTGATCGATTGATCGCGCATCCGATCGATGACTCCGCTGCCGCAAAGCCACCAAATTTTGGACGACCACGCGCCTATGCTCGATGGCGCGAAGTCAAGTACTTCCTCGTTTGAAGCGCATAGGGCCCACAGAAGGAGTGAGCGTCAAATTTTCATTAGCTATCTTAGCTGACCGAGACATCGACGCAAGATTACTGGTTCACTGGGACCTGCGCATGCGTCTCTCGCCTCGTACGTTGCCGCCATCGCTCTTTCGGGGGAGGTATACAGTACAAAACACCGCGTCAGCCGGACGTGATTTTCTGCGCGGCCGTGACTTCGTCCTTCACGTCCACGGGGAGGAAATGCTTTGATCAAATTTTGCATTCATCACAAGATTGTTCCAGTTCCGAAGCCCTGGACTAAAGGAACATCGGCAATACGTGGTTGAAGATGCCTTGAATAGCGCAGTCGACGACGAGTTCGACGATGAAAAATGGGGGCCGGTGAATCTGGTGATCGTAATATCAGAAAAATGATGAGTAGTTGCGAGTGACAGCGTAAACAATAAGCGAAGAAAACGAGGACGAAGGGCGCACGAGTGTCACGCGAATTGATACAGCTGAGGGCGGACGAGTAACCTGAAAAAGACTCCAAAGAGTCATTGGCAGAGAGAATGCATGAAGTGGACCACGTACCGGAGTCACCGAGGTTGACGGTCGTCTCTATCCAAAGCGCGCGCCGATCCCATGCATAGCCGGCGAGATTATCAGATGATTGCGTCCGAGCATTGGAGGGATGGGAGGGAAGGATGAGCGCAGAGGAGAGTAGAAGAAAATGATAGACGCAGGTGAAACCTGCGTAAAGGGTTAACATGTAAGATGCAAAAGAGACTCATCCGTATTGCGAGAGAGACTCCTCGGCCATTGCAAGCGGGAAGAGCCCTTATCAACGAACATGAGGCATTCACCCACTACACATGAACCAAATACTGCAGGTATGGACACGACTATGCATGAGGTGAGGCGCTCCAAGGATTTACCCGTTCCTGTGTGTTCTGATGAGCAGGTCCAAATATACGTTGCGACACTGAACGTACGCCTGTTCAATCACACCTGCGGGACTTCGATCACAGCGCCAGAGGTGAGAAGATGACAGATACAGCTCGCGTCCCAACACCGTCCATTGGCCAACCGAATGGCAGTGCTATGTAGGTGCGTATATTTCAGAAGGGAGCAAAAACCCTGCCTCGAGGTGTGCGAGAGGGGCACCAACATCCGAAGCAGTATTGTCGGAAGCAGAAAGGAACAGACAGAATTTCATGCAGCATGCATCGGCGTCTGGCACATACGCTCTCACCTAAGGTTCTCCTCTGCTATACGGTGACTGAGCACAACAAGTTTTGGACCAAGTTGCTGTCTTCCGAACTTCAACGCGTCTTGTCACGCGTCACTCTCACGACACGTCACTACCGTGACCACCCTAGTCGTCTTCAAGTTATCACAATCATCGGGTGGGAAGTCGATTGCTGTCTACATCTCTCTGGAAACATTACAGCAGAAACGACATTTCACATTACACGAATTACAGGCGCGATGGAAAACCAAGTCAAAAAACAAGGAAATTCGGCGCACGTTGGTTTCCCCGCCAGCGACCAGCACAGGCGGGTACTTATCCCGAGGGCCACGAAAAGGCCTGCACCAGGACAGACGAGCGAAATCGCAAGTCGGCCCGTACCTCGGGACGCACCTTATAATGTGTCCTCGACCTAACTCCCGCTCCATCCCATCCGTGCGTCGTCTGCTTCCTATCGTCGAGTCGTTCGATCGGCCTTTTTTCCATTTCTTCTTCGTCATATGCCTCTACTGCTCTCGTTTGTTTCATCGTCCTGTTCACCCGTCGTTCTGCTTGATACCGGTGTCGGCGCCCTCTTCTTCGTCGTGTACCGCTGCTGCTCTCGTTTGTTTTTTATCTCCTCCGTCGTATGCCTCTTCGCCAGCCAGGGCACCGGTGCTGGTGTCTTGATCTTGAATACGTCTTGAGGCTGATGCCCAGGGCCAGAGTGTTCAGATCATTGCAATTGTCGATGTGGTCGCGCTTAATCGTGTTCGCGTATTTGGCGAGGGGCTTACTGGCACTCACTTACACATGTCGATTGTCTTGATTATTCGATCATTCTCGTGCTTGAGTTCACTCTCTTAATACAATGGCCTATGTGCCAGTCAGCACATCGAGTATTTGGAGAAGCTAGTAGACACACCTCAATTCTGTCGTGGCCCCGGTTGTCATTCAAGACAGCATGTTCGGAAATAGATAACATGATTGTCAGTCGCAGTCGACGGTATACCAAGAAGGGCATACCTTACTGGCCATATGTGTGCATGGCACATCTGCGGGGTGGTCATTTTCCGCGGAGAGCACAGTTAGTGAGTGGTGTTCGGTGCACAGAGATGACAAACTCACCATCTTACATCCAGTGTGCGGGAGAATCTCAAACCGAAGGCCGTGACTCAGCTTTTTCGTCTCGTGTTCTTGCCGCGCTACACGGTTTCGCTCACTCTCACATTATGTTCGCCACTTGATCGCTTCCAGGCCATGTCGCCATTGTTGTTGATGTCACACTCTTACGTTTATGGCCTGTGTATGTCAACAAATCAGCCACGATTGTAAGACGATGGATACCAGGCTGTGAACATACCTGTCTTACTCTGATGTGGTGTGGCGCAATCATAGACGGCAGTGTGCAAGTCGAGATGACTGTTAGCAAGCATCCATGGTAGGTAATGGTCAGACGTACCTCAATGGACATCTGTGCATAGCACACTCACGAGTGCGGACGGACTGACAAGGACAATCCAAGGTCGTGACTGATGCTCAACTTATAGAACAGAGGACAGATGGACGTACCTTGAAAAGGTCAAGGGTCACTCGGAGGGCCGACTCATTGCTCTGTTGTGGAGTCTTGTTCGTATCTCACGCATTTCTGAGTGTAACTTAAACACTTGCGGTTCACGGCCAAGCTTATCCTGCATAGCGATGATCTTGTCCTTGATGTCACGCTCTTGTTCTTATGGCCTGCGTGTACGAATCATTGAGTGAGCTTCTGACAATGATGCCACATGATGTATCCCATATAACGAACATACCTTTCTCAGGTCCAGACTCTAGCATGGCGCAGGTCAACAACGATGGCAAGTGGATGAATAGAGGATGATTGAAGTGCGTTGGTGACATCCCCGGCGAGGACGTACCTTGGTGGTCGTCTAGCGGGGCGACAACAACGAGGTGAATGAAGGAGAGAGTGGAGGAAGATCGTGTGAGGAAGGGAAGAGATAGACAAAGGTGAGTAGCAATCGACGGAGAGGGATGGAAGGGATAACTTGAAGTAAACAATTCGTACCACCACTCGGGCTTTTATACGCCGTGGTGGCCACCATTTCCACTTCATGGGCGCTCGCGGTAGACCAAACCTCGTGTTGTGGTCCAAACCTCGCGTTGTGGCTCGAACTGCGTATTGCTGTTCGCGATCGTCCTGCAGGTCTGCGCCATATTCATGCCACCGTTGTTGTGGTTTGATCTGTGGTCCATTCCTATTAGTTAGCCAATTGCACGGAGTCGAACCTAGCTACCTTTCTGCTTCCCCTCACAGGATTATAGGCATTGCATATTCATCTTAATAGATCATGTGGATGGCACTGTTCGTGACACACCGCATCTGTCAATTCATTCTGATCCCACTTACTACTGTACTTTGTCGCTCAGATTCACTGCCCTCGCGGCTTTGCCGGAGGTCTATCTCTCATTTCAAATTGAAGCTGCTGCTACTATATGAGTATGTTATGTTCCACAGGACTGTCGCACAGTTAGTTGACACTCTTTTCCCGCATATGCCGTCCAGACAAACTTTGGGCGAAATCCACGCACAACCCTATAATCCAGACAGTTTGGGAGAAATATTTTGAAAAGCCTGGTGCTGGTCCGGACATTTTGACCCAATAGAGCTCTCGGTGAGCGCCAAAATGGCGCTTTCGAGCCTGATGCCGCCATCCAGATAAGATTTAGGGGGAAATTGGCACTTCACCCCAGACAAAGGTTGATTTTGGGGTTTCGGCGCTTAGACATTTTTGGGCTCACCGGATCAGGGTTGTTCTATAATCCGGGGTCCTGGTGCTATGTTATCTTCGTCTCACAGGACACATAACCCCTTTTTTCCCGAGGAAATAACTTGGAAAAATGTGTGGAAATCAATAAAGTTATACTGCGGGAAAAACATGAGGAAAAAATGTGTAAAAGAACAAAGCATTTCCGCAGTTTTTCCACTGGAAATAAGTTGGTCGCCAAATATGGTAGTTTTGTCCGGGTTTTGGCATGTCCTGGCATGTCCAGTTGCCTGATACACCTCGGAAACTTGAGGGTATTGGTGTGACGTTGCCGCCGGTCTATCCGAGGGATCGAGAAGCCAGTGTCAATTATCGAGTAAGAGATGTCGTCGCAAGCTTCCAAACTCCAAATTAATGATTGTCAATTGACGAGTAGCTCGAGTTGAGCTCGAGAGGATAGACTTCTGCAAGGTTATGTGATGTCACGAAGCAGGCTCCGCAGCAGCAGTCAGTCCGATGTTGGCACCAAGCTCATCAGCCGATTGTCAGGTTATTGTAGCTACCTTGTCTTCGAGTACTGTTCGAGCTGTCGTAATTATTTCGTGAATACCATATGTTGCCTTACATGAACATTAGCTGGATTGTAACTCAAGGTATGTCAGGATGCTTGTTGGTGATGCCGCGGTCAATTCTCTGTCATTGCATCCAGCCGGATCTCCCATGTGTCGCAAGGTTGTCACCATGCAATGATATTCAAGATATTGTACAGTTCAATCAGCTATAATATCCGGCTCGCATGCCCTCTGAAACCCCGGCACCAATCACTCATTCCCTCGGCTGTTCGAAGCAGCATTCAGGTCGTTTATGAACGCGGGAATGGAGGTAGCAAGAGCGATCGGGTACATGGCGTTGTCGGGCTCACCATAAGTGAGCTTGTCATTCCTGTAGACTGCCTGGTACGCACTATTCACGCAAGTTGAGTGAGAACACAAGTGTGGGATGATGGTACTCACTCGTAGATTGCTCCGGATGTCCTGTACTGCTCACGGATCTCCTTCATAGACGAATCAACCTTGTTCCAGAATGCGTCCTCCTTGAGCCCCGAAAACTTCACGAAAATGAGCCGCTATAGGATTACAAGAGTAAATGAGAGCGGAGGTATAAATTTATTGTGACTCACGATATACGCGAGGCGGATGTACATCGCAACGGTCGGACGCGCGCTGCAAGTCTTGATGCATGCATGGGCAAGCGCGGCAAGGTTACGAATGGTGGATTTGGCGTCAATGGAGATGGAAATCTAGAATTCAATCAGTGCACCATGTGGTGGCCGACACCGTTGAAGGCGACAACAATGACGCACCTGAGTTTTCACGTGGTTCCGCCACTCCGTGAGACCCTTCGCGACGACTGTACGAATAACGGCACACCGACCGGTCTCCTGTTCAGGAGGAATTTGTGCAATATTGAGGTGCCGCATCGCAGCCTGTGGACAGCAGTGAGATCGCAACATGGCAAAATTAATGACAACTCACTAAGATGTTGCCAGGATTTGAAGCCTTGCAATAGGACTCAATGGTTGGAGAGAGGATGTATGTGTGCACGTAGTCCGTCAAAGTGGCCTATGAGCAAACAGCAAATGAATGACGAAAGTCTCTCGGCCATTGAATATAGGTGACTCACCCGCAATGTATCGGGGATCTTGTACTCACTGTCCCGAGACAGTTTCTGAAGGTAGTCACGGCATTCCAGCAGCAAACCGTAGGTATACATTGTGTGTTGGAGGAGGTGTGGAGACTGGCAGGAATCACGTTATAATGGCTTATGCGAAGGAGAAGAATGTGATGATACCTCTGCAAAACGTGCAAGCTCTGACTCCGAGTGAGGAGTGAGGTTTCGCTGTCGCTTCAAACGCTGCCCAAATTCAACAGCATCGAGACGTTCACCGTAACGTGTGTTTTCACCCTCATATTCCTCACGAGTCCGACGCGTACCATGTGGCTGGTCTTCGGAGAGATGTTCTTGTGCTTGATCTTCCTCTTCTGGGTCGGGAGATGATGCATGACTGGGTGGGGTGGCCGGTGCGGTTGAGTTGTTTGCCTGAATCTCGGTGATAAGGTCGAGAACAGAAGGTGGATTCACAGAAGCTTCCTCGTGCAAGAGGACAGGATCAATGGGGATATTTGCCATAAGATGCAAGGACAGACAGAAGTTCGAGTGAGGAAAGGGATCCCGCATTGAGCCCTTAAATATTGAAGTGGCCATGGTGCTGTTGAAAGTCACAGAACTAAGCGCCAAGCACGTGCAGTCACAACAAGAGTGTGACAATGTCGTGACACCGCAACATTCAGGCAGTTCAACAACATCGACACTGAACATATACATTCTTTCGATCTCCAGCACTTCATCTGAACTCTGCTATGCGTGGACGAAAAGCACAGGATTTGCCCGACTGTGAGTGCAATCACTTAGTACATGTATTCACATTCTCACGAGTTTACAGATATTGATGAGGACCCTGCAACGAAAAAGGTCCGCTGTCGAATTTGCAAGGAGAGTGATCCCTCCGGTTTTGGAAACTGGATAGGTCGGAAGTCTCTCAGAGGACATCTGGCTTCACCCTCTCATGCAGGCAATGTGGCACATCAGAATGAGAGGCAAGCACGAGCTGAACGTGATCAACGGGATCTCGAACGTCCATACTTGCAGGCAGGAACATCGAGACTTCAAGATGCAGCATCATATCTAAAAACATCACCTGGATCCATTGCTATGACCATATCTCATGAACATGAAGATATCAATGGGATTTCTTTGGACAGCGAGCCCATCTTCACTGATGAAGAGCTGGCCAGATTCTATCCTGGAGTTGAGATGAATGCTCATTCCAGACATCAGGAATTATTACGCCAGGAATGCGAGCGGCTTGCATTACAGGTGCAAGAGGAGGAATTTGATAGCATTGGGGAGGATGCAACAGTCTCAAATGTAGTTCAGGAATTTCAAAACTTGGGTAAGTTGAACAGTCAGGTTTGCATTGAGACATTACTTAATTCTTTGCATTATAAGGCCTGAATGGTGAAGAAGGAGATGAAGATGACATGCACGAACACTTTACAGGAGTGCCTGTAGATCACGACTTTGCTCCATATGGAAACAAAACTGTGCGTATATTTATTTTAATCCTTGTAGTAATTTTAACATTTTGACTTGAATGATAGATGTTTTTACTCGATGTTTTAGACAATTTGCCGAGACTGCGTTTGTCTAGCAGTCAGCTCAAGATGATTTTATGGATTATGAGAGAAGTTGGAGCTAAGAATGTTCCTTCCTTCAAAGGTTTTCGTCAGATGCAAAATCAACTACGCACTTTATGTGGGGTTACCACCTCTCCACAAAAGTCATCTCTTGGCAATCACTTTTATGTGAATGATCCTCGTGACATAATACACATGGTAAGTCACACTTCTCTTAAATATTCTCTCACATTTATTGATGGCATGCAGGACTTCGCAAATCCACAAGTGGCACCATATATTAATATTTGGCCAGAGGTTACAGATGGTCCAATTTCAGAAACATGGCAGGCAGAACGTTGGAAAGAAGTTCCTCTTGATCTACTTACTCCTGCTGCACGTTCGGCATCAGGGTCCAAGCAGTTCTATGTTAATGAACTTAATGAACTTCAAAATGGTCAGCTTGTGATTCCTATTATCTGGATGCGACGACATGGAGAGCTTTATGGAGATTGTCGTTTAGTACAGAGAATGAATAATAATGTGAGTTAATATAATTTGTAATAACTGTAACTAACCAATTTTTTTTGCCATATTTAGAAGCTGCATGTTGAAGAAGCATCAGAGCTTGTTAGTATTCAACTCTCACAATTTTGCTACAATTATTATGATCTTCTTGAAAAAGCTTCCATTGTATTTGAGGGTCAGTTTCTCTTAATATTAGTCTATTAGCACTACTAAGTTACATATTTTATAGAGCCATTCAAGCAGTATGCAAGCAATATGCCCAATCCTCTCCGTAAACTTGCAGATGATGAGGACTTGGTAACCATTTTTATTCCATTGTGGGCAGACGATGTTTCAGGTGCTCGCTCCAAACAATACCAAAAACACGTCAATGTTTATATGGTCAATTCAAACTTGCCAGGTCGACTGCTTCAGCAGGAATATTTTGTCAAGTTTGTATCTACATCACCGCATGCTTCTGCACCAGAGCAATTTGAAGCAATCATGCCACTTATACAGTATGTTTATTTATACTTGCAATAGTTATAAACTAATATGTCGCCTTATAGAGAAACACACAAAAAGCCAATTCGATGTTTTAATGCTGCAACCAATCGCCATACACGAGTCAGGTTAATTGTGCCTGATTTGCCTGCAGATAATCCCCAGCAGGCCGAAGAAGCATCTCATATTGGTATGAATGCTAACTGCAAATGCCGACGATGTAAGGTAGGAGGTCCATATGAGGTTCAAGAATCAGATGAAGGGTATCATGCATTACATGAAGTAAGCATCATTTGAATGAGATATATATGTGGCTAATGTTTTAACTTTGTAGCCTGGTGAACTGCGAAATGCAACACAGACCAAAGAAGCAATACTTGAGCAACTTAGACTTGCCGCCTTTGGAGTTGCACAGAAGGTTGCAGATCATCAAACTGCATCAGGGGTGAAAGACAAGATTGCACAACATTGGATTGAACAACTTATTCAAAAGGCCCGCGAGATTAAAGCATCAGAACCAGGTCGTTCATCTGAATCAATTGCTGATCAGCTTGCGGAATGGCTCAAAACAGAGACTGCTCAACCATTTAATATTCTTCTAACAATTTCAAGTAAGTTTCACAAAGTTAGCTGTTTAGTAATTAGACTAACATATATTTTAGCTCTTGATCCGACCCAGGATACTCCAGTAGAGCTTCTTCACACCATATTACTGGGCCTTGTGAAGTATTATTGGCATTCTCTTCACACATCATGGACAGAAGCCAATCAGGATCTGTTTACACTCCGACTTCAGGCAACAGATATTCAAGGACTCAATATTCCACCAATACGCGCCTCTTATATCATACAGTATCGCAATGGTCTTATTGGCAAGTACTTCAAGACAATTATGCAGACTGCAACATTTCATGTGCATGATATTGCATCCCCTTCACAATTCAAGGTTATGAAGGCAATGGGTGAGCTTGGTGCAGTATTATGGATACCAGAGATCGATAATATGGCACAATATCTGGTGAATATTATCTATTTGATCATATTATTCAATACTAAATATTCTACATTTTATAGGATGATCTAAAAATCTTGATTGATAATGCATTGGATGCATTTGATGATCTTGATCCTGCCCGAATCCTTGTGAAAGGCAAGCTTCATGTTCTAAAACACATTCTGGCCGACATACAGCGATTTGGCCCTGCAGTGCGATTTTCAACAGAAATCTTTGAATGTTTCAATGCGATCTTCCGCATGTGCTCAGTCTTGAGCAATCACCAGGCCCCAAGTCGTGATATTGCTCACAAACTGGCTGATATAGATCGTGTTAAGCATATTCTCAGTGGCGGATATTGGCTGCAAGATCATCTACATGTTCAAGCTGGCAAGGATGTACGATCATTGCTCAAACGACAAACAATCATCCAGCATCATTTGGGTTGGACACCCGACAAGCCCTTTATTGCAGGATCGGTCAAAATATATCCACAGCAAAAGCGCAAGACTTGTCATATCTCAGAAACTCTTGCTTTTATGGCAGACAACTATGCAGAACTAGGCCTAACCCCAGATTCCATATGGAGTGATGCCATACATGTTGTTGCTCAATCTGGGGATGTTTGTAAGGTTGGTGCATGGGTGGTTGTAATATCAGAAGTACATTGTTCAGTCAGTCCAGCTCAATATACCTAACTAACTGCTTTATGTCAGGAAAATCAAGCAAATATAATTGGACGTATAGCAGAGATTCTAACTGTCAATGCTGTCTCAGATGCATTAGCATCTTCCATAGTCATATTGGATACCTTCCTTGTAGGTAACTCACTGCATTCCACTCTAGGTATGCCAATTTTGCGGCGACCTTCACCTACTCATTGTTACGCGGCAGCGAAACACGAGCGTCTAGTCGAGTCGTCACGAGACAAGGTCTTAGTCTAAGACACAAGTCCGTTCGAGTGACACTTCTGGTGATGTCCTCGCACTGAAGGTCGATCAGAGTTCGTTCTTATGACTCGTAGTAGCTGTCTGCTACTGACGGTCGATCTCAGTCAAAGGCAAGTGAAAAGCTGGTTTAATGGTAACCAGGTCGAGATGGGGATCCAGCTCGACAAGGTCGTCTACTTATACAAAAGGTATCCGCAGTACTACGCAGTAATGCAGGATCGTTCATTGGCTAGATAAGGTGAAATGATGTCTAAGCAGGGTAACAGCGAGGAAGTAATATGTATGGGAAAGCTGAGTAAGGTCGTGAGAGATAATCAGTACTAATGGGGATAACGAGTCGTGTATCAGAACGAGGTAAAGATGAGGCATACATGCACGTCTTGCATGTGCGATAAGAAGAAGGTCCGGAGTTGGATCCGGTGTAACCCTAGACTAGGGGTTCTGGACATCTGGATAAAGAATCGGAGGTTGCGCTCCGATGAGTCACGTGTTGGATCACGTGGTCTGGTAACGTAAAGGGAACAAGGAAAAGAAAAAGAAAAGACGCGCCACAAGTGAGGAGCGTTGTAACATCAGCTCCCGTCTAACGTTTCTTGTCCCATAAGAAATATTGTGATCTTCATCGTCATCGGGGGCAGTCGCGGACATAATGATCTCCTCCACATCTGTAGCATGTCCGCCGGCTTGTTCGTGATCCTTGTTCGGGGATACGTCCATCCCTGTAGGGATGACTGCGACGCGAAGAAGTGGATGCGGTCGAGAAAGATGGTTGGGATAACGGAGATCGTCCACTGGGTGTGTGTGAACGAGGAGGGCGAGGTCGAACGGAAATTGGTTCTGGCGACGAGCGAGGAGTGGATGCGGGTATTCCATTAGTGGTGTATCCGAGGATGTGTCCGATGTCTTCGTCCCCATGCTCTCTCCAAATCTCCTGTGCTGTACGAGTGACCGTACTGCGCATTAATGACCAGACTTGGTCGACTCTGGTTCGGGCTCTGCTCGTCCTTTCCTCTGCTGCAATGAGCTCTTGTCTGGCCGTCTGCATCCACTCGACCATTTCTAATGCTCGTTGCA